TGTTCCTATGGACGGTAGATTGGGTATTTTCACAGCGGCCGTCAGGCAGTTTATCAAGTTCTGCTGTGCTTACAAACGCAACGAGCAAGGGTCATATGCCGCGGCTTTCAGCGGGCAGTAAGGACATGCTCGACACAAGTGGAGATGAGAGCAGATCATCAACTGGATTTGGCCACAACTATACTTTACTCAGGAGACGCTTATTTCGACCGGAAGTCAGCTCTTTTCACTCTAGCGTGCTCATAGGAAACCTTGTGCGCGTTCTCGTCCTTTTTCATTTACCCGTCACCATATTCTCGTGCTACGAATTTTCAACAGGAAGCTCAGCGTCTTCAGTAGCCCTTGGTGCTCTCTCATTCGCACTCTTCTCTGTAATCGCTCCTTCTCTTCTGCTCCTGCGGCTAAGTCGGACGTCAACAACCAAATTATACGATGAAACACGCACTCTTCTTGCGTTAGGCCCACTCTACAATCACTACCGCCAGAGCTCGCAGCTTTTCTCAGGCTTGCTTTTCCTGTCCAACCTCGTCCTCGGGGTGACTATAGGGTGCGGACAGCACAGTGGAACAGCACAAGCGATTGTAATTTTGGTGGCAGAAGTTGTTAGCGCTTTGGTCACGAGCGTATGGTTACCATGGGGTGCAGGAGCAGGCATGGGCCTCATCAGCTTCCTATTTTGCGTTGCACGTATCGTGGTTGCCGTGCTGCTAGTCATTTTGACCCCAACTGTAAGGTCACCTATCTCCGTGAAGTCCGATTCTAACAGCTCGTTCAGATTTCAATAGGCGCAGGCGCAGGCGGTTGGGTAGCCTATGGCATACTGATCGTCCTTTGCCTTGTTTATCTTACGTTGTTTCTGATTCTTGTTATCAAGGTCATCGAAGCTATTGTGCGCATTCTTGGTCGGGTCGGCTTTGATCACTCCAGACGGCCAGTCGATAGCGGATTGATCGGTGTGCTTTCTCTTCTCGGATGTTGCGGGCCACGGAGAGGTGGTCGCGAACGAAGACACTACAAAGCCACGGAAGTACGACATTCACCCGTTGCTCGAGACTCTTTCGCTGCACGCGATTCATCTCCTTATGTGCCACCCAACGCATCTTTCGCGCAGAAAGACAAAGGTTCCAGCTCCTCTCATCATTCTGGTGGGCCCCCGCCATCAGTATTGCGACCCGAGCATGCTCTGCAGCCTTACAGAGAGGACAGCGATGACGATGCAGAAAGTGGTTATATAATGGGCGCGTGGCAGCCATTCCCAGGTCCAGGTCCCCGCAGCTCATACGACCGCACATCCATTAGTACACCTCCCCAACACTCCAATTCAGGTTTCTCCCGCATCGGTGGCGGTCGCGCCCACTATGACTCACCGTACGCGATTGCCAGTGAGACTGGGGGGAGCTCAACTTTCACGTTCCCTAGCATGGAACGCAAGCGCAGTGGGCCGGTGTCTGTTGGCACACCAACGAAGACGATCTATGACGATGAAGAACTACCTACTCCAACTACTTCCATAGCGAATGTTGCGCGCCTTCCTGCGCTCATGAGCTCTGGAGTACCTACTGGAGCAATGTTGCCACACATGCGCACGAAGAGTCAAACAGCAGTTATTATTGGAGATGTGGCTGCATTGAATGCAACACCTGTAAGTGCTCCTACGCAGGAGGAGCATCCTTCGATGGCGACCAAGACGAATAGCGGGGAATCGAACAACAGTGATCCTGACCAGCCAAAGAAGAGACATTGGTATAACATTCGAAGGAATCGTAGGCACAGCGAGGGTGATCGACTGGACAGTGGGGTGAGTGAGGTGGAGCCTGAAGGCAGTTCATCTCCCAAGGATTCTGGAAAGTCGTTTGTTGTTATTAGGGCACGGAAGCCTCAATCATCACAACCCGATACTCATCCACACATTCACAAGGTTAGATACTCAATGGACGAAACTGGAGGAGGACCTTCTTCTCAAGCAAAATCTCTGAAGCCATGAATTGACATTATAATGTGCATACACGCCTTTTATGCTTTGTTTTTACTTTGTCCTACTTTGCATGTATGATGTACCACCTCGTGATTCTTACGGTACGCATCATCTCTTGCATATGTAATATTTACTGCACTCGTGTGTCTGAACCACACTCTGTTTTGTGTTACTGGTACGTACGGTTACAGTACTGGATTTGATACATGCCCTGACATGAGATAAATTAAGTTGTCGTGATTAAACCGAAATAAGATGTCCAAGGAAGTTCCGAGTCAGTGAAAGGTTAGGGTCGTTCAGTCATCCACAGGGCTGCTGGTGTCACTTCCTAACCAGAAGATTCGCCAGTCCTGCCACTCCTTCCGCCACCACCCATATACACCTTCCTCGGCCTTCGCGCGCGACAAGAGTTCCTCCGTCTCAAACGAGCTGGTAGACATGGCGGACATGGCGGAATTCATTCTCTCCAACTGAGGCGCGCCGATGTAACGACGCCAACGTCCTCCAATCGTGAGGAACCCAGCCTCGCCGAGTGGATTCTGCGCAAAGGGAGGCTCAGGAAGTACCTTGCCTTTACCCTTACAATTCCCGGAAAGATATGATAGAGGCACTTCGTGTGCCTCAACGCCTTCATCGCCCATCCCAATCAACTGTAAGAAAGGTTCAGGGACTTCTTGTGGACTGCCCGGCGCTGGTAGATGCGTTCGGACAGTCACGCTCGAAGGCGGGAAATCCCAGGTTATGGTGTACAAAGGAGGTGTGGCTTGAATAGATGCAGGAAGGGGGGCAGCAACGACGTGTGTGATTTTGCCACGCGTGAGGACAAAAACGCTGCTGTGGGAGGCACCAATGTGAGGAATATGTATGGTTGGGATGTCGGCTTTTGAGGGTAAAACCCAAGCGCCTTTGTGTTCTTTTCCAGCCGCGAAATCGACCGAACCTCGAGACCGACGACTTGGGAGAGATCCTCCAGTGTTCAATGTCAGGCTGGATCCACTTCCACCTACAGGGGAAAGATTGCTAACGCTCCCTCCATTTTCGAACATATCCACTTCCGTGACTGCTGAATCAGCTACTCGTATGATTCCAGCCCTTTTGTCGAACACCACAAAAATTGCTGTTTGGGCTTCATATGCGATGTTCACAGGTGCAGCTACGGGTGTACGCGGGTTGCTCGAGGCATCTGCGGAAGCTACACGGTTATGACTATACCCAACAGTCGTTCGAGAAGATCCAACATCAGACAGGGATCGAAATGTATCTTGTACACATTGCTGAACGAAGGTAAGAGAACGTGGTGGGGATGGAGTGTAAAATTCCTGTAGAGTCTTGTAGTCAAATTAAACATCAGAAGATCGATACACACCTTCACGAAATGAAAAGCCCTCTCCCCTCTCGGAGTCTCGTATAAAAGTATGTTGGTCTTAGTTGCCACAGCAAGCAGTGCACGGCGAGTGGAGCTCGTGCTACCTTCGTGCCAGAGGGCATAGGAAACCACACTAGTATTTGACATTCTGGACCCAGTCGACGAGAGTGACGTAAAATCAGTAGCCCAGCGCAATGGTAAATCGTCAACGACATCCCAAGATGGTTCTCTCTTTGGTGGTATCGACGGGCGATTTGTATTTGATGTTGGAAGGAAACTGGATCGTCGCTTACGAGTGGGGGGCTCGGTGATGAGATTTCGTAAGCCTCTCGTAATACTATTTGCTGGTCTGTGCTTCTTCACTGGTGTCTCTTGGGGATGCCAGTCTGACAACCTGTGCAAATCAACTGGCTGTGCGTCCTGGCATAGCAAAGTGAATACGTGGGATGACGTGAGGGAAGACTAAGTAACTGTCTCACTTGATGTGCGATGGTCCACCTCGCCAGGCTGGTCAGACTTGCGAGTTTATACATTCTGAGAAAGCGCGGGGATTCTTGATGCGAGCCAGGAGATAGAGAATCTTCAAGCTCAGGACCGACCAAAGCAAGTACGACTCCCTGCGGGGCGCTTTCACCGGCGTCTTCGTACTCCAAAAGTGACAACTGGTAAACACTGTAATATACTGTCCGTTAATAGCTAGGCAAGGGGAATATGAATGATCGTTTACTTACGCCTCCCCTGTCCACATTACTTTGGCCTGTGCGTCAGCAGGTCCCTTCTGGATGAGGCCAGTCACCCCATCAGGACTTGTTTCATCTGCCCACTTTGCAGGGAACATATTAAGGACTGACAGCCCGACATCGGTACCCATGAGCAGGAGACGATCATGCTGGAGAGGAAGAATACATCTGATAGGCGCAGTTGAGTGTGGTAAAAAACGGGATCCGAAATGATGGATTGAGAGATGAGTTGGGGACAGGTGTTCCTCTGGTATGTGCAGAGAAGGCTCCAGCGATGGTTCTGGGGTTGTATATTCATCGCGAAGTACCTGCGGAGGAGGAGGAAGATCTGCATTTATTGTTAAGCGCTGCGGTGTTGAGCTGCGACACTCTGGGATAGAGTCGTCTTGATATTCCTCCGAATCCTGTGCGATGCCAGATGAGTAAATAAAAGCATCATGAGGCAGAATAGACACATACAGCAGCCTGCGAAGACCCATCTTCACTCCACCCTCTAGCTCGCCTGCGCTGAAATTCCTCGGCAGTGACGTCTGCATAACGCTCTGCGGCTCTGCATTCCGATCAAAAGCTAGCATACTAACCAAGACCAGCGTGCTCACCTCTTTTCTATCCAGCCTCTCCAGCGACCAAAGCTACCATCAGTGAATACGTGAGATTATGTCGATCAACGGGTTCTCCTGTTTGCGCACCGTGAATTTGGACCGCTTTGAGCTGCAACATCGTTATAAGTTGGTAGGTCCCCAGAACCCTGTTCATCTCGCTCAGCTCCCTGAGTGTAAGTCTCAAAACTCTCAACAGTGCCTCCTGGCGACGTGGACATTTCTGTTACCAAATTGACAGTGTCAGCGCTCAGCAGATACAAGGTGATGTGTTTGTTTGTAATGTGGCTAAGGTTACCGGCTGTGCAGGAAAGGAGACGGCAAGTCAAAACTAACAATACACACTACTAGCATGCAGATTTGCGTAAAAGTACTTTATGAATGAACTGGTTGTCAATGTATTGGACAAGGAAAGTCATTTCAAGAAAACGCCAGTCCCGTGAATGTCGCTACAGCACCCACCAGTGCTCCGCCAGCGGCAACACCGAGATTCCCCTTTTTTTTCCGCCCTTTCTCTTCTTCCTCCGTCAGACGTTGTTGAAGGAATTCCGCTGCATCCCCCTCCTTAGCCAATATAACCCATCGGTGCTCTTGTGAGCTTCCATTGGGCAGCACTCGGACGCTGAAACCTAGTTTTTCTGCGTCGCACTGTACAGCCTTGAGATCGATCAATGGGACGGAGAATAACATGGCAGGTGCAACCCCTGATGATTGCGTGAGATTATCGAGGAATAATGATCTCTCATCTGCGCTCATTGTTCGTGCCAAAGGATTTGGTTTCCTTTCGCAATCGGCATCAAGGAAGACAGTTTTGTTCATATCGACGAAGTCATTTGTGGGGTGGCTAGAAAGTGGTTCTGTGGACACTAGGCTCGCAGTTGGAGTCCGCAGCGTGCACGGCATAAGACGTGACAGGCCGGTACCCGGACTAGCACGACCAGTTGTGTATGGCTCGTTTCCCGCCCTGGAGCTGATTTCTGGAGCCTGATCCGGAGGTGATTCAGGACTAGTTAAAGTCCGTCTCCATCGCATTATTGCTCTCTGATCATCGCCATCGCCACCACCACCACCACCATCATCATGATCTTCATGATCTTCACCATCGGACACGTTACTCATCATTCCTGGTTGGAGAAGTCTCTCTACGATTTCGGAAGATGTGGTGGAGAGTGAAGTGAGACTTCCCGCTGGAAGAAGGGCAAAACGAACAGAGAGTCGGCGTTTGAGATTCTTGGATTGGGTGGGTGTTTCAGTGGAAACAGAAGAACGCTCGTCATTGAAATTTACAATGCGCAAGGATGACATTTCGTCCACGATATCTTCTGTGGCACCACTAGTCTGATCCGACATCGTAGGCTCAATATAAGGACAGCCGGAGCGAGGATGTCCCTGCCTGGGTCGGTGGCATGTCTTGCAGTGTGGAGCACGGCGCGGAGACGTGCCTGGAGTTGAAAGATCTGTGGTCATTCCAACACTAGAGCAAGTTTTGGCTTTGGATGACGTTGATAGTGAATTTGGGTTGGCAGAGCGAGTGACAGGCATCATTCTGCCAATCAGATAAAATTGTATGACGAGTTAGAGAGTAAATGAATGTGAACAACAACCTGAGAGTTTCTGTTGCGAGTCAAGGGCAAGGTATTTAACGCCCTTTGATGATTCTCTCCTCTACAAAAAGCACCTTCGGAGTTAAATAATACGATTGATGAAAGTGGCTGCAAAGACAATAGACTTTGTTTAGTCCAAGAAAGCTCCATTAGTGAATATTTGGATGTTCTCACTGGTGTCCAAGACGACTATATGTCAGACGTTGATCTGCTCACAAAAAGGGCTTCGTCGCGACCGTGACTGATTTGTTAGGCTCCTGAATAGTTGAAGTCACGTGTGCGATCGTCATCAACGGTAAACCTTGTGTGGAGACCAGCGTCTAGCGGCGCTATTACTAGGTTCACCGTCCAGACATACTGTCACAATCCACCAGTGCTTTGCACTTGAAGCTGAGCGTCCTTCTTCTCATCAAACAAAAATTGATTTAATTTTGCTCTTAGTTTATTTTCGTCATGCCACTCATCATTCTATCAGATGATTTAATACAGGGCGTCACGTTGCATTGGGCATTGTCCCCTCATTACTCCATCAATGGCCCATGCATGATAATGTCCAGCTTTGCTTTATAACCACACACTCTCGCACCCTTGGGACGACGGTGTTGTCTATCTGGACCGATACCGTGACATATCCTGACTTTCAAAGGCTCCAGAATACGTCCACTACCGCGAATTGTACTACATCACAATCAATATGTGAATAAACGTATGTATGGTATATGTCAGTCATGGTTTCTACGGTCTTGTCGATGCTCCTCATAAGTGGTTCAAAGGGCGTGCATCTCTTTATCCAGCAAAGTAAGCCACGAGTTTTGTGTCGCTGGCATGGAACTGACTTGACTATATAAGAGCAGCTATTTTTTGCCATCATCTGCTCTATGAAATAGATTTCTATCACGACGCCGCACCGTATGACCTATGCGTATTTATCTATCTTGAGCATTCCTGGTCGGCATTAAAGCTGTATGGCTCAATGATTATGAAGTAGAGGCCCCGAGTCAGTCACGCTCCGAGGCTCCGCCGTGACCACAGCACACATCGCCATCCATAACCCCACCGGTCTGTAATAAGAGGCTCCTTTCAATTGTCATCCACGGAAGTCTAAGGAGCCCTCGAACACGGAAAGTCTACCCATATTTGTGCTTTTAAGTGTCACCAGGGACACTCTCGAACCCTCTTGATCCCGAACTGACACTTCCTTGCTTCAGGTGCTAGTGAATTTAGCAAGCACTGGCTTTACCTCTCTCACGTTTTGTGTATGCCTAAATGACAGGATGCCCGGTTGATAATTCATGCATGCCACACGAATGGCAGCGTTTATTAACGTTGCCTTCACAAGACATCTCAAGACAGTTCAAGAATTCCAAACTTATCCTCCTGTTTTGGAGTATTTTTTAAATCAGCTACTAAAAAAGTCCCTCAAGCGATCATGTGTATAAAGACTAACACAGTATGCAGTGAGTCGCGGTTCTCTAGTTTGGTGCGGGGGTCGGTGTTCTCACCTGACAGCAAGACAGGTGTCAGCCGCTTACACTCAAGAGCGAGAGCCTGCATCTTAATTTATGCAATTTCTCCCGGTCAGAACGAACGCAAGTATTACCAAAGTTCGGTTCTTGCCGTGACCGTCCTCATATGATTTCATGCTGCCCAAAAGGATACCTTCCATATATCCGAAGTCTCGCATGTCATTACATTATATGCAGACTCTGGCGGTGTTAAGACACAGCCATAATAAAAAAACACACTTCTTATTACTCATTTCTGTCATCTCTTGTCATCGTCACCGCGTCGCTTCTTGGATGTTTTAGATTTCTTCGATTTTTTGGATTTTTTAGATTTCTTCAGGGCTTTTTCTTCTTTCCTCTGTGCCAAAATGTAGTCCCGCATAGGATCTTCCGGATCGATGGAAATAACCGAAGATGCATCTGAATCCGATGCTTGACCTCCATCTGGGACGGCAACACGCATTAAAGTGTGCCTGCAATTTAGGAAGGGGGCCACTCACTAATGATCATCTCTGGCCTGGCATTCAAACTCTGTTCTTCAGGTTCCTCCCACTCTCCATCCTCGCCTTTCACCTTTGGCTGTTTATAGTTCTTTACGTGGTCTACACGCAGCGTCTTGCCCAGTACATTGGCACCGTTGAGGTTATCGACAGCCAACACAGTGGACCTTTGATCTTCATACATGAGGAAGGCAAATCCCCTCGGTTTTCCAGTCGTTTTGTCCCGAGGGAGATTGACATCCATAACTTCCCCATACCTTTCCAAGCGGTTCAAACGACATTCAAATAGCTAGAGTGATTGACGCACTGGGAAAATATAGTGATCACGTCACCTTCAGTCAAGTCAAAGTGCAGACCGCCGATGAATACATACGCAGAATCTAGTGTAATGCGCGCGTCAGAGCACTGGAACACTGCAGTGAACTGCGACTCACCCTTGTATTCATCATGCCATGAACCTGAAATCCCGAGTTCAAGTTCACGTTCATTGATCTTATTTATTTCCCGAACGACGCTGCCAAAATTCAAGAATTAGATGGAATAGACTTCGGAAGAAACGATCATAGACTCATACCCACTTCATGACTGTAGAGGATGAAGACGAGATTCCCACGCCCTCCTGAACTCAAAATTTCGGTAGCTCATCTTGTTTGCCATCAACGCAGACCACAATGGCTTCCTTCACTTTACCGCCAATTCATGACAATCCTGATGGAGGATGGGGTCCATCGTCTTCTAACATTCCTGAACAGTTCAAGTTCAAGGACATCCCATATGCGCCATACTCAAAGTCTGATAAGCTTGGCCGCTTCGCTGATTGGAATGATACCACAGGCGATACTCGCCAAACTGCAGTAGGACTTCCCTCAACAAGGGATGCCCGCGGTCCAGGTCGCTCAAGAAGAGATGGTGCTCAGGCATTCGGCAGTGGGACTGCCAGTGCTTTCGCTTACTTCCATGTGGAAGACGAATCCAGCTTCTCTCTGGTGGACAATAAAGCTGCTCCTCCACGCAGGGGTGGGTTCACCCGTGGAAGGGCTACTGGCCGTGGCGGTATGTCCTTTGCCAATCGGGGGGTTGCTCAACGAGGTGGCCGTGGCTGGTTTCAATAACCGAGGGGGCGCACAGCGTGGGGGTCGGAAAGGATGGAGAGATTGGGAAAAGGTTCACTGCGTGTCCTATTTACTCCTAGCCCAACTAATATTTTCGTGGATCAGACAAATCGCACTCGTGAATCGTCTGTTGCAATCAGTCCACAATGGACCATGTTGGAGGAGATTGAGTTCCATCGGCTTGCCAAGCTCAAGCTTGAAGTCGATGATCCGGAAGATATGTGAGTGTTTCTAGTTCTTCTGCTATCGTTCCCTATCGAAGACAGCCACTAGTGACACTTACGGCCGCGTTTTTGCGTATGATAAATCATATGATCGAATTACAACGAAGACCGAACGCCCGTTACAACTCGTGGACCGCATTAAGTATAACACTACAACTTCTGATGATCCCGTCATCCAGCAGGTATGTTCTGCTATCTCTGCACCTTATGCTGCCTAATGTCGCACATAGTTGGTCTCCAAAAATGTTGCCAATGTCTACACCACGGATGCTATTTTGTCGGTCCTTATGTGCGCACCTCGATCAGTCAACCCTTGGGATATTGTCATTCTCCGTGAGGGTAATAATCTTTACTTCGATAAGCGTGATGGTGGTCCATTTGACACTGTTACGGTGAACGAAAACGCTTCGGACCCTCCGCAGGACCCTACACCCCCAAACCCAAATAACCCGGCCGAGAAAACAGCGGTTCCAGAGCCACCATCCATTAATTCAGCCACGTCACTTTCTTTGGAGGCGACTTACATCAATCAAAATTTTGGATTCCAATCTGTTCAGGAAAACATCACGGCAGACTTTGCCCACCCTAACCCATTTTATGGCCCAGAAGAGACAGAGCCTTTAGCATCTTGCGGATACCGCTACCGTGTTTTCGACCTTGGTATTACGGAGGACGAAGATGTGAAAATCTGTATCCGCACTGAAGTGGATGCTTATGTTCCCGGACCAGGAAATCCACAAGAGGGCCACGGATTGGTCACCATTCGTGCATTGAACGAATTTGATCCCCGTGCCCAAGGAGCAGGCGGTGCTCCTGACTGGCGGTCCAAGCTGGATTCACAGCGTGGCGCTGTAGTTGCTACAGAAATGAAAAACAATAGTTGCAAACTTGCCAAGTGGACTGTACAGAGTGTGCTGGCAGGAGCTGAACTAATGAAAATAGGGTAAGCACCGTTTCTTATTCGAACTTTCAAGCACTTTTGTTCTTTTTTGTGTTTAACAACTCCCAGTGTCGAACTTTTTTGACCTGCGTTCATAGTTATATCTCGCGTGGAAACCCTAAAGACAACACGCGACACGTCATTCTGAGCACAGCTTCCATGCGTCCAACCGACTTTGCTGCTCAGTTGAATGTCTCTCTCGCCAATGGCTGGGGTATCGTCAGAACGATCACCGATTTATGTATGAAAATGCCTGAGGGCAAGTACGTCCTTATTAAGGACCCCAATAAGGTAAGAGCCACACCAGTCTATTTGGGTTCATTCTAATTCATATGTTTCAGTCGGTGATCCGTCTCTACGCTGTGCCTATGACTGCTTTCACTATCGAGGACGAGGACGGTGAGGGGTACGAAGGGGATGAACCCGAGTCCGCGGCTTGAAGATACTCTTTCACACCGAGCTATGTATCTTAGTGTGCAAAAATATATATGCATTCCAAGAATGCGTGAGACACTGTTTACAAAGAGATGTATGCGACGGTGTTCAAACTGAAATCGTCAGGAAGCCAAGAGCAATTCAACTGCTCTCTCGATGTTTGGACTACAAGTCACATGTCAGAACCTGACACTATCTTTGGAATAATAGGAAAGCTAACCTCCTTTGTAACGCCCCGACGATAACGGCTCGTTGCATATTTGGGAACATTGTTGTCAACTGAGTAATCTCAGCGTCAGTCGGGACACGAACCCCTGTGGTGCCTTGCTCGTTCCTCCCCGTGAGTTCGTTAACCCATTCCCGCATGACAGAACCTCCTGTTTCTTCTGTGCCTGTGGAAGGACGCGCGGTGGCAATTATCTCTTCATTCCCGACGTCAGGGCTAGACACTTGATGAGTTGTTTCGGGACGAGCGCGGGTAGATCGTCGTGGTGCGCGAGTAGAGCCCACTAATGGAAGTAAGAAACGCGTACTAAAGCGGATTATGGACGGTGACAGTCGCCAGCTTTTAATATTGACAAGTTCTGAACGATATATGTAGCCAGTGAGCAGTCCAACGACCGCCGAAGCAAATGAACCCGGAAGGTGCCCTAAAGCAAGCTGATGATAGTTATATTAACGATAGAACGTGGACCAAATCCAGGTATTACCTGAGAAGCGAGTATGTACATGAACGCTTTATTGCTTCCAGCAATTCCAAATATTCGAAAATGGTACGCTGGAGGAATTAGCCTATACCACTGATATAGGATGCTGAACAGTAGCGCCGATGGACCAGATGGGATCTGGTTGATTCCCATGTTGTGGAATAGTATGAGAGCAAGAAACTCTAGTATCGTTGCAAGTAGAACGGAGGCAACGGTAAATGACTTTATTATAGGTTAGGGCATCAACATCAGAACGGATATGTTGCTACGCACCGCGAATTTGACACTTCCAAACTGACGTTCTACATGTACACCGACGCCATATAGCACAATCACAGCAATGAGGAGATCGCTTGAGTTTGAAAACGCAGTATGGTGAAGCAAGAGACGCCAATACTGTAAAGAAGTGTTTCTAGTTCAGATTCAGTTTTATGAAGCATGAACGGACTTCACTCGGATACCTGATGGTTGCGTGACACGTGAGGCACGAGCTGCAAGAATACAGTTAGCTGAGCTAAAAAGTCTTTCTGTTTACTGATAAAGACTCGAACCTGAAGGTGTAAATAGTGCTTGACATCGAATATGCCACCGACAATGGATGTCAATGCGCTACCCATCATGAGACCTATAACACAGTAGGGAAGAGTAAGTGAACTGGTTCATGAAGTGAAGCAACCTCGTTAAACCTTTGGTGACGGGAGCGTGCTCGAACGACATGACGGTGCTTGGGAGGACTCGAGAGTAACACGTCGAGGTCACCGGGTGCTGCCAGTGGTGGGCATTCAGGCGCTCAGACTGTGGCTGTGCACTTTTCTCCCGGCTGTGATGAATCATGATGCCATGAATCATGATTGCACGATACTCATTATCTAGTCAAGGATCATCGATGTCATCGATCGAGTCCGAACGGACTTGAACTCAAGTAAGTACCGGTATGGCACGACTCGCTAATTTTTGTTCGTCTAGTCGTTGTCTTGGCGCAAAGAGACAGTGTATCGCTCGCGGATCCTGCTGCTGCGTGCGGTCCACTGTCTAAATGCACTGGTATAACTCGTATATTAGCTCGGGCCACTAGGTGCACATGAAATCATGAAAAGCCGTTTCAATCATGTGTATGGACTCTAACGTGTTTAGGCTCTACTCGTCTTATCGACTCAGAATTCTCACTATCTCAACCTAGAACCTCATAATCTTTATCAATGGCGGCCATCCCGTCTAGTCATTTTCCCTGGTCGCTTCGGTAAAGAAGCAGCTCACGGACTTGCTAAAATTCCTGGCTTCCATGCTCCACAACTCCATTCGCAGGGACGTCTTTCACATTTACCGAATAATCCAACCTGTGGCACCGGATTAGGCTTAAGATTGTTTTGTGATCTTAAACTGACGATTCATAGAACGCGTCCTTGTTTTTACTAGATCTGCCATACAATGTATTGGCTGGCTTGTGGACGGACAACGGTCCCTCTATTGATGACGGAAGGTTGCGACCTCATTCTCCTTGTCCCGTGTCATGATCCACCGACAATTACTTCCCATAGGGGTAAGAATTTCAAACCGGATCGATAAGGACATTGATTGTCTAGGCACCGAGGCTCACGCGTCTCATTCTTGCGTGTGACTTGCGCCGTTATAACAGCGCACGGGTACACATTTTGCAGTACCAGACGATTCAGTTGATCAGCAGAATACGGCAGATGCAAGGATTTAGATCCCAAGGACTCCGCGGAACTGTGGGTGCCAATAATGGATGAATTGTCGCGGGCTTGGTGAGATGCTATGAGGGTGTTTTATGTTGGGCTTCTTTACATCCCTGCAAGTTCGTCCAGGAATCTTTTTGACACTTTCAGCTCAAGTCGCCGCGGACGGTCCTGCCTGCAATAGTAGTCTCTGGCCCCTGGGTATCTTGAGCTTAATGACGCTTAAATCAGGTTCTCAGGTGCTTACAGTTGTTCGCGTGCTGTCCAGCAGCAAGGGACTCGGACACTAGGCTGGTGGCACGACAGCTGTCTTTGAGCACGCGCTTGTCGCAGTCAGTGACGTAGAGAGGTTCACGGATAGCGAGAAACTCGGCGGCGGGGGTTGCCTGCATGCAGGTACCCGTATCAGATAGACGCACAAACGTTTGCCGTCATTGCCAACTAACTTAACTGAAAACGGGGTCCGTTTTTCGCATGGAGAGGTACGCGTGTCCAAAGAGTCTCATGCACACGGCCATTTTCATCCGATGAGTTACGTCCTCGTCACGGTGAAGCCCCTTTATTGTCAGTATTGAGGTGAGTTGAGAGGTACCGCACGGAGCGTATTGAGTCACACAATCAATTTGGTTTTCCGATAATAGTACTCTGCAGCTAGACACGGTGCCTCTGCGACATTTTCTCGCAGTGGCTAATCTAGGCAGTCCCCCCGGGCCGCCATCCTCGCTCCCGCCCGGTTCCTTGTCATCTAGCAAGCTCCACACGCTACCGATTACGACGAGCGCGTGCTGTTCAGGGTCATCGAACGACTCACCGTATAGCCGCTTTCGTCCGAGGGCACTAAATGTTCCCCGCATAGGGTCATGCTCTATAGCAGGATAACAAATTAACCCTGCGAAAACTGCCCGCATATGTCAAGGACAAGCTTAGTTGTAGATCTTTGTCATACATACATGGATGACAGTTGGAAGCAGAGCATTAGCTCTTCTTCTAGGAGCCTTCTCATAGCATCATGTGCATGGGACTCGGATCTAGATGTATGACTTGATCGAGTTGCCCGCGCGCGTGCTAGTTAAACGCAGATGGACACTTTTGAGCATCAATGGAATTCGGAGGGTGTAATCTCCATTTTACTTAGAGTTTTTCGGTGCTGTCCCCTCTGAAACACGAAGCCGAAGAATATATACACTCGTGACCAGTGATAGTGCGCCTATGACACAAGTCCGCAGGTCACCAGTCCACGCCACCGATCGGTTGGGAACACTAACACAGAGAGCTGGGGCAGTACAGAACTTCCTACAGGGCCATCATATTCAGCAAAGGCATCGGAAGACCAAAAGTGAATGAGATGCGAACTAGCTTAGACACCCCCGACGGACTCAACCTTAACGACGACATGTAGGGTTCAATAGCAATGGCGCATTTAGTAAGAATTGACCACGGTGGCATCGCTACATACTGCTGAATGACAGTGCGGAGACCTGCTCGTGGAGTTCGCATCAATATAAGATGATATCGAAGGACAGAACTTTGTGTACATTACATAAACACAGCATTACCGCAGCTTCATCGCAATGAACAGCATCCCATCATTGTTGCGGCTTCACTACGGATAGCCAAAGATAAGACAAAGTGTAAATGAACAATTTCGCGAGGTAGAAATGCGCCCCAAGGCGCATCATTACAACCATCCCATCTCTGATATGATTAGAACACTCCGAGTCGTTGGTATCTCTCCGTGCTTCGCAGACTGTTCAGGGATTTGAATGTATTTATTTTTATTGGATGGTTATTTCAACACTTCATTGTATTCGCCATGGTGGCGTCGACAGCGGAGTATTCGACCGGGACTGAATGTCGTATTTCAAAGATATGCACAGCCGAACCTTCCACGCTACTGCGAAAGCGGATGGATTGCAATGTTCCTGATAAAGTTTGTACGACAGGTGATGTCAGTAAGCGTCTGGGCCTTGAGAATGTGAAGACGACATTGGCTGACCTTGAGTGCCAAGTTCAACGCGGTACATCTAGTATACTATTCTTGTGGTTATCATGGTCGACGTCGTCACACGGTCGTTAAAATGGCACATCGGGTGTGTTGGTGATCAGGTCATCCCAATGTTTCATCCTGTGAAAGCGTTTCGATCGTGTCAGCGAAAAAGTCGATGACATGAACCTCACCAAAATTAGCACATGTGATCATAGATTCGCAAATGCTGTGGTTTTGTGAGAAAGTGGGAGTGTAGAAGTCCGCATAACCTTCTTCGTGTATTCGACCAGCACCGACTCGGAGAACTGGTCATGACGGAATTGACGCACGGACAACAGAGAAGACTTGCACAACGTGCGAAAGTTCTCATTGAAAAAGCGAGGTGCCCCGTTAGCTTCTTTATTTAGAAGGGACGACCGTCGTCCTTCGTCTATAAGGGTCCGGATAGGGGAGACTACTTTGATCCTATCAGTGGCGCAGGATGCTGGGCATAAGTCGATGTTCAGGCTGCACCATAGCAGTTGGGTATAGTCAGCGCTATGCTTCCGTTATTCCATGGCATTGTTGCTGACAGAACCTGCGAACAGCTGACATCGACCTGTTCGAATATGTCGACACCCTTGCGCCTTGACTTGATTCGAGTTGGATGAATGATGAACGGTTTTCATTGGTTGACTGCGCCTTATTACTTTCATTACATAACTCCAAAATTCGCGGAGTTTGAACACCACGGTCGTGGTTTGTCATCTGGTCAGCATACCCTGAGCCGAAACCTCAACGACTGACGATTGACAATATTAGAACGTGGAGACCATGAGCACTGCGAGCGTCCAAAATTTGGAGGAAGCTGTCACGATAGCGTCAGAGTTCATAATGAGTGAGCCAACCTCAGAGTTCATGTGATTTGGCAAGCTAAAGAGGCTCAATAATCAGCTCTTGACAACTTGCCTAGCGAAGTACAATTTCTGCTGCAAGAGCTTCGTTCGAAAGAGACCGATTCTCAAGGTATGCAGCTACAATATTACAGACTCTGACAAAACATTTATTTATATTGAAGACATTCAGAATGATCTAGCCAAAGAGGCTCATAAATACATGCGACATGTCCTACGATCAGACGGCACAGACCCCATTTCGAAAGAGAAGGATAGGACGATAGCACCGCCGACTGAGAAACTGAAGGATGCTCAAGAGAAACTTTCAGTGCTTTCAGACGAGAAAATTGCTCTGGCCTCTCGTATTGTCGACCTACTCTCTAGGAAGCGGGCCCGGTTAGAATATGACCTGGGCCGTGTCCTTGTTCTACAAGGAGAAACAGATCCAGCATCTGTTTTCGCCGGAGCCGCATCTTCGACTCCAGTTTCTGTATCAGGACTTGGTAGTGGCACTGCCGGCTATGTGCTTGGAGGACGCAATCCAGCCGCTCAAATTAATGAAAGCTTGCGAAATGCGTTCGCTGGCGGTACCGCCACCCCTTTGGCAAGTGGCTCAGGAAGCATGGCCTCTGCCGGAGGGCGTGCTTCGGTTGCTGGAGAAGACAATGCTTTCAAAAGTGAGTTCGCGCTTGTGCGATTGAACTTTGGTGCTGAATGTTAGATTCAAGAACGGAGATTGATGGCGACGCAGGGATCTATCAAGCTGCCATCACCGGCACCGTCTGCTTATGTACCGTCTACTCGAGGTCGCCGAAGAAGACGGGGAGCTTCATCTGAGGCTGAAGACTTCGATTTTGATTATGGAGATGAAACTCAAGGTGCAGAGGAAGCAGAAGCAGAGGAAGGTGATGGCGAGGAGGGCGAAGATGGCGAAGACAAGGAACTGTACTGCTTCTGTCAGAAGCTGAGTTACGGAGAGATGATCGCGTGTGACAACCCAGATTGCCCGTATCAATGGGTAAGCCTAATATTTCATCTTTTGGCAACCGTAATCTGACACGTTTGTAGTTTCACCTCCCTTGTGTCAACCTCAAGCAACCACTGCCCGAGAGTTGGTTCTGTGACGACTGCATTAGAAAGATGGGTCCTCCTGCATCTGGTCCTGGCCGTAAGGGCCGGAAGAAATAAACCTTGCTACCCTCGCTCACCATTTCGGGCTTTCCCCTACTATGTCCGTCCTTGGCAACGTTCGTGGCAGTGGAGTACGGGATAGAACCCAGCCAGATATGACCGAGTAAACCGAGAGTACACTCACGACACAGGCTGAAGTGAAATCAAATCACAGGTCCTCAAGCAGGGCGTCTACTGTGAGAGCATTCGTCCATAATGGAATACTTCTTCCTCGTCGTGATCGTGATGGACCCAATCCGTACGTTCGCTTGTTGTCTTACTTGGTTGGTCTTCTGCTTTGTAGTATACTGAGTGCCTCTCTGTGGCCTGTGCATGTGGCTTCGGAGCTGTCTAGGTTCCGTTGGAAGCATGGATCCACAAGTAGATTGTACGCGTGTACATGTGGTGAGGTGGTCGACTCCTGAATAAGAATCCTTCCTTCCTTCATGAATAAGCGCTGTCAGCCCGTCTGAATTTCCCGCGTTTGAAACTAAACGTATGTGTGTGGCCTAGTAGTCTCGCCAAGTAAAATTCCAAGACTAAGCCTCCCACAGTGCAAACTACACTGCCGCCGGTGTACCTGTTATGCGGGGTCAATTTCTACACGTTCGGTTTTCGTTGGTTTGTTGAAAGCGAAGAAGAACCTTATTGTTGACGTGCCCGTTGAGTGGCGTAGCGCTGCTCTCGAAACAGCAGCACAAGCGGCCTGTACTAATACTCATACGATTACTGTTCGTGGTGCTAAGATCTAAGATAGCTAGCTGTTGACCATAGGGGATAACTCCCATGACTTGCCCTCCACGTGTGATGACTGTAGTGGCGTTTTGCAGGCACCGACATTCTTATTGTGGCGCGAGACCCACGTAGGCCATATGGATGGATGGTGGAACGCACATTAAGGCTCAGCTGAGTTGTTGGCTTAAACAAAAGAAGGCTCCTTAAGATGGAATAGGAGAAGCTCTTACATACTTGAAAATGGAAGCCGGGTGAAACTTGAGTCAGTAAACAAACGACGACGGACCTGTACCCACTCTTGGCCCACAATTAATGGCTGAGGGCATAATTACCATATGCCATAACGGATTCGTAACGGGTTTACAACTATATTTTTACTTCACGAGCACCCTGGTTGCGATGTATCGATGCTAGGACCGCGGTTAGATATAATGCCGTGATGTCAAGTCTTTTCCATGTCTATCTAACCAAACCAACGATCGTATACTCGGTGATGCCGGAGGCGTAACTGTGTGAATGAAGTGAAAGCTATCGACTGGTTCGCTGGCATCGGCTTTCCGTCGTGTCTCTGCTCCACTGGGTAACCGACCTCGGGTAGAATATGGGCGCAAATTATGTTCTCTAATGAAAATCTCGCTAGAGGGTCGTACGGCTAGTGGGGGGCTCACACTAAATTACTCGTATGTAGCTTAATACAGAACAGGGTTACACGCTTGTCTCGACTTCTGATTACGGCATCATGATTATGGCGGCGCGTTCAAACCGTCCGACGGGTAACGTAAGTCTCCCTCCTGCCACCACACGACCGTCCCCGGCGGTGATCTATTGTACGTAGCACGTCGCTCTGAACAGGGCACAGACGTCTTAGAAGCCTTCGTGGCGTTTATGTCCAGGGCCCGGGTTAAACGGCCCGACAAGTGGCGTTAGGAATGACTCGTCCACCACGTACTTTTCATCCATCAAGCACGCCAGGAGGAAATCCAGGCATAAACGGATCACCCAGGCCAGAAATGTACCACAGTGCACAAGTGCCCACATTCCCTGCGCCCTGTTGCCAATACGTACATAGTGCTAGTGCCCACGGCGTGCCTCCGGATAATTTCAAGATCACCGTAGAACTTCGTTTGAAGATAGAAAGACGCGAACCTGCCTAGAAAACTCTGGTTCGCTGTGAAAAGTACGGAGTTTACCGGTGTGAGGAGCAGCTCATTGGGCAGGAGAAGCGTTCATCGCGAGCTGCCGAAGACATGTGCTTCCAGTTCGATAAGTAGTAAATTACTATCCTATGACCGGAGCCGCGCAATCGAATCCTACTTTGGAAGAAGCCCTTGCAAATGGGTGTGGCACGCTAACAAAGTGCTCTTGATAAGACCCTTTGAATGCCGGAGTACCAGTGCACCCGCGAATGGTTCCTGTCAATGGTTATGAATAGAAAGGGGTATGCCACTTAATTCAGAGCTGCGGCGACCTCATGATACCCTGACGCCTTTCCTCCCCCCCTCTTCCAATACCTGACGATAGGAGGTTGGGCTGTGGAGTCTCTGTGGGTCACTCATCCGCTGACATCGCACTGGAACCGAGCGAGCTACCATTCGCTTGGACTCACATGATACTGCTGTCTTTCCATAACAGTGTACCCTCCTTTGGGCAATGGTGAAGAGAGACAGGCACATTGAGTGTCCGACGCCCATACAAGACGGGAAAAACCGAATCGACTCAGTCTGAGTTAGCCAATACTAACCTTTGGGGCACGTGGAGTGGGTGGGTAGACATAGATAGAAGTGGGCGGCCTAGGACGTCCTCAAATTTGCAAACAAGGGTTTCCTGAGGGTTTGCGCTAGGAACGTTCATCTTCAGGGGTTCGGGGAGACTAGCGACTTGCCCGTTCATTTAATCGTAGAATGTGCCAATGAATGAACGATAATTGTGGCCGTTAGTACTATGCTAGTGAACCACCTATGAGGTGGCGCGAGAATGGCCCATCGGCTTTAAACTTAAGTTGCGCGACGAGTCACGATAAGCCCCCGTCCCGCTTATATTCAGTACGTTGACCCAGTATACTCCACACATAGCTTTTTTGACAGCGGTATCAATGTAATTGTGCAACGTGATAAACTTATGAAAGGCGCTCAAGCAAAGTTCAAGACCTGCAGACAAAAATACGTCATCTAGACCACAATGCTGGCTACAAGCAGAACACCGTAACCTGACACGCGTCCTGCAGAGGGGAAGGCAATGTCAATCCTTATGCCTTTTCATCTCCGTCTCCGCGCTGCACAGTTAATGTAATGAAAAGATGAAATCATGGAGGTGCTTCTGGGGCGGGCGATGTGATTATAACACATGTCCCACACTAAACCCATGTTTCAAAGTCGAGGAAACCTTCTTCAACCTGTGCCACATCAGTGATCATACTGGAAGATTCGCGCTCTGGGATTTGAATATTCACCGTACTTGATGCGAGGGATGATCCACCATGTGTCTGTGTCTGTGTCTGTGACATACTTATGATGTACAATTGCTCCACAGGGTTATAGGATGAACCAGGCAACCGAACAATTTCAATTGACGACGGAGCTTCTGGTATTTCCCCGACTCGGATTGCTAGAGGTTAGAGATACCAGTAAGATGAATAGAGCCTGTGTTTCATTGGAAAGTTGAAATACAAGCGCCATTACGTTGAATACTAGACTCTGGGCCACAAGTGCCCAATCTGAGGACCATAGGACTCCCGGAATGAAACCGACAAAGTTACACCCCGCCAGTGCAACAATACAGCATCGCAAGCATAGCCCATGCAAAGATGATCACATGGATAAGCTTTGGGGTTATGCCGTGACAGTGCTGTAATTCCGACGAACCATAAGGTCCATAAAGAGGACACAGCATGGATGCATGTGGCAGGATGTTCAATTGTCCTTTCGGGTGTAGCGCTAGCACAGGAATTCAAGAAGGGCGTTAGAATGATGCTGAATTGAGGCAACATGAGAGCGGGCTATGACGGGTGACGAAACAAGTTCATTGAATTGGACTGAATCCAATTGGACCTACCTCTCGAACCTTGATCTTCCTTTGAGTGAGTTTCGGTGTACAGTATGGCGTGATGGCGAATGCGGATGATCGCAACAAGGGTAGGTCGGAAGTTGGTAAGATACCGGAGTTTCAAGTTGAACTGAAGTTGTGGATGACCCCGCGGAGGAGAGTTCAGATAATGGTTATCGAGGGGAGGTTGAATTAACCCGCAGTACTCGTGAGCGGTGTTCAGAAGCGATAGGCCTGGTTTAACCATCAAGAGCTTAGACCACGGATATATTTCATTTATCGATTCGAGCTAGGGGACGTGGGTGTCGGGGGTGGATGGGGCTCGCCAAGCGGGACACCCCACAGGATAGGATATCGCACTGGAAGTTAGGACCAGCAAAGCAAGTTCCATATTTAGACACGAAGCACTGTGAGAACTAATAATAAGAATGGAGCTGCGCAGGCGGCCACTCGCAAATAGGTACGGTAAGTGGCAGGAAGACCTTTGTGGCAGTGAAGTATTGTCAAAAAGAAGAATAAAGGTGAACACAGGATGACTCAAAGGCTACGGCAGCGTATGCGGAGGATCAAGAAGACTTCCTAAATTGGATCTTATGCGAAAGTAGAAACATTTAACTCACTCTTTTCAAGGGAGACGGGGTTTGACTTGCAATAATTGGCGGAGGGTGAGGGGAAGCGTGAGATAAATAGTCTTAAATAAGTAAAAATGGTACAATACACGGGGTCACAAGACGGCACGATGTCGGCACGGAGGGCATTATCCAATCAGGACAGGCCAACGAAGTGAGACTAGGACTCAGTTCCGACGGGGCGCTACTCTCAAGTTAAAAATTGTTAAAAATGTACAAATTTATTGTGAAGAGAGCGTTTGCATGCTGTGCGTGGGAATTCAATGGACGTAATATGGAGGAAGCGGTTTGTTTGTTTGTGTTTGCATTATATTTGATTATATTTGGGGCGCGATAAGAGATCTACCGGAAGAATCTGAATCTTGTTTTGAACGGGATGTTCCGCGAGTACCGAGATAGTGGAACGGGCTAGAAAGAAAGAGTAACCAAAATCTGGGAGAGGAGCTTTTTGCTCTAGTCCAAATTTGAACACTGCATGGACCTTCTTCTTATAATTTACCCGTACAGTGTCCTTTACCGATTCTTGTCTTCAACAATTCTAAACTTTTTTTTTCTTTCAATCCTCTGTCATGGATTTTGCAGCCTACGCATCTCCATACCCCGACTCATCCCCCGCCTACTCCGAGTCTTCTTCGACTCCTCGTACTCCATCTCCTCAATCCGTTGACCTCATCCCCACTCATAACTTTAAACATCCGATCCCCACTGTTCCAACAATATTTCAGGAAGACTCATATCTTCCATCCGACGTAGGATCAATGATCCAAAATGATTCTTGGGTTTCCCAAGCCAACTACAACAATTATCCTGCGCCACAAGGCTCCCTCCTTCGCGAGTTGTACGAGCCCGAACCCTACCAGAGTGAAGCGTACATTGACGATCACGCGCACTACAATGAATGGCAGCACCAACAACAACAGCAGCAACATCATCATCAACAGCACCAGCAAATGCACTTGCGCCAGCCCGACCACCACACACTTCGTCGCGCCACTTTCCCTTATGTCAGACATGACTTTCCCCAGCACCATATACCTCACCACCCCCAATTTTATGACCAATACCCGTCCATGTACAATGACTCGCTTTCAATGTCCCCAGATCCATCTGAGTCCCGTCACCCCCACGATCCTCAGTCCATTAAGCTAGAGGACACCCCCCTCATTGTTCCTTCCCAATTGGGTTTCGCAGCTCATACTCTTCACGGTCATCACCACCCTGGTTTCCTCCCCTCCGGAGCCGGTGCTTCAGTTCCAATTCAACACACAGATGATGCTGCTAGCAAAGAGACTCAGTACCTCAGAAGGCGTTGTTTTAATTGCCATACCACAGAGCCGCCTTCATGGCGCCGCTCCACTCTCAATCCTGGAAAGATCGTCTGTAATAAATGTGGTCTTTATGAGCGTACCCACTTGCGTCCACGTCCCCTTCGCTTCGATGAGCTAAGGGCGGGTGGAAAGACGCGTAAACCTGGCGAAAAGAAGGTACAAAAACCTGCTCCTCTGGCTGGTTCACCCCAGATCAAGAAGGAGCCGCGAGAGTTCGGTATGGCAAGGCGTAGCTCCGTTTCGAGCACCGCATCGAGTGGTGGCGCAGTCAGCGACTGGGATGATAATGGTAAGTTTCATTATTTCTTACCCGTTGTTAAGCACGTGCTAACAATTTCACAGTGTCGGTGTATTCGTCACAGCCTCCTACCCCTGGCTCTATCTCCGGCCCTCCTTCTAGCTATTCATCGCCTTCCATCGCCACGTTCCCCATTCCTCGTAGTTCGCAGAGCCCGCCTATCGATGCCGGCCCTCAGGGTCCAATTCGTCTCCCTAACGCCCCGTTGACAGACATCGCGTCTCTTCAACAACAAGCGCCTAGGAAGTCGGCAACTGCCCCGGGCTACTTCCCGCAACCTCCAGTCTCATACCAGGGACAGGAGATGTTGCGTCGGGGCTCAATGCCTAGGCATTGCGAGCAGCCACGCCAAGTGCAGTTTGCTTCGCCGCAGATTCCAACGCAATCACTAGCTCCCCTGCAGGGTCCTACTTCGGAAGCGCCCGCTGAAAAGTCGCCGCAGATCGCGCAGATGCAGATTTTGTCACCTCAAATGATCACTTCATCGCCTGTACCCGCAACAGCCGAGCCACCGTCATCCTGAGAGGACGGCACGAGACACGTGTTTTTCATGCCTCACCCTGATTATCACGCTCGTTTGGATCTTGGTATTTATTCCGTTTTACAACTCAATTCGCACATCGTCATCTTGAGCTCGATTTTCGCGGCCTATTTAATTATTCACGTCGTCGCAAAACGGCGACCGACAAAGACGCGGGCAAAACGGTATCTATATCCCGACATATATCCTGTATCCTATATTTCCCGCCTCGCATTCAACCCTGTCGACTATGTCTATATTGCGCATATACATATCGCCTCATAAACCATACCCTGCCAGCCATACCGCGTTTTGTATGTCGTCTCGATGATAGATACCCGTCTCCAATACGAATGACTGCCGAATGTGCATGGAAGAAGAAAGGGAGTGTACTTGTATAACGCCATTGTTATTAGTTAGTATACCTACTTAGAACTCTTTTCGAATTTCAGACGCAGGAACATGATTTTTTGCTATGCACACTGTTGGAGTGGCACCATTCAAATATTCATGTCCGCCAAAAAGTTAAGGTTGACTCAACCGCGTTAGCAACGACGAGGACTAAGTTAGCCTGGAGAGGTAAATTGCTGTAAATTGATAACGTTCTTGAGGTGACCACGCTGGACACGCCCCTTCATTAACCTGCTGCTTCGGGAGGCACACGCTCGCTAGGAAACCCACTCATCCCCTTTGCGTCGCGTCATATTCCTATTCAATTTGGACTCCTTGACCGCCCAGGTGCGGCGAACATGAGGCGCGCGAGAAGCACCAAAGAATGGACGCTTAGTATAATGTAAGTGAAACGTTCCTTGAAATGTACCTCTAGCGTCATGAAAGGCAACGTTATTCTATTCAGTTCTCATCAATTGGAAAGCTCCAAGACAGCCCCAAGAGCGCTAAAAACGGGGTGATCAGGCGCAATACGTACAAACTACGTGGCAACAGTGGAATCCGAGTAATGGACCATTATTCCTCGGCTGTGCAAGCGCTGAGACAGCAAGTTTGAAGTTAACGTTCATCGTACCTTCGAAACATTCGTGTGACCGGCCGCCATACCATCGCTTTGAGTGGGGGCGTGACACGCCGGAACCGCCCTAATAGCATCCCCAGTTGAAATTTTCTGCCAGCGAAGCACTTTGTTCTTCCGAATTCTGCTCTTCTCGTCGGATGCAGTCTCAGACGACGCTTCGAGGGCTCACGTGTCTTGTCAATGTCACTCTTGTCAGGGTCGGTCGTGGATCTTAGTATTCTTACACTTGTGTGTGTGTATCTCAATGCTCCTGGTAGGTTCGCCTCGGTCGCACAGCTACTAGAGACTCGGTATGTCCCCACACTATGAAATCACACGTGGACTCAGGCAGGGTTGGTGACAACTGACAACCCGTCCACGCCGGTCCACGCCCGGCCCGCTCGAATGGAATCGAAAGTCAGTTCCTCGTCAAGATCTGCCAAACGAAGTGCCACCGTTAATTAAGAATTCAGCAAACTGAAACAATATTCAACGTCCATGGGCTCCGGTAGTTATGCAGGGCCGAGGCCAGCGTTTTTCCCAATTCCCAGCCAGTCTTGCTTGACAGCGTGTGCAAGTTGGTGGTCTCCGCCGTAGAAGTTCTGGGATGAAGGACCTGGCGAGACGAATTTTTGTCGGCTCGATTGTCTTTGGGTGACCTGAATTTGAATCTTCACAGATGCGGGTTTAAGGAGGAGAAATACCATAAATTTGGTGGAGCGTTGATAGGACTAACTGTTGAGGCTACGATGTTCCAGATAACTGGTCACGCGCGGCCGGTAAGTAGGACGATCACATATATGAATCGTCAACCATAATTTCACTGTAACATATTATATCTTACCAACGTCGAGACGCAAGCTATAAGATTTTGATTTTCTTTGACGTGCGGGTGAATATAATGGTAATGATGTTTTGGTTTCATGCCACGTCCGCCATTACTGAACATCAAGCTCTAAATTGAAACTGGACTAATTACATTGTGCCTGTAGCGACCACTCGGGTCGTCATACGGACCGAGGGCTCGCGTTTTATGCTCGCTGGAAATGAGCCACGAGAACCAATGGTCCGATGAAAGAAATAGTAGCCCTGGAAGACGAAGGACAGATGAGTTTGCAGTGCTCCTGACGATAATTTTAAATCTGATAATACCTAGCAGAGGAACATCCGAGCCAGTGGGTCACCTGGTAACGCGAACCTCCCCTATTTTTACCCATGACCAGGAAGAGCCAGGAGGTTCCGGGTTTACGGTCGTTCACGGTAATTAATGTGGGCACATAACTTTTAGGTGCATCATGCAGGCACAGCTGGCCAATGGTGCAGGTTTTGCGCTGCTTGTGTCTAAAATTTCATCCCTGTCTCCGTAGGTAAGTGTTTTGAAATTCTCGGGCCATCCGCACGAAGGTGAGTTCGTTATGCTATTGGGTAGACCAAAGTAAAACGGATTATTGCAAGTTTATGCGGCTGGTTTGGCCTTGCAAGTTCCCCGCACTTTTACTGCGATGGAATATTATTGTCAGCCGCCGCGAGTGAATATTACGGTGACTGATCATCGGATATGATAATTTCCAATCCCAAGGCTGTCGTCGAGCAAGGACTCAAACGTTTGGAGCTGTCAAAAACGCGGGGTCATTTATCGCTACCCCTGAAGTTTGGCTCTGGATGTTCAACATCTCCCAACATTTCCCCCGACTGCCGCACCGCATCGGAATGACGTACCGACCGCCATCTACGGGCTAGATATCCTGGAGGAATAACCAACGCAATAACCAACATTTGAGAAACAGGGGAGACGCTGGGAAATGACCGTTCTTGTGGTGCAGGAAGTGTAAGTAATTGCCGGGAATGAGCCAGCGCTGATCTCAAGTTGAATGCGCAGGACTAGGCTTCCTTTGAAATTTGAGACTTACGACAATGAAGTGTACCCCTTTTTACTAGCTGGCTCCAATGATTCTACTAGGATGACCGGCACGGTCTCTCAGGCTGGTGTACTCCGACACCACGGATTTACAATTTACTGTATGGTTTGGTTGGAAAGCTCCATGGCGTAGCTGCTAGCTTTGTGCAGAGCGGTGCAAAATTGCCAATAGAGTGTGAAGTATACGGTGATTTGAAATAATTCACCACATGGTTCCAAGGTCGTCGTCGTCATCGTCTGGTGGTGGATCGTGAGTTCGTGCGTTGCTTATCTTGGGCTCAATTCTTCAAAGCATACCGATATAGCATCATGATCTATGTTACGACTGGTTACGACGAAAATAAGCCTTTCAGAGGTTGAACTTCACTGGTGGAGATTTCCAATTCCGGTGCGCTCAAACGCACACGGATTACTTTACTGGTGAATGTATTGCATTTGCTGCATTAATAGCGACTCCACGGCGAATTCATTGGTCTCGCCGCCGCACTGATATTACGTGCTCCAACCAAGAGGTCGCCTCTACCCACGAGCGACTTCACTACACCACAGAGGTACGATACGATCCTATACATCTCGGACTTTTCTCCGCAACCGAGGCAGTCGAGGCCTGTCATCTCCGCTACACGAGCAGTAACAGGGATCTGCGCTGCCATGGCTGAGCGCTGATTGATCGATGAATCGTGCAATGCACAGCCGCTGATGCTACCGACCTCCTTCAAGTGAGCAGCCACAAGGCATCGCAATCGTGATTGCGACATGTCCACTGAGAAGTTATCTACGTTATCAACCCACTGCCACCACTGATGCTCGCTCACATACCCATCCCTTGACCCTTGTGCCACTACTTGTGACCTGAATATCTAATTCGGACGAGAGCCCCCGTTGATTTCGAATTTTCTACGATAACGGTCCATGATCCACGTATATAGATGCCTTCATTTATTTTTCATAGATCAAGTTCTCCGTTCACTGCAACGTTGTATTGCGAATATACAGGGATTTTGACAGTACGGTAGAGTCGGGCCCACAGTTTGTTTTCCCACCCACGTTTCGGGGCACATTTGAACCGTACGTTTTGATGCCACTCCAGCAGATTCAAAATTTCCATACACATGAAACTCAGCGATCTGTTCCTCACCCAACCTACTTCAAGTTTGAGGGAAGGAAGTAACCACAGCTCGAAACCGAGTTCACAGCCGCAGAATGCCACGATTTATGGATCCAAGCCATTTCTAGCACAACTTTGATCCGGAAGCTGGACGTCTAGAACACGAGTCGTGCTCTCCATGCGGTGCTTACTGCGTATCGACACTCACGCTCGACGCATGAGAAGGCCTTGTTGCCACAAGTCGCAACAACACTGTTTCATGTGAACATCATCATGCACATCTCCATCTCTTCAGTGCGCAAGGCCTTCCGACCGACCGGCAAACGGATGTCATGCTCTTCCTTCGAGATGATTCAAGCTGTTATCTCATTTGAAACTCTACCAGAAGATATACTCTACCATATTTTCAGCTACCTATCAGTAACGGAAATCGTGAGGTTGCAAAGGGTATGCTTTGGTTTCGCATTCTGTCCCCTGTGGCTTCGATTGACAGAAATATACAAGGTGTCCAAGACACTCAAGTCAGCCGTGCTTCGCGACGCAACCTGGTTTAATATCTACCGTACTTCCTCACGACCACGTATTCCCGCATTATTGTCCACCAACTCCGCAAGCTATCTTCAGTCGTGGCTAACTTCAAGTGAGAAATTCGATCGCTGGTGCTCAAATGGCCCACGAGATGGGAAGATGACTATGGACAATAAGAGATATAATTCCCGAGCACTGAATTTCGGCAACAAAGAACTTCCACTCCCTGGAGTCGCTCGCAGAAGAACGGTCGAGCTCTATCCAGATGCTACCGGGAATCACACCCCTTACGGCCTCATTTTCAGCCGTTGGTTGATTGTCACCAGCATTTGCTCTTCAGAGGCACCTGTCAGGTGCTTTGACCTGGATGCAGACAAAGGAAATGACCCAGCCGAAGAAGCACCCCTGCAGCTTTATGCTAAACATTCGACTGTGTTGTACACGACCTCCGGCATGATTTTTGACCTCCGTTGCGTCCAAAGCACGCGGACGAACGGAGAACGTGTGGCATTTGTAATTTTGGTGGAGAATTTTTTTGCATTGTCTGTCGCTGTTTCTTTTTGTTCCATGTCGGTGAAGTTTAACGTTGGTTTTGATACAGGAAGGTGTTTCAATTCCATATCAGCTCGAAAGGCGCTCAGCCCCACGTCGTACTTCAAGATGTTTTTACAAGACATGACATGCATCTATCTAGTCTTCGAGAGGTTTCGCTTGGTCCGAGGTTAATTGCCATCAAGTACGCGCGAGGTGGCACTTTCAGGAGCCCAGGACCCAAGAGTGATCACATTCTCTGCCTTGACATTGAAACGTTCACAACATTTACTGTGACGCACGATGTAATGCACATGTCCATGCCTGTGCGCAGTTTAGCTGATTACTAGTCTGTCAGGATGCTGCTTCACCGAGCCCAGTCGAGTCTATGCTTTCGTGCACCTCGCACCTGCTGCTACTGCGCGCGTCATCGACTCACACGTTGGTCGAAGCATATGAAATCCCTCCATCCCAACCCAACGAGTGCAAACTGCAGGGCCCGGCTAACGATCTTAATCCAAATACGTCTGCAGGTCGCCTGCAACGTAGCCACGAGGGTGTCGTTGGTAGCAAGCTGTCCAATGTAGTCATTGTTCACGACCCCATGTTTCCTTATTCTCGTTCTGCCGCCAGTGGCGAAGGCAGCTATCACGATGACGAAGGCGTCACAATCACCGCCTCGTTCCACAATCGCACGGATGACCACAAAACATTCCTTGGTCTCGTGCGACTGACTTTACTGCCCCGGGATAGTCTCTCCAGCGGGGGCATCGCCACTAGAATATTGGGCTCACATATACATCCTACGGATCCGTCCCCGCCTACAGTAGTCATGGACTCTTCATTCAATGGTTCAACAAAGGGCTTCGTTTTCTATCCTGAAGAAGTCACAGAAACATCATTAATACCTAGGTTCCGCGTACGACCTGCACTGAGCGTTCGTTCGCCCCAACCTCCTGAAGCCGAGTTCATCTCCGTCATGCTTGGGGAGGGAACGGGGGAAAGATTGAAGAAGCGTCGGGAGATCACATCGCTGGTACGAACTACCGCAGCATCTCTACGATACACCGACTTTGCGTCTGGTGACGAGGATACCTTGGAAGAGGCACAAGCTGCTAGGAGGGCGCGAGCAACAATACGCGTGGTTCCATGTCCACTTCCGGTCGATGGTATTTCGGCAAGAGATATCTTGTTCGACGGCTGCACAGGTCGGATGGTTTGCAAGCGGCCCGTACGTGTCGCTCACAGATGGATGAAGAGGATCGAGGTCTGGGATATCGTTTGAGGCGCTCGATGAGCCCAAAGCATTCTAATAGGCTATAGCATGTCCCGTGTTTTCTAGACTTTATGTAGCCTCGTTTGCGCTCAGTTTATTTCGCGTTCCCTCAAATAAAATTAACGAATGTACGGTCTATGAACACAGGGAAGACAACTAGCTAACCAGTATCCCCGTCTTTTGCACCAGGTTCTGAAGGTACAGGTGTCGAGGGTTGCGGCGCTGCAGTCACGATACCTCGTAATGCAAGCTTGAACTTTTTTGGTGGATCCTCCCCAGGCTTCACCGCATTTGTTCTACCGCTCGAAGGCTCAGGCTCCTTCCGTGAGCCTAGATCAGCTCGTTTTGGCTTATTAGCCAAAAGATCTAGTTGCTCATCATCATCCTCTCTTCTCCGCTTGTCACCAAGCCGTATCGGCAGCATTGAAAGCTTGGATGATGCCTTTGAAGGCACGTTTGAAGGAGATGGGGCTATGGATTTAGAACGGAGTAGAGACTCCAAGAGGTTGTCCTCTTCATCCAAAGAGGACCGCCGAGGAAGTGGGGGCGGGCGTGAAGAAATTTGTCGATGAGATATTCTAGGACTGGGTGGTATGTCTGCAGCAGGTGAAAGGGGTGAGCTGCGTTGGCTGGCTGTTGTAGCGGCTTTGGATATTGGTCCCGAGGGTACTTTGGGCGAGGGTGGGCCAATTTCTTCCTCGTCTTCGTCACGATATTCCACTAGAGATTTCAAGGGCGGAGTGCGAGGAAGTGCAAGTGTTTGTGGACGAAAGCCTTTCCCAACCATAGCACCGCGTCGCTTTCGCTTCAACGCAGTATGCACGGGTGATGACGAGCGCCCGCGTAAATGAGGAGAGATAAACGGAGGGTTTTCGTCATATGGATCACGACTGCCAACTTGGGGAGAGATGGAGGGCGCATGGTTATCGCTTTCTTCATCCTCAGCATTGAAATAATCTTCTTCCTCGGCATCGACATTTCGGCCCATATGTCGGGGATCTCGAAGACTCCTATGACGAGAATGAGCAACGGCCTGTACGTCAGACAATAAGTACGTACTTGACCGGTTGTGACTCCTCTTTGGGAGGAGGTTCGATGTTGATCTCCCACCGCCGAATGAAAGACATGAACCTGTGACCACTGAGTGGCGATGCGGCCAGTTGTCGTACCAATGATTCATGCTTCGTCATGCAGTGATTAATTGGGTCTTTAATATTTTCCTATACAACATAATCAGTTAAACGGACAAGGAACGAGGAAATGACGCACACGACGCATATGTTCGAAGAACTCCTGACATGAGGCACTTAGTAAACTATCTCGCCGAGACTCCTGTATCGTGAGATCCAAGATCGGTTTGAACACGTCTAGTTTCATAAGGTGAATCATGAAATTTGGGTTGTTGACCTTGAGGCATATTCGGAAAAAGCGAAAGGCAGCTGCGCTCTTCAGTTAGTATAAGTACTACACAATATGAACGAGATGTACCAAGACGTAAGTGCTTGTCCCGGGCTTTTAGGAATGAGGCCATACGGGCAGAGATGTGGGAGGAAAGCATGGAAAAGTGAATGCGGAAGCCATGCTGTTGAGCAAAGTTGCATACTAAGTCGCATAAGTATAGGTAAAGGTTAGTCTTCTCGCGTGAAAGCTTCAGCACTGGCTCTGCGATCAATAAATCAGTTACAAAATGTGATTCACGCGTCAGGTAGAAACGAACCAGTCTGGGTCTTGAAATCAGGGATGTCGTGGAATGGTTTGAATAGGAGTTCTATACATCTCTTGTAGAAGTAATCGAGAAACTTCTCAGTTCCTGGGTCGTCTTTCGGACGAAGTAACTTGACGTTCAAACCAGCCTGAAACCGCTGTGAGATAGTTACAATACGTAAATCAAACAACGCTTACGGGTGTCAAATCAGGACCATCCTTGGGAGATACATCCAGCATGGTCTTCAAGGCATCTCCGACCTGACATTGCAACGCCAAATCCCGAGTATGTGTCAATACTTTGCACATTATTCGTAAAAGCGTCTCAGCTTGCTCTCCCATCGGCCGTCCCTCCTTACTCTCCCTCTCAATAGCTGAGGCTTGCTTGGTGATGTGATTTCGAACACCATTTAAATCGTGATCGAGCAGCGCAGACATCACTTCACCCGCAATGCTGATTGTTGTTTTCGCTTCTGGGTCATTCTCTGAAAGTGAGAACGCCCACTGAACAGCGAATAGGATACCCCGGTTGACAAGGGATCGAAAGAGGGAGATACGAGCAGCAAGCGGCACATTTTTACCCATGACGCAAAGCTGCTGTATGAGCACCAATACCTCTCTACGGAGGGCCAATTCATGCTCCGAGAGATTATCCGGTGGGCCGAATGAGAAAGGCCTTGGGGTTGATGTAGAGCCATTCGCACGAGCGCCGTTGGGTTTGCCGTCAACATCCATCTCCTCGCGCTTCTCATCCTTGTCTTTCCCTCCCGTTAAAACCTCCTCGTTCACATATAGCGACAATATTTCGCGGAGAAACATGGTGTCCTGCTGGACATGGTTAATTATGTCGATTTGGTTGAAGATAATGCAGGAGTTGAGGACATTGAAGGTGGAGTCGTCGAGAGCGCGCGCAAGAACGACGTCTTTGAGGAACTGTAAGCGATAGGTGTGGTGGATTTTCTTCTGGATCATGATGTCCTGTATGGGAATAGGTTGGTGAAATTTAGAGGTTACGTGGAGAAACTCTCGGTAGTTCGCTTTGTGATTTGGGAACTCCGGGTCATCTTTGAGGAAGTCAGATTGAGTTTGATGCACATCGTGCAGGAATAACAAGCAACATACATTCAAGCATGCCTACGGCACCAAAGAACACACTGTCATCGAGGATATGCTCGTATAGTCCATGATCATGAATCATTACTACTACAAAATATCGTCAACAAAAATTCGTCACGGCGGCAGACAAACGCACATATGGTTTGCATGAGACTGCACAGTGCATGAAGATTCTCGGCATTCTCTAAGTCCTCTGCCAGCTTGAAGACTTCTATCATCTTCGCGATATATTCCTGCTCAAAGCTTAGCGGTCCATCGTGAGGAATTTGGTGATCTGACGACGGACCTCGCGCAGAATATACTCGCATATTCTCTCCCTAATCGCCTGTCCACGCACCAGTGTTTTAATGGCACGTTCGATATCGGGAATATTCCCGAGTTCTGGTTGAGGCAAGTGGCCCGAGCGAATAATCGCTGCTGTCGTAGAGTGGTCGCTTCGGGGAGATGATGAACCGCCAACACTACTTTCTCCTGGAGGCGTGTAGGTGAGATAGTGCAAGAGGCAGGGGACCAGAATAGAAGCAGCGCGGCATAGGGTCAAGGGTTGTACATACCAACAACATTCATGTGACGCTGGACCTCAATGATGAAATTCCACACCTCTGCACACCCTTCTGCGTCCTGGAAGCTCAAGGCGTAATCTGCACCGTCCGGTTCCGTCCAGACAATCAACGTATCTGGCGGTCGCGTGAGTAGGTATCAGCAGATCCTTGCAAATATATATACCAAACGGACCTTGTTGGCGTTGATAGACGTCAGTGGTGCGGATGCGAGTAGTCAGGATGAGTTTGTCGAAATGGACTTCTGAGCGAGCGATAAGGAAAGCCTGGTTGGTCTCGTTCTCGAATTGTCCATAACAAAAAGCGGTCCCTTGGTCAGCCCATTGTGAGCCAATAAGTTTGTAAACCTTTGTAGAACGTGGCAAACGACGGTCAGAGTTGGCCCTTAATGAACTCATGAAAACAAGACAGGCACGGAAGAACGAGCAAGAGCGTCGGCACTCTTGCTGGTGCGTAGCAAGTTGGTCTGCGCCAAGGTACGCCACGTTGTTGAAACGACCCATTCCTGGCATAGTTGACAAACCATACAAGGACGAGATGCAAGATGCCGACATGCAGAAGGGTGATGGATGATATATGCATGGCTCACCTTGACACGCTTAATATCAGGCTCTGTGTCTCGACTTTCCTGTGTGTCCTCGTGTGTATCAGAAGGATTCACAGCCTCGAGCATTGTCATTTCGTCAAGTTTAGGATGGTCTCCCACCCGGTGAAGGTCACCTATAAGCGAACTCCGTGGGTCATGGAGGTCAATATGATTGACAACATGATTTCCTAGTCCATCCTCCGTTCCAGAAAGCCCAGAAAAATCCAGCGAGAGAGGAGGCTGATGTGAATCCTCTTGGTGGAAAAGATGCGTAGCCTGTGATGATAAATTATGATGTTGTCCTTCGTTGTCGCCAGACGTCGTAGACTTGGATTGACTGACAACCTCCAGGCCGCTCATGACCAATAAATTGGTTTTGTACGTTGTCCTCTCGGCGCTGTGGTATTTCCCTCCAGAAATGCCAATGCCTTGCCTTGGGGAATGTTTTGGTGTGAGCTCCCTTCGACCAACTAGAGCTTGCACGCCCGTGAGAACAACATCCAAAGACGCCACGGACCTTTCCGGCTCTAGTTGCTCCCAACTCCTTCATTGCTGAGCTACCTTGCTGACGAGCTTCGACTATGTTCACGACTTTAACTCCCTTGTTGTGGTATCAAAGAAAGGTTCAAGCGCTCTTCTGACGATAACCCTCGTGTAGTATTAATCTGGATCATGGTGCTATGACAAAACTCTCTCGATTTGGTGCACCAGGGGCATTTAACGACACCATCCAAGATTCCTTCTCATCGATACTGCTACGTGTTGCTTTGGTTCCGCACTGCATACATCTTCAAAGCTTTACGCTCAAGGCAAAGCTTGGGCAAAGCAAAACCTTTCACATCGATATCACATTACGTAAGATATGTGCCGATCAGTTGTTGTGGACTGCAATTGTCTCCGCTTGCTTTAGGATGAGCCAAAGCGTTGTGGCCCCTTCCCAAGTTTTGGCCACATCTACATTAGTGATCCAGTATTTCTAGTGGCACAGAATATGTCTGAGCTCTATTTAACGTCTGGTCTTTCCAGGACCCAGTCATAGCTCACATATCATCATAACGCCCCCCACTTATCAATGGCCCTCAAACATCTGCTTGCTCGCATCTTCAAACGTTTCAAGACCTCTGCATCGGATGTCGCTACTGCAACGCCTGCCCCTGCATCAAATGTCTCATCCCTAATTGAACGGTCTCCAGCTACCCAAGCATTTTTCCCTATCAATGTAAACCTTCGCTTTCATGTAGTTTCGTCCCCCATTGCCGATGGCGCCCACATGTCAATCCAACAAAGTCAAGTATTACCTACTCTTGACACAAGTTACGAAGGACATGCGCACACCGCCCAGGGCTCTGCACTGCTTCTCGAGCCTTCTCCGTCAGATTCTGCAGTTGTATCTAACCTCGAAACGACCGCCACGCAGTCGACGGAGATGGTCGATATGCTTCCTGATTCCGCTCTTTCTTCCGCACAAGGACTAAATTTCTCCGGACTCGGCACGACGTGCCCTCAAGGTATGTAAACCATCGATAGCCTTGGAGAGGTGTCTTTCATCGGTGTAATATGGATGCTTACTGTTGAGTTTCCAGATGAGCAACAACCCTCGAACATGGCTGCCTTAACCCGATCTGCCTGCCTGATGGACATTACTCGAGACAGTGATATCCAATGCATAGCACCGGTTGAGGTCATGGCGCCTGTGATACCTGTTCATTCTCCACTTTCTGAATTTGCCGTCGCGACGCCAGTTTTAGCTCGGACCATGCAGACCATCGAGAGCAAGGACATTGAGACGCCCCGAAAATGCGCTGGCGCAAGATCACTCGTTTACATCGCAGGACCTTCTGTTGGACCTACCGCTGAAACTGGCGTACCATCGATGGCCCCTACTATCCCAGATGAACCTTCCTCTCAGAAAGCACGCCTGGGCTCACAGCAATATGACTATGTGTTTCCACATTCTCCCCTTGGCCAATCGCTATCGTCTGCTACTCACGCTTCCTCCTATAAATCATGCCTGGACCCACATCGATACGATCCTCTAATTCCACAACTTCAATGTGATCGATCACCATCGTCTACCCCCCATGAACCACCGCAATGCCCACCTGGTCTAAAGCTTCCCGCAGATAGGAAGCCAGGAGTCCAAGCTGGGCACTTACGTGCACCATCTGCACGACTTACACAGCTGGGATCTCCCTCCGACTTACTACAGGATGTTACCAAGCGGAACCTCGATAACGACGCATCACTACGACTTGCGCGAGGCAATACCGAGCTAAACCTCGGCGATATGTTCCCGACTCTTGAACCCAGTGACTCGAATTTTCAGTCGTCGCCGACACCTGAGGCAAAACAGGCCAGTGTTATCGTTGAGAGGATTTCGAACGATGGGAATATTGCCTATTCCATTCAGGCAGGTGGTCATAAGTACATCGCCACGGCACAGGTCGGCAGTGGAGGATTCGGTTATGTCTGGTACGCTATCAAAGACCAAACAGAGGAGGTCGCCATCAAGGTGATCGACAAGGCTGGGTTGCTTGCACAATTTGTTCACTGTACCAAAGACAAACGGCCGACTATGCAACAACTGCTCGAAGGCTCTCAGGCGGCAGCGGCAGCTATCAGTGCTGAATATGAGACATTCAAGCGCGTCACCGAAGAGCAATCCCCATTTTTGACTCCTTTGTTGCATGCCTTTGAGGACGAGGATAATTTTTACTTTGTGATGGTGGGTTTTCCTGACCATTATATCATTATCTGACTTTATGCTAAACGTGCCCCAGAGGTTCTACCCTCAGACTCTTCGCACTAGGGCAAAATTCGGATTCATGCATTGGCAATTGCGTCTTGTTGCTGCTGAGCTTGTAAGTATCTCCTATGTTCAGCATCCAAGTTTGATCTAACGTGCTTCACTACCCCTAAAGCTTCTCGCCCTACAGCATCTTCACAAGCTGCGCGTCGTACATATGGACTTGAAGATGGAAAACGTGCTTGTAACTCCGTCCGGCCACGTATGCATTGCAGATTTTGGCAATGCTGAAGTCCTGGACCGCAAACTGACCTATCAGCAATTTCATGACGAGCGCATGCACGGCGTATCGGGTACCAAGGGTTACCTTCCTCCAGAGCGAGTCGAGGGAAACCAGCGATATAACTTTAAGACGGATACCTGGACTTATGGTACCATTTTACTGGAGCTTTTACTAATAAACGGCGGGGTGAGCAATCCTTTGTGGTTCCAGATCGCCTTGGCATTAAAGCTTACTCAACTCCCAAGCACTGGTACTCTATATATCATTTTAGTGACGGAACACATAAATTTGGCAATGACCACAAGATCCCCGAGGGTTACAGCCGACTGACCTTCATAAGACCGAACGATGAAATAGATCTCATCCAAGATAAGGACGCCAAGGATCTTCTTTATTCTGTATGTCTTCAAGTCTTTGTGTCGTCGAGGTTGGTTTAACCCCTCATCAGATTTTCTTTCCCAAACACCATGCCATGAGACCCGAGTGGGAGTCAATTCGCAGTCACCCATTCTTCGCCTGTATTGACTGGCAGAAGTTAGAGAATCGGGGATACGATCGTAAGTCTACGATCAAACTCTACTGGCGTGCACCTGCTCATGTCCAACTAGCCATGTTCAAAGCTTGCTTGGGCAACACACTGCTCCAATCTGTCGACTCTGGCAAGATTGCCATTGAATGCTCTCACCCTCGGCTACCAGACTTCAAGAAAGCTGTGCACGAGCAAGCCAACGATGAATTCTCTCCTGGGCGAATGCACGTGAACTACGAGTGCCCGAATGAATTGGTGCATGATGCTATGCATGGAGCAACTTGCAGGGCTCCAGGGACTCAGGTACCCCGGAGGCATGTTTGTAAATGTGACTTGCCTGCCGATTGGGAGAAGGATCGATGAGGCATCTGAGCATGTCGCCTTGTAAATTTGTATATTCCAACTATTTATGATCGCTGTACCTGTAATATTTAGTATACATACTCACGACAACTCACGAACGTCAATCAATGTGTACTTGAATTGAATTGAATTGAACGCGTAGGGGTCGCTGACATAATTAATTTTCCGGCTAAGTGGTCCAGTGAAACGTTCGAACCTTTTCTGTTCTCTTCTTCTTGCGCAAAATGAACAGGTCTACTACAATAATGACCGTTGCAAGCGTCGCGGTCGGCGGCGTCCTTGCATACGCCGTGTACTTCGACTACAAGCGGAGAACCGACGCCAACTTCCGCAAACAACTTCGTAAGTTTTCACCAACAGAATGTTCTGTCACGCAGCTGACATAGGGTTTCAGGGAAAGAAAAAAAGCGTGTCAAGCAGAGCCAGAGCCAGACACCGTCTGAATCTGCTCAGACTGCAACCGAAGGAGTGGACGCAAATGACTTGCGGAGCGCGTTGGAGAGCGTACGCAACGAAGAAGTACCAGCTGGGCCAGAGGAGAAAGAACAGTATTTCATGAAGCAAGTTGGGGTAGGTGAACAACTATGTGCGAAAGGTACTTAGCAGTTTCGTTTTTGGAAGGATTCCTGCTTGATTGGTTTTCAAGGTCCTATCTACCACCTTTCTGCTGCGATGTGTTTCTACCGCGCGTTGCGTGTGTATCCATCACCCGTGGAGCTGGTTGTGATTTACGAGAAGACTGTCCCTCCACCTGTTTTCCAGGTACGTCTGTTGTATGATGACTATTGGTTGTGCTGACCTGGCCATCATAGCTTGTGATGGAACTTACTAATTTGGACGTGAGTAATGATCATTCACTGGCAGAGGGGAAAATTGGACCACTGTCTGATGGGGAGGACGAATCGAGTCTCTCACGGGGCCCACCCTCGGAAACATCCTCACAAGAGTGGGTCAAGGTCACAGACTAGGGCAGTCAAACGCCTGCCCTGTGACTATGACTGCGAAACACGGATATGCTAGCCCTGTAGCCTGCACCCTAACCCCTAATCTGTCAAATTGCATATCTATCTCTTTCTTGGTTGTTTCAATGGTATCTGATTATGAATTTTGTTTCATGTTTTGGTCGTCACCGTTAGGTCAAAGACCGAGTTGAAGGTACGCTGCTTGGGTGCGTGTTTCTTATGCAGGACTAAAGATGGGATAGGATATTATACGTTCTTCCCGCCGAAGGCAATGAATGTCGCAGTTGAGACTATCAATGTCCCTGACGGCAAGGGCGCAACCATGTCGAAGAAAGTCCTTGTCGTGACAAAAGATTTCGAGGCTGGTGAAGTCATCTACCAGGTAAATCGCCTGTCCCATGTTTCCTGAATTCTTCCTGATCTCCTCCACAGGAAGATCCAATCGTGGCCGTTCTCGATGCCGATCTTCAAGGGAAAGGCACACACTGTAGCTATTGCTTGCGCCAGATCCAAAACGATCCCATCCGTCCAGAATCGGATCGCCTCCACAGTGTTTATTGCTCATCTGATTGCCAGACCCAGCACAACGCGCATTCGCAGACTCTGCTCTTCACGCTCGAGTCGCCTTTACCTGCCGCCCTAGCGCCCGAAATGAAAGGCGCGCAACGTGATGAGCGGGAAAATGCCCAAAAAGCGTTCGTCGAGTATCTCATACAGACCAAAAGGGCTGCACCAGAGCTTGTGGCACGATTCGTTGCGCGACAGGTCAGCGCGGAGACTGCTAAGATGTTACCCCGCGGAATATTGCCTGGCGTTGCTTCCGAGCCGGTGCTGACAGATGGTGGGGAGTACTCGCTGTACGATCACCTCGAGCGTCTAAGATATCTCGAGGTGAATCCCGCAGATCACGAGACTCGCGTCTTGAAGGATGTGTTGCAGACTGCGCTCCCCGGACTTGAACAATTCCTTACGGAGGATCGACATGCAACCTTTATCGGGAAGATGTCGTATAACTCGTATGGGGTATACTTCGGTGAAGGAAGGGAGGATAAGGTGAATTTGTTTTGCGTTTGAGAATGCTATGTTCTTACATCACGATGTAGCCTGACACAGCTGCTCGCCCTGAGAACGCCGAGAAAACACGCACCCCCTGCGGTACCTCCAAGCAGATCGGCACGGGTTTTTACGCAGTGTCATCCTATGTGAGTTCCTAGTTTTTCGATGCACCTTTTCTCATTACATCGGGCCCCAGATCTCGCATAATTGCGCACCCTCCGCTAAGCCCGTCTTCCCAACTGGCACTGCACAGCTGCAACTTATGGCCACTCACACACTTCAAAAAGGCGATGAGATCACTGTCGCGTATGTGGACGTATTGCAGCACTCTGAGGAGACACCCGAGGTAGCACGCCGGCGTCGTCGCATGGAGCTCGCGAGGGGATGGCGGTTTGCGTGCTCTTGCAAGCGGTGTGCTGAGGAAGGATTGGAAGGTGAGATTGAGGAAGGAGGAGATGAGAGCAGGGTGGAGGACGTTGTGACCAGGGTCGAGGGGTCATAAGGAGATTTTGGTGCGTAATGCGGCGACTCGGGGGCTGGTGGATCAGCAGATTCAAAATGGATTTATTGGCTCGTTAATGACTGCATGCATGGACCTTTTCATTAGCATATTATTCCCTACTCTCCACCATCATGCGCTATCATCGGCGATATTGCTATGTTCTGCGTCTGATAGGGGAGTGTACCCATGAGTTTTGTGCGCATGAATTATTACTGGTACAGCATCTGATATTTCAATGGGTTACTAGAATACAGGTACATTCGGAATTGTTCTGCTCATCATAGATCCATCTATAAGCTCAGAAAACGATTATTATTGCTTGTTGTTTGACTTCTGCGAATCAGCCTTCTTTCGTTTGTATTACTTCCACGATGTCTACATTCATTATACACCGCTTCCGCTCCTCACTGTTACGACGCGCCTTACATACGACTGCAATTCGGCATGTCGACCGTCCAACGGTGTTCACAAACATGCTTGCAGGGGATATTCCACCCCCCGTGCAAGTTAATTCCATAACATCGGCAGGTATCCAGCTAGCAGACGGGCTTATCCTTCCATCTGCATGCATCTTCCTGGACGGTAAGGTCTTTTTGTGGAACGTTCCCTCGCATCTATGGGATGGCTGGGGTCGCGAGCATTTGAGTGTATTTGAGACTGCTGTCCCAAAACCAGGTGCGTTCGGAGACTTGCAATTTGCTGACCGGGCAGGACTGAACACGAAGTAGAAATATTGGTGTTTGGCACTGGGAGACGGATGGAGCTTCCACCTCCGAGTATAAGAGGCTACCTGAAAGAAATGGGAATACAACTTGACATTATGGATACAGTGAGGTGTCTACTACCTATACACTGCGAATGTAGTGCTAATCTCAATGATTCCTCGTACTTCCAGAGAAATGCGTGCTCGACGTATAACTTGCTCGCGGAAGAGGGCCGGCGGGTAGCTGCTGCATTGCTCCCATACACCCCGCGCCCATGGCGGTCATGATACTGGCTGCAGTAATATGATCTGACTCTTGCCTCCCTATGCTCTTCGTAGTATATCCTTGCAATATAATATCCAGAACGTCATGCGGCGTAAGATGACTATTCAGACAACGCCTTGCGTTTGCCTTTATTCACTGGAGGCTCTTCCTCTTCGTCATCGAGGAGAGAAGGCTGCGAGACTTCGACTGGCATCAAATTACCTGGTGGAGACATCAAGATCAAGTATTAGCGGGACAATGAATCTCAGAGTTCGCATAGTACACTCACCTTCTTCATCTCTAAATTGAAAATATAGTACCTCCCAGTTTGTTAGGAGGCCTCTGACAGCCTTGTTTGACTCGAGGGCCTCATAAGTCACCCCTGACCTATTCTTCTCCTTCTCTTTTACTGCACGTGCCAGCTCAAAGTCGCTTGTGCTTTGAACATGAGGGAAGCTGTCATCCTCGGTTGCGACGCGAGATGTGAGCGCAGATAGTGCCTCATCCTTAAGAAATGCAATTGTTGCGGTTTGGGGGACTGTTAGGAATATCGTGACTTGGTGTGTTTTGGCCAAAATTTGGTAGGCTTTTGGGGCTGCTCTTGGAGGCTGGCAACATCGTACGCATCAGCAGGTTATACTATGCTAACAGTTGTAACGCGGACTCACCATCTTCCTTGGCTGTGCAAGTACCGTGCAGGAGAGAGTAAGCTTCTGCAGACCTAAAACGGAAAACTGAAAACTCCGCGTGATCAAGAAAGGCAATCGTCCACATCAAGTCCACATTCCGAAGTTGACCGTTCTCAACGACAATGAGCGGCTTTCGCGACAGCGCCACAGGCAGCCAGCCCTACAAGGACCCAACACCACTCCCGGACTCTGTTCCGCGCATCCAGGAGCTTGGCGCAACCAGTGCCCCGCTGAAGTCCGCTGCATTTTTCATTGGCGCTTACTGCAAAGAGTATAATGGTGCGTTGGAACCAAATTACATGAGGAGTGATGTTGATGAGATGTCTATTGGTAGAGGATTTTATGCTTTGCAAAAATGAGGGCCGGGGAGACCCAGGACAATGTCTGAAGGAGGGCAGGCGTGTTACGCGGTGTGCAACCGACTTGTGCGTATCGTTCACTGTTTGTTTATTTACTTCTAAGAAGGCCGTCAGGATTAACAAGATGCGGGAAAACTGCCTTGAGCAGTTTGACGCGCACTGGAACTGCCTGGAGTTGAACAATCAGGTGCGTAGAGTCTCACGCTAGATCAGTGGCAATTCTTACATTTCCCCCTCGTTTCTTAGGAATATTATGCATGTAGAAAACCTGAGCGTACCTTGAACAAGTGCATGTTTGAAAAGCTCGTACGTTTCTTGTTCATGTCACAATTGCTGTCTTTGTGTTGACGTTGACGTCCGGTCACTCGTCAGGGCCTGACCAAGACGGTACCTGGCACTCCAGTAGGGAAGAAGCAGATACATGAAGTAGAGAAACCGATATATACCACAGTGCAGCGATGAGGGCTCTTCCGACATTTACTAGACTACCTGCGGAGCCCTGGGTTGATTGTCCGTGCTGTTATGGATCAACGGTGCTTCCTTTCCTCGGAATTTTTGTGCAAGAAGCTTTTGAGAGACGATCCTCAGTAAAATCATGAAAGCGCCAGCTCGTGACCACCTGCTGTAAACATACGAGTTTGATTATTGAAAGATGTAAAATGAGCGCCCCTTGCACGCGTCCGAATACGAATATTAATGATCTTCTTCTCGTTCCGCTATGTCCCTTCAGCGGCGCGCAGACTTTACACAACCGCATCAAGCGCAAGCTCGGTCATAACACCCACACATTCTATATACCTCAGCACGTCAACCAATCCATATTTCAATCTCTCGTTCGAAGACTGGTGGGCTGTTTGCTACTTGGTACTTGGTACATGCTAATCTGACTGTTCACTTGGGCTCGAACTGGGAATCTGATGATAATGAATGATGCTGGCTTGACCCTCCAGGTTATTCAGACATGCGCCTCAGAAGGAGCCATTACTCCTGCTGTATAGAGATGCACCGTGTGTCGTCATAGGACGCAACCAAAATCCATGGAAGGAGGTCAATCTCCGTGCAGCCCGTGCGCAGGGCATTCCGTGGGTACGTAGGCGCAGCGGCGGCGGGACAGTGTACCATGTATGTTTCCATTACCATACAGTTTATCCTGGCCATAATAAAAACTGCGCGCTAACTTACTCTAACATTCCGCAGGACCTTGGGAATACGAACTTCTCCATCCACGTCCCACGCACAACTTTTGACCGCGGCGCTACTGCACAGGTCGTTCTCCGGGCCGTGCGCGCGCTCGGCATCGATGCAGGTGTGAATGAGCGGAACGATATTTGTGTGGGAGGTGAGAAGGCGTCGGGCTCGGCGTACAAAATCGTGAGCGGGCGTGCATACCACCACGGGACGATGTTGATTACCACGAGACTTGAGACGCTAGGAGATTTGTTGAGGGTGGATAAGGTTCGTTTTTTATGTCCTAACGATATTGGAATTTCTCTGTTTTCAGTGCAAGGAGCTTTTTTTGCTGATTGATATGTTGGCGTGCAATAGGACACAATGATTACGAAGGGTGTCGCGTCTGTGCGTTCGCCAGTGTGCAACCTCGCTCAATTCAGTAAAAAAGTTAGCCACGAGATGTTCGTGAATGCTGTCGTGGACTCGTTCAAAGCCGAATATGGCGTTCACGACGAGGTAACATTTTCTTATCTAAACACATCTTACGCCAGCTAAAGAGAAAATGTTAGCCATGCATCGTCAACGATACTGACGATCTCGCGAAAATAGGATATATCCAACGCGGGATGGCAGAGCTACCTGTAAGCTCCCTTTCATTATTTGCATGCTGTTATATGACCCTTCCTGCAGAGCTGGGACTGGGCTTTTGGCCAAACTCCCGAATTCGAGTACACGATCAAGAAGCCGTTCGTGTGGGGCGATGTTGTAAGTCCGTTCCCTTTTGTTGCTGCATTCTCTAAACTCTGTACCAACAGACAGCACACATCCACGCTCGACACGGGGTGATTCTCTCCTGCACGCTGCAAGGGTTGGACTCTGAGCTTGGAAAGGCTCTCGAGGGCAAACGATATGGGTTTGTTGAAGATGAAGAGCTGGGTGTAGATCTGAGTGGAAGGCGAGAGGTTGTGTGGGCATGGCTGAAAGAGGAGATGAAATCCTATGATTGATACCTTGTTTTCAGTTGGATGTGTACAAACGACAGTGCTGGTGGACACGGATATAACGCGAACTCGCGAGCGTAGACATCTTCGATTCTGGTAAATATGTTTTAGGTGCTTTTAGACTTTGTTCTAGCGCAAGACTATTTGTTCCTTTTGCAGGAAATCCTCCAATGACAGATCTCTGCCCACCGAATGTTGGTGTTTAGTATCCATCTAAAGAACAATTTCATTCAAGGTAGCATGGTATGTGGTATCGTTAAGATGTAGCTTCCGTGTACCAAGCGCTACTCGTCTCGAAACCTTCTGGAGGTACGGGGTTTGACTAGAAAAGTACATGATATTTATTCAAGCGTGGACAAGCGTAAAGACAGCACATACAGATTGTCCACGTGTGTGTCCTGTTAACCGCCTATCACGGTCCATCATCATCTCGTCCCAAGAATCGACGTGGTATCGAACAGGCTAGGGAGTTGCCAATGTTTCCAGGCGAAATGAGTTATGCGAATTAAAGAACACGGTGGAACAGTCAGATACTGGTGACATTTAGAACTTTACAAAACAAATTCTATACATACCTTGCCTTGATTCTGAGCCCTTTTAGAAACATTCAAGAGCGTTCCGGCTGCTGCAAACATTGAAGTGAGCAGGCCTGTAGTGTTATTAAGAATATGAGATTATCAAGTCAGCAAATTATCCTTTTGGATTTTGAGGCAGCATACCAAACGGAATGAGAGCTTCCCATGGTACAGGCATGGTGGAATGTGCTTCAGTGATCAGAAATGTTGTGTATGTGGATTGGTGTTCTGCAGAAGGTCGGCGTTTCCGATTTATTTGGTCTCATTTGTTCCAGTGAGCTGTGAGAATACAAGCGACGTATTATCCGTTCCCTCAATGCCTGAGTAATCCTTCCTCCCCAGTTACATATATATTCGTCACTTGATAGTTATTCATATCTATTACCGGATAGTTTGCGAGCTTTCTGACTTCTTTAGTTCATAGTTGAGCCAGAGGTCCTGAGCTTATGCGTGGTCTGACTTCCTAATCCGGTACAAACATAACAAAGTCACCAACCTCCGAAGCCCCACTGGGATTTTGCTCAGATTGGGCCCGGACTTTGGCCCCAGAGTCAGGCATCTCCCGGACGTCAACGTTCTCGTCTTTCTGAGATCGACCAGCCTGGCTTCGTCGCTTGGCATGTCCATAGTGTATAAGCCAGGCTGGTCACGATCCTAGGTTTAAATTTCAAATTTCAGGCCTCGTGTCCTGGGCATCTAATGATACACGAAGCAGGTCGAGGCTGTGTTAGATCAAGACACCCTAGACCACAAGCTCTCCAGCAGGTCGTGCTCAACACCATCCACCTCGAGCAAAATGACGGAAGCGGAACACCCCGCCATTCGCATCACCACGACTAGTCAAACATTCAAAGGTCATGAAGATACTCTTTTTGCAGTTGCAGTCTTCCCCGATAGACGCCGTATGGTGACCGCGTCGTACGACAAGACGCTTCGTTTGTGGGACTTAGAAGATGGTGTTACATTGAAGATAATGGAGGGACATCGCTTCGGCGTACGAGAAGCTGCAGTATCAAGAGACGGGAAATGGATTGCAAGCGGTGATTTTGGCGGAGAGCTCATCGCTTGGAACAAAGACGGCGAATCTCTCACCCAGCCCATCAGAATCCACTCCAAACAGATATGGTCGCTTGATTTTTCTCCAGACAGCACGTTGCTGGCGAGCGGCTCAGTGGACACCACAGCGGAGCTCTGGAACACACAAACATGGCAAGTGCAAGGAGATCCAATCAACTGTGGGCCTGGTGCTGAAATCCGCTGTATTCGGTATTCACCGTCTGGTGAATATCTTGCCATCGCAACCACGATAAATATCCAGATATGGAATCCAGGCAAGAGGGAATGCATCAAAAAGTTCCAGGGTCACTCTGCGCTCAATAGAGCATATAATATGTCGCTCGCGTGGACGCCCGATGGCAAACAGCTTGTCTCAGCTGGTGATGAATGTGATCCCACCATACGGATTTGGGATTCATCGACCTGGATGCAGGTCGGTGAACGCTGGAAGGGTCATACTGACTTTGTCTTCATGATTGCCTTGAACCCTGCTGGCACCCTCCTCGCGTCTGCATCTGGAGACCAACAGGTTCGCCTTTGGCGACTTTCAGATCGACGAACCATCGCCATATTCAAGCACCCCAATCAGGTGTTTTGTGTCAACTTCTCCGCGGATGGCAAACACGTTCTCAGCGGAGGTAGGGATGATATGATCTCAAAGTGGGCAGTACCTTTACTGGGCGATATTCCCGAGGACCAAGTATCAAATGTAAGATTCTGTTCATTCTCCTTCCGTTCTTCATTTCATTTTCTCAAAGGATGCATTACAGGAAGACACTTTGAAGGACCATGCGGCAAATCATGTGAGTTCCTGTTCATTTATAGTCAGTTTGTCTTTTTGCATATTGATCCTCAATCTTAAGGTCAAGGCTCAACAGTCTGATTGCGAGGCTTGTTTCTAGCCTTCATTCTTACTACGCGATCTGACCATGTGTAATGCAGATCCTAGTCATCAACACGACAGCCCGCGATGCATGCATATCCGGGGACTTGCCTACTGCTGACAGGCTGCTCACCCAAGATATCAACGCCGATAGCAACAACTACAACTCTTACGCGAATCGCTCGTTTGTTATGGCAAGAAAAGCCGACTGGGACCGCGCACTTGATGATGCGCTAAAAGTGAGATAGTCTTCTTATCGTGACCTCTTTAAAATAGGCTAAATTATATGGTGATATAGAGCATCAGTATTCAGCCATCCTTAATGGGCTGCATCTCCAAGGGCATCGCCCACTGTGGAAAACGACAGTTCCAAGATGCGATGAAAGCATTTGATCTTGCGTTCATGTACGTAGACGCAGACTTAAACAAAACTCGTCTTCTACTCTTAATTAAAGTACGTCAATATTGTTTTATGTACTCGCTTCTTACACGACAGCTGTCAGGCCATCGCCCTTTTCAATGCAGATCAACATGATGAGGCAATTCTGCGTGTCCAAGAGCTAGCTACCACTCGTCCCAATGCGAATTTTCTTGCCTGTGGTATTGTGGAAGTGAGCGCTCCTGACACAGTCAACTCCAGATTCATGTGTCGGTACTGATTTTGTGAGCCTCCTGCTTCAGGCTTATCTACACGTCCAAGTGGGAATGAATGCATTAAACGACGCACGTCACAACGAAGCAACTGGTCACTTCACTGCTGCTGTCAACAATATCGGTATCCCGTCTATTTCTGACATCCATTCTAAGTATGATGTCTTCGCGGTGGTAGGTTGATTACAATGCAACTGGTCATTTTTTCATGCCCAGCTGCTTTTTCTAGTTATTCGGATGGGACCTCAAGTCCTTGTGGCGAACTGTACACCAGAATTGGTGCCATGCGTTCCTTCGAGCAGGTAGACTTCCAGAAGCCATCAAAGCATACCGATACATGATGGATAGGGCTGATGAGGCTACGAAAGCTTGCTGCCTTGATTGGTCCACTGGCAAGTCTTTGTGATATCAACCGGGTATCATTCTCAACCCCGCTTTACTTAGTTTTCAAACAAGATTGCAGCGTTCTCTATACTGCTGCCGGTGTGACTGACCTCGCTGCAAGCGGAGATGATGCCCTCGTTGCGGGTCATTACGACAGGGCTATCGAGCTTTACTCTGCGGCAATCGACCTCGATTTTGCAACCGATACCGTCTTTGCGAACCGCAGCAAGGCAAGGTCGGGAAAAATGCTATGGGACGTGGCACTCCTTGACGCGGAAAAGGTGTGATGACATTTACCATTTCGTAATCGGCGCTCATTTTGGTGATATGCAGGTCATCGAACTCAACCCCTCATCTTACTTTGGATATCAGTTGAAGCATGCAGTACTTCATGACGCACACCGATACGACGAAGCTATCGATACGTTCAAAACCACGGTCTCCAAGTTTGAAAATGCTCACGACACAGAAACGACAAGTACGCCCCAAATAGCACGTTCTTCAAACATTGTTAACTCTTTGTCCAGACTTCCGCCAACAGTATGTCAGTCCATCCGAAGCAGAAGGTGCTATTCAGGAAACTATCAAGGATCAACTCGACGACGCTCCGCATCGTCTGCTCAACACCTTCACTGGTCGCTTGTGCAATCGCGAGGTACAGATCAAGACCTTCAGAATGAGCACAGAGTACAAAGAACTTTTGTCATCCACAATGAAGCATGCAGACCTTCAAATGGAGCGCATCCAAGACACGGTAGCAATGTACTTCCGTTATGTCATGCTATCACATAGGTGGGAAGGAACGGAGCCGTCGTTGCATGACATCCAGGGAAAAGTGGTATACGAGTTGGATCCAGTTGGTGGCATCGCAAAGTTGCAGTCATTCTGTGAAACTACTCGTGGCAAAGGGTATCGCTGGGCATGGATTGATACGTGTTGCATCGACCAGACTAACAACGTCGAGCTCCAACAATCGGTCAATTCCATGTTTATCTGGTATCGTCACTCAGCACTTACCATCATCTACCTGTCGGATGTTCCGCCTTCGTCACAACCTGGCGCACTCGCCAGTAGTGCTTGGAACACACGAGGATGGACAGTTCAAGAATTTCTGGCCCCAAGATTTGTCCTATTTTATCAGAAGGATTGGTCCCTTTATCTCGACGATCGCTCTCCCAATCACAAAGATTCCCTTTCAATCATGCAGGAGATGGGAGATGCGACAGGCATAGATGCACAAGCCCTCGTCGCATTCAGTCCAGGGATGAGAGACGCCCGGGAGAAACTCCAATGGGTGTCAGCGCGTGTCACCACGTGGCAGGAAGATATTGCATACTCATTGTTTGGTATCTTCGGTGTCAACCTGCCTGTCATTTATGGGGAGAAGAAGCAAAGGGCGCTTGGAAGGCTCTTGCAGGAGATCGTAGCCCAGTCAGGTGACATCAGTGCCCTGGACTGGGTGGGGCAATCATCCGAATTCAATAGCTGTTTGCCGGCCGATATTACCTCGTATAAAGCTCCACCATACACCCTGCCATCTCTGTCCGAACATGATATTCAACTGTCGATTTCCTCGCTCCGACATGCTATCGCTGTGGATTTGGCATTGGAAATTTACGCCCTGCTTGACAAGCTGAACGCGCCTCGTTTCGCGAACTGCAGACTGCATCTGCCTTGCATCACATTTCGTGTCACAGCAGTCAAACAGAGTCGCGCTGAAGACCAGGAGACATATGAAATCAAGGCCGAAGGGCTTCATGACCTGCTGATCACCACGAAGGACAAGCTGAATCAGCCCTCATCAACACGACGCACTATGCAGTCATTCTTGCTTGTTCGTCCGTGGAATCGTTATCTCCTCGAGCTTCCTGATCTCGCAGAGCCGTCTGGCTTGGCAGAGCTGTCAGACGTTGCTGACGATACGCAGAGCGAAGAAGTTTATTGGTCTGCACCCGGGTCCCCATTACAGAATTCGCCCGGGGGGTTCCCTGAAGTACAGGAGTCGGTTGATTCGGAACTGAGCGGCCGAGCTTTGCGATTGATTGTTCATCTTGAACAGCCTTTTGGCGCATTTTTGCTAGCGCATCAGCGTGGCGGAGAATACAAGAGAGTCGCGTCGGATCATAATATTATTGCACAAGTCAAAGACCTTTCTTCTATTTTTATTCCGGACATGGTCAAAACGCTAGAGATATTGTAGCATGCATTTGGGGTGCTATTTATATCAATAATCCAAGAATGTGAATCTGTACATATGAGACGAGTAATACGATGTCCTCGAAGCTTAAGGTGATTTACGAGCAATGAAACAACCAGCTGTTGGCTGTTGCACGTTTGGTAATCGTACGTCCGTTTCTTGCATCGGCACATGCCACCAGCGTCTTATCATCTTGTTATCACCCTGAACCATGTGCTACGTACTATACAGTTTCACCTTCGACGCTCAGCCACAGATTCGCCATGTTCGTATATCAGTAGCACCGTTCGCTCGTCTCACCTCAGCGTTGTCCTAACATCACGTCTCGTTCTAACTCCGATCACCTACCCTGTGGCTAACGGTTTCGTCTACCATCATGGCCTCTGCGTGCTCTTTTCACGGCGTAGTCAGAGTTCGCTGCTTTTATCCTGAAGACACCTCACCTACTGGATCCCACAACTTGCCTCCAGCGAGCGCTCCTATCTTCTCACAATATATTTGTAGCCAAATTCAATGATATTACGCTAGACGCCCTGCCTGGAGATTTCGGTGAGCACAAGGAAGAACTAATCACCGGAAAGACTGATGACAGAATGAAACAGAATCATACTTCACTTCCGACTATCTCAAAGAAGCAGACCAAGCACCTCCAGACGCACCAGAACAAACGCCCGAAGATGAATCGATTGCGAATAATAGTGCATCACTGCTATTCGTTGTAGATTAATCGCGGTCGAGGTCCCTCAGACCGGAGAGACTCATTGCCCGCCTCGCATCACCTTCTCTTTCAAACCTGCGCGGTGCAACTGGACCGTCAATCGCAAACAGTTTCCTCTCAGACCTGCATATGCGACTACGTTCAACGGATGTCGAAGGCTCACATTGCAGAAAGCCGTACTGACAACTATACACTGCGCTTTCGAGAGTGCGATGTCGCCGAGACATTCGGGCACTGTTTCCAATAGAGAATGAGGAGTAAAAGACGACGATGAACCAGCATACAAGCATCTATTACTGTAATTGACGATAGGAAACGTCCGAAGGTGATCGGAACGCTTGTATTCAATATTCAGCTGTTGCCTGAGCGCTGAAGCTAAGCGCCAAATTAATGTTCCAACGTTCCAACGTACACTTAGATCCTACCATGTACCCTGTACCCGTGGAAGAGATTGGATGACCTCCCATTATTGTGGTGGGGATATCATGGCGATTCGAGTTCCTACTAGAGGCGAGTCGTTACTTTCCAATCGAATAAATTCCTTTTTGCTCATTCACCAATCAGTCGTGGTTCGATGGCTGCGTTGCACGCACCATGATCACTTCAAGTTGGCTTTCAAGGCTGTCAAATTGTCAGTATTGCGGAGCATACTCAGTTTCAGCGCGTCTTGGCCCACCCCATTAACCGCCGGACACATGGTGGTAGATGACAAGACCCCGTCTCAGCCTGTAGTGCATAAATGAAGCTCGAGTAGGGGTGGGCGTCCGACGAAGTGGAATCTCCCACGAGCAAATATTCGTCAGTATGAATTTCGTTGATGGCAGGATAGTTTCACCATTATTCGAGATATTGACAGCCTCCAAAGTCTATCACCATTCTGCCCGTTACAAGTAGTGTATGGCCATGGTACTTACTCCGCTTGTCACGGGCAGAATGGATCACGATCGCGATGCATTTAGACAGTTCGCAAAGAAGGTTTGCTGGTCCTCAAAAATCTTTTTAATGTACGAGCTTAATTACGTCGAGACATTCCGCCCGCAGCACGATCAAGACAAGACACAATTTTTCATTCCGTTCCGTAGTCTCTGCAAAAGGAGTAAGCATTTTTATGGTGGCAAACCTTAACTCAGAACTTATAAATCCTTTAGATATATTATATCCCCTTCCCGTTCAGAGTGTATTAGATACAATGCCCAGTTCTTTAACATCGTGCTAGATAAGGACGATATGGATGTACTTGATGCACTCGATTAAGGGGAGGGAAATTTGACAACGTTAGTGGCCACCGTGACTGGAAGGATGGCCCTGTCGAACACGAAAAAATCCCATTGTCAATGCAAAACTGTGCTGATTTTTCCATGGGTCGAGACTTTTATGAATCATTCCGATTTCACCGGTTCACCGACTGACAGGTGCACCCACTCACACCGTCGGCTGAAAACTTCCAGCACTAAACCCTTGTGAGCATGTTGGCTGACCGAGGAACAAGACCGAGCCGATGTGCTTGCCATTTGTGTATGCCAATTGGGGATGATAATAACGTAGTCTAGCCGGATGGTGCGTGAACTGGACCACAAAGTTACGTGAATAATTGAGCCATATCTTGAGCAACATCGCACGAGGCAAAGCACAATCAATTCAAAGTGGTGTCGGGGAGTTAGGGCGTAAACGCCGACACGACGCGGTAGCGAGTGAGTAGCCATGTCACATGAAATGGACTACGAGTGTTTTCAACTGTCCAGTCAATGCCAGGTCGATCGAGTTTTTATTCAGGGTGAGTCTCAGTACACAGCAGATTGACACGCCCCTATCCTTCCAAAGGAAAGACCTTTTTTAAAAACAACCTCAGATCGTCCATCTGAGATTCAGCCAACAGTGTCGCCACGCCATACGACATGAAGCTCACACCCGGCTCTCCCACCTTCGTATACTGTCCATATCTCACTTCGAGTCTATCTCCTATGAAATTGGCTGACTCCCAGCTCAGATCCCAGGTCACAGATTCATTCTGTACCCCATGACCCCAGAACACGGGTATCGTAGATGCGTGCACGGACAACCGCTGAAAACACATCTAAGACACAGCTAAAACCACACTTGAAAGTTTCCTCTCACCTTTTTGTATTTGTCTCGCATGGGGAGCCAACCGCCTAGACATATGACTCCTCCCAACTTCCAACCATCTTGCGTGTCAGAACCACCCCTCCACTGACTGCCACCCAAACCTGCGATCAGGGATATTGCTCCCCCTTGGCCAAATCCCCCAAGCACGATACGTCCTTGTGAAATTCCTGAATCGATCTCAGACTGGATAAAGGCATCTAAATGCTTGACGCTTTGCATGATTCCCTCATCATACTCCTGAATGTCATCGTGTTCCGACAAATATGTCAAAGGCTCGTCTAAGACGTCAAGCCAGCCCCTAGTCGAACTTCGCCTTCTTGTGTCTCCTTTCCATGCGGTAATGGTGCGCTCGGGCGCATTCGGAAACACCCACTTGATGTGTGGAAGCTGGGATGCGATCGTGCGCATCTCCTTGTTGTTTGAAAACTCCAGGCCACTATCTCCTAGTCCCTATGAGCAAGTCAAACATGAATATGTCCCTCTCGCGATCACCACAGCACGTACATGAGCAAATATGACCGTGGCGGTGTGCTTCGTCTTTGGGGTTATGGTCGCAAAAGTTAGTGGTAAAGACATTATCTCGCAAGACAGAGCAATTCTGGAGGAGCAAAGAGCGCCACGTGTAGGAAACTTAAGCCCCACTCTGCACCCAGATTCTCACTCATTCTCACTGTCAGGATGTGGCGGGCTGTGATCCATGCAACATCAAAGAAGAAGCGTGGGATTATATATAGGTGGTGATTCGCACACGAATATCGGCAGCAATTCAGAAGAGAGCATATACAATCTCAAAATTGTCTAATGTACCGATATACCGAGCACACGAATGGAACCAGTCCTAGACATGTACAATTGATTGGCTCTACAGGTTCTAAGTTTGCTACATATTGTCAGTATGTATTTAGTCGAGGAGGGTCACTTAACCATACCTGCTGTGGTACGACACTTCCCAAGAATGTCACCAAGTCATCCATCTCTTTCTTGCATGAAGCGTGGCCCATACGTTCATAAGACCGAAAGTTAATCCCAGGAGCGCCAAGTTGGTCATGGGCACCGTGCTTCACGATACCAAGTTGATCTTGAAGTAATTCAACTGAAATCTCCCCCACTTTATGGTATATCACCGTATCTGCTGTTCCGTGTCCCCATAATACTGGCATAGATTTGGCATGCGGGGAAATGCGCTGTATGAACGTTCAGTATCATCATACTTAGTACACGGGAGAAGAATTTATGATGGTGCATTACTACTGACCGAGTTGAACTTGTCTCTGACTGGCATCCAACCGCTCAGCACGACTACACCAGCCAGCTTGCTTTCATCCCCGGAACTCTTCGTTCTCCATTCTTTACCACCCAAACCCGCCACCAAAGCCAGAGCTCCTCCTTGACTGAATCCACCCACTACGATGCGACTTTCTGGTATTCCAGCCTTAACTTCTGCTTGAACCAAGTCATCTATGATCTTAACACTATTCTTCATGCTCTCGTCATCATCAACTACTTTGCTCAAGTACAGCTCCGCTGGAAGCGGTAGATTAGACATATCAAACCATGAAGGCATCTCACTGCCAAAATTCGCCGTGACAGCTTGCTCGGGCGCATCTGGAAAGATCCATTTGACGTGAGGAAGACGAGCGGGGATTGTCAGTTCACCGGGCTTTCTGTAGTCGTAATCACCGCTTATCGCTGCGCGCCAACTTGCTCCCTCGTCGCCGAGACCCTACAAGGTGAAACTAAATCAGCATATGCTTCTAGCACGATCAAGAGTTGGCATTATGAACACACATGAGCAAAGATGACGGTTGCGGTGTGCGCTGCGGTCGGCTGGATGATGGCTGACGGCATCTGATAGGTACTATGTCTGTGTGGATAGGTAGAGAAAGTGCGCGCTGCCAACGATATGATAGATTGCAATGCACGTGAACTAGGCATGGCTAATAGCATCATTGGTGAATATACCGGCTGCAATTTCCGGCCTCGTTCCTCGGCTAACCGACATTCCCGTGCACCAATGATAACTCATGTAGTCACAGTAGTAGACGGCGATCCTGGTCTCCCGTAGGCAGACCAATAGACACAAGGCAGTCGAACGTTCCTTCTACCGAGACAAAATGGTCACCGTGAAACACAAGTGACGCTATCAACAGGGTTATAACGTTAATGTAATCATGGGACATCAAGCAAGGTGAGCGTTAACCCCGGTGACAGCGCCTGGTTGTTTAAGCGAAGTTGAACATAGTATATGATAATAATATCTTCAAGTGGAGTTCGCTTCGAATAATATTGATTGCAGGGTTCAAGTCATGTCCTACTCTCCCCTAGCGGTCTACAGCCTGAAGGAAGACAGTTGTTACCCCTATTCATGGTCATGCCCACCGCACACGGTCTAAACTTACCTGAAGTACGTAGTATGCGCAACGCAAACGCGAATTTAGCACAATATGCCTGGAAAATTTTAATCACACGATAGTCACACTTACAGGATTCGGAAGGATGGGCAGGAAAAAAAATTTAACCAAGGACTTTCGCTAGAAGCAAGCGGTTCGTCCGTTCATGATGGAAAATGCATCCCAATCTGTTGGCTCCGCGGTAACTGTGCTGGATGTCACTTGCACTGCGCGTCTGATAGGAGTGCAGGTAGAGACATTATTAATATGCCATGGATAGCACTGGTTGGGGTCGAGAACCGGAAACCCCGCCATCCTGGTTATCTTCTTCCCCGTCCCCGTTCTCGTTCGAAGCCACCAGCTCTGCTTCGTCGGCATCCTCCTGGTCCTCCTGATCTTCATCTTCTCCAACATGCTCTCCTTCAGGGGATGCATCTAGATCGGTCGGTTTGTTTTGGAACTTTCTCTTTGGAATAATGCTCCAAAACGCCTGCTCCCAGTCTCGTGTTTCAACCCACTTCAGTAAGATTTCGAATACCTATAGGTAAACCGGACAGCCTTTGCTATCAGAAAAACAAACGACGTAACGAATAGATGTCACCTGGTTGACCGTGAGCACTTTCCTCGTCGTTAACGATGCTATATATCGGCCTATAGGAAGGCGTGCGTGTCGAATGGATGCCGTTTTAGCTTTGTCAAGGCAGAGATTCTGATATATTTTGTTAGATCAGGGTGGAGGAATTACGGGAGATCTGGGGAGCAGATCGGGGAAGGCGAACATGGGGTCGCTGAAGAATAATAACGGCTCCATTTTCTGGTTTTTGCGAAGGAATACTGAACAGGGTATGAGGTTTTTCAAAGCACATACCTTGTATCGGTTGTGATCGCAAATACCTCCGATAACGTATATTTCGCCCTCCTTAAGTTCTGTCAGCTCTTCCTCGGAGTCAGCGGTCAGGTAAACCACACTCGCGCGATGTGCATCCATGTCTTCATCTCCGCCGCAAGAATCAGATTTGGACGTCCATATTCGATCGTAACCTTCCTCCCACCATTTTGTATTCGTCCATCGCTTGTATCCAGCATCGTTTATGGCATCTAGCCGCGCCTTTGTCCGCCCATTGAGGGATGTAAATAATAGTGATGTAAACGGGGTAGATGATCGTCGATTCGCGCTGTATGTATATGCCAGTTGGGAAGTCAAAGAGGTCACTTCCTGCAGGTATGCTCATGTCAGTTTTAGGTAATACCGATAGTATTCGTACGCACCTTGTCCGTCATCATATCATCGAAACCCAGGTCTATCACCACTTGCGCAGCAAATGAAGTCTGATCAAATCCGCCCATCTTACGACGCTTCCGTGGCTCCGCATCGCCTGCTTCTGCACGCTCTCGTCGCTTGCGTTTTTTCGCCTCCTTCTCGCGCGCACGACGTTCAGCCTTTTGCTCTTGTAAGCGAGCTGCTTTTGCGGCTCTCTTCTGGGCTTTTTTTGAAAGGGGTTGTGAGGTAATAGAAATTTCTTCGGCCTGGGCAATCACTGGTTGCTCCATGATGTTCACTATCCGAGCTTCGGTGACCGTCTAGGGATCTCGGTGGTATTGGCACCAATGGTTAAGGTTGAATTGCCACCGCGGCCGGGGACCGCCGGCACTTACGGGATCAGTAGATAAGAGATCGATCGTACTGAGCGTAGAATTGGCGTAGAAGACGGGTCAAATATAACGATCAAAGTAGCTATTTGGAGGCTTGTACATACTTAGGGAGCCATTCTTCTCCTCCGGTGCTAAAATTCTTTAGACGTGCCATTTCTGACTCACTTGACCCATCTCTCACCTCCTCAATACACGAGGGAGACACCCAGCGATGTCCTTGCCCTTCCTAGTGGTGCAGCCAACCAAAACACATACCGCAACTGTAATTTGTGTACATGTAGGTGCTCTCTCTCACCCCGCATGACCTTCATCCATTTGCAACGGCGTTGGACGCCCAGTACCTTACTTCTTCTGTGACTCGCCTGTTTTGTCGTTCGTGCTGATCACATGCACTAGGGCATCGGTGATGATGGCAGAGGATTGATTCCCCTCACAAACGAGCTCGCGTCTGCCCTCCCACACGTCAAGTGGGTTCTCCCCCACGCACCTCAGCGACCCATAACAGTGTATAATAAAGAATGGCTTCGTGCCTGGTTCGATATACCATCTTTTTCCTTCACCGAGACCGAGGATGCACCGGGGATGTTGGACTCGCTACGTAAGCTAGACGCGCTTGTCAAGGCCGAGGTCGACGCTGGCATTCCACAAGAGCGTATTGTCCTCAGTGGCTTTTCGCAAGGTGGTGCAATGGTACTCCTTTCTGGTCTCGGAGGGCGCGCGGTACGCGAGGGAGGTGGGGGCTGGAAACTTGCAGGAGTCGTAGTGATGAGTGGATGGCTACCATTACGAGACCGTTTCAAGTCACTTATCTCCCCGCACGCGCTAACAATGCCGGTTTTTTGGGGTCATGGGACAGACGATCCACTTGTGAGATATAGCTTCGGGCGAAAGTCGGCGGAGATCTTGAAGGACCAGGTCGGTTTAGCACTGAGGTGGGGCGATAAAGGAGAAGCGGAACGCGCGGCCTTTGGCAGCGCTGGTGTGAGTTTTTTGGGGTATGATGGTGTACTACACGCAGTATGTTCTAAGGAGCGTGCTGACCTGAAGGAGTTTTTAAAAAGAGTAATCCCTGACAATCATACTGGATGATGAGATAGGGGTTATTAGACTGAGATGGTGCTACCATTTATTTTTCTTGTTCTTCATAGGTCGCATACCACGTTACAGTTGGGATTGTAGGATTTTAGTAATTCTTAGGAAGTGAAAGACAAATTCGATAGTCGGGATCTGATGTTGAGTTTATGAAATAGGTTAGCAATAGTTCGAAGCTAGAATGAGATTCTAGTCTACAACGATAGCGCGAGAAACTAGAGCACATCTTTGAGATTGGTCTGGGCTGATCCACGTTCGAGGGGCTTGGGTTGATTCGGCGAAGGTTTCCAGCCAATCTGAAATAGGATGAGGTAAAAACTTATCAAAAGGGTTTAGATATACCATGTAGATAATCTGGAATGTCGCTGGAACGGAACCGTCTTCATTTCCATGCAGCTCTATTGAAAAGAATTAGATTTTGTAGGTTACACATTGTGCTGTCACACCTTTATAAATAGCTGAGGCAGCAGCCAACGTATCCCTGTGCAAGAAGTGTCGCCTACAAAGTCACAATAGGAAACAAAGATACATCCATCGAGTTGGCTCACCGTCCAACAACAGCGTTGCTCTCACCCATGTCGCGCAGATCTTCGAGAAGCTCCCACATGCTTGGGTACCCAACCCGTACTTCATCGATATCTACAGTGAGTAGAGTGAATCCTGCACGAGAGAGAAGATTTGAGATGTCTTTAGTGTCTATACAAAAGCAAAGTAGAGCTCATGAAACAGTAATAGTGCGAGAGTGCATAAATGAGTTACCTGTCATGGGCGAAATATGTGGCGAGATGCCGCCCTCGCGGTCTACTTCCGCAAGCTGAAGGGCAGTCCTGTGAAAAGAATGTCTTTCAATGACATAGACGACCGTCCCAATCTCTTACCGGAGCTCAAACAAGGTATCCCCGCCAAACATGGCGCCTAAAAAGAGCCCATCAGGTTTCAGGGCTTCCTTTATTTGTACAAGCACGCCTGGTAGGTCGTTCACCCAGTGGAGGCTGAGACAAGATACAATGGCCTCTTGAGAGTTGCGAGGAAGAACATCAAGAAGATTCTCTTCATCTGCATGTACACGCTCTACTTCAACTGTGGATCGCTCGTATTATTGTCAGGGCGTTACCCCAGTGAAATAATATGACGTGCCTTCGAATTCTTCGTCCCGATCTCGGTTAAGGGTGGTCTCTGTACGACAGTCAGCTAAAAACGTTAAGAGTCAGAAAGAAAGAGCAAACTGCTAGAATCTATCATGAGTACTTTGCGCGTTTTTTCAGGCTCGAGGAGCTTGGAAAAGTGACCAGGCCCTGAACCAAGGTCCACGATGGTGTTGAATTTGCGTTTAATATCCTACACATGAATCATTCAGTTAAGTTGAAAAAAACAAAACAAGTCAACCGACAAGTAGTCTCTCCATCATTCGGTCTGCAACTTCGTCCCGGACGTAGTCCACAGTCCTGCTCCCAACACCTGCATCTCTGCTCACTGCCCGATCTCTCTGCTTCCTCTTAGCAGCCCGGTCGAATACTTTATATACCCCACTAGTTGCTGGAGGAAATGATGAGGGTGATTCGGAGGCAAATGCACGCGTCCAAGGACGAGTTGCATGACGAGCAACCACTTGGAGGTGGGACATCACTTGGCCTCGGAAGCGTCCGAATTGCGCTGGGTCGCGTCTACGCGTGACATGTAACTAACAGTCACAAGACAATCACGCGTTGTCTCCTACTTTAACTCTTTCATCGTCTTAGTTTGCTTTTACAGACTCGGGGCTCCCGCTCTGCAATTTTTCATTTGACTCGCTCGATAATTGGATATCGCGACAATGAACAATGGTGGTCAATCCAACTCAAGTGACTATCGTGCGATGGCTCCGTTTGTCAATGTCAACCCCTTCAATAGCCAAGAGTACGCGTCACGCAAGGCCAAGATCGAGGAGGCTAAGCGAAAGCTCGTCGAAATGGAACTACAAAATGAACTAGAGGAGATTGCAAGACAAGGGCGGGAGGCTGAGTGAGTGCTTTGTTGTTGAACAGCGTTGTAGCTAATGCGCCAAAAGGCAGAGACTGGCAGAGATGAAAGCGTCCATGGCAGCGGAAGTGCCGTGAGTAAAGAGATTTCGCAACATTCTGTAGTGATTAATATATGTGATCACTTCACTAGTGTCCCAGCAGGGCTTCCATCAGCAAGTGGCTCTAGCCACTATCCTAATGCAGTTTATCACTTTGCGGAAGAAGTGCCTTTGACAGCCAGAATCGAAGGAGAAATACGCGACACATCTCCAAATGTATTGCTCGTATTTGCTGTATCTTCTTTAGTCTCATTTTGTTCAGTCATCTAGGCCGCAAATGCCATATAACTACCAACATAACTACCCGAGCACCAATCAGTCACAGCAAGCAGGATTTCAGGCGCATGTTTCAACCCAGCCACCGTCGCAGAGGCCATCCTTTGCGCAAACACAGTCACAGGGAGCGACAAGGTCCCAAAGTTCGCATGCACCATATCCTCGTGGCCCCGCATTTACTGTTCGCGGCTATCAACATTCACAGCAAGCCTCGTCTACGCCTCATCAACAGCATCGATTTAAACTTAGTATGTAGAATTTTGTCCGTTAATTTTGCATGTTTATACTTACTGCTTCTGTGTTCTACAACAGATGAGGAATACTGGGCAAAGCAGAGCCAAAAGTATGCGGCAGAGCTGGCTGGTGCAAGTGCGCAAACTTCACAAGCAGGCGTCAAACCTCGAGCAAGCACGTTTACTGGAACGGGGATACCCCAGTATGCCCCTCAAGTTCAACATCAAGTGGCATCCCCAGCTGCACCGGCCGTTGCGACTATCGTCTCATCGACTGGGCGTCCATCTTTGTCATCCGCTGAGCAACCGTCCACCAATCGTCAATCATCGGGCAGCCTTGCTCAGTCCGCCATCACGAAACCAGAGTTCATTCGGCAGTTCCAGTTGGCTTGCAATGTAAGTTGTGACGTTGGTAAATTATGTACCTTCCTTTACATACTTTCTGACAGCACGGCCCGCAAGCTATTCAAGACTTTCTGAGCTCATGCCCTGTGGCCGTGGAATGGTGGGCCGAAGCTGCGCGCAGCCTCAATCCACAAAATTTCAAAGACGAGGGAGTTTTCAAGATGCTTAATGACATGAGAAATCTTAAGTGGACCCCCTTACCTCGAGCCAATTATTCTGCCTCTGCCGGTACCAACGTCCATGTTCCTACAGGGATTTCGGCAACATCTGGAGCCACAATTCAGCCTTTGCCTTTGCCCTTGCCTGCGAATCCCCTGCCCGCTCAACAAACGCCAGCAGGTCCCGGTACCAAGGAAGCTTTCGTGCGATACTTTCATGAACGATTTCAGGTGCATAATTTCGTACCTCGCTGACTAACCGAGTTTGACGATTTTTTCATCCTCAGGGAACAGACATGGACGTGACTGTCAAATTCCTTATGCAAAATCTGCATTCTGTGCCGGAGGAGTGGCGGAAGGCGCTCTTCGACAGTCTAGCTCCAGAGTTTAAAAAGGAGCTTGGTCAGGCATTGACTCGTGCAAAGGCTTTAGCAGCTAGCAAAACTTTACCTGTGACCAGTGCCGCGACGCCGAATACCTCCTCCGACCGTGTGCCAACTGTCGCACAGCAAAGTCGAACCACTACTGCCAGCAACGCTGTTACACCTGCAACTGCGCACACTACATCTGAGTCATCAAAGTCGATTCCCGTACCCCCCAGACCGTCTGTGACTAAAAATACACAGGCCAAGTCCACGAGTGTACAACCCCCAAGGGCATTGACTTCAAATCCCACTGCTGCAACTACCGTCGCTGCATTGGCTACCAAGGCAACCCCCGCACCTCAAGCACAGGTATCTGCATCGACCACGCAGACGGCGCTTTCAGCGTCCTCAATACAGCAAGCTACATCTCTGACCGGGACTAGTATATATGGACAAGCGGCGGGCGGTGCTTATAAACCACTCAATGTACCCCCTCCAATGAGTATACCAAGTGCCGATGGCAAGGTCGCTCAATACGCATATGATCCATATTTGAAGAAATATGTGCGGGCAGATATCCCAACAGAGGACGCAGTGCCATCAGGATCGAACACGGGTATATACTCCCACGACTCTGTGTCCAAAACATATGATAGGCAGCAGCCACCAGCTCTCGTGCCTCAGGCCATACCGGCGCCCACGCAAGCTCCAGCTACTGTATTGATTCCGCCTGCTACTCCGCCGCGACAGAAAGAGAGTGGGGCTACCCCAGTGGTGCGCACACCGCAACAGGCCGACAGGTCACGGCTTGCAAAAGATATCCTAAGGTCACTAGGAATAAACCCGCCACCCGTGACGGCGGAAGAGGAAGAAGATGCTCACGAGGAAGCTGGCGTATCACCGGAAAATCTACCAGTAGCCGCAGAGCATCAGCAGGAGACGCCACCATCTGATGACTTATCAGTAGCTGAAGCCCCACAGGAGACTAGCGTCTTACAATCTCCGAATGTTTTGATGGAACAAGAACAGCCTGAAATACAAACACCGCAAAGTCCTATCAAGGAAGTCACTGCTGATGACATAATCGTGGATGATGAACCAAGTACTACTACCCCCGAAAAGGACACTGCCTCCCCCGAATTCCCACTACCTGCTGCTACACCATGTCCAGCGTCCACATCTTTGGATCAGGAGGAGTTAGCGCGTGGAGTTGATGGAATGTCGATAACCACTGATGTACATCGTTCCAAGCCCAGTCGAGAAGATGGGCCTATCGATAGTCCCATATCATTCCCAGATCTGGATGAGTTTCTACCGCCTGTGCTTGAACCTGTGGGCATCTCATCTCCTGCCCCCAGCTTTAAGGCACAATCGCGCGAGCAGAGTGAAGACAACAGGAGTGGGGCTCTTCCGCTTTTCCTGCCGTCACTATCGGTATCACCTGCACCCTCGGGCCACTCTGGTGTCCAACTTCCACCGGAAACAGACGATGAGGTTTTAATAGTAGAATCCATGTTACGCGGTGGTTCGCTTTCTAAGAGCCGTGTAGATTCGTTGGATGAGGATCATGCACAGACCTCACTACGAAGTGTGAAGAGGAAGAAAGGTCAACGGGTCTATGTGTTAGTACCACAGCCTCCTCCTGAGCTTAGGAGGGCTATCAAGAAACGAAAGCTGGAGGATCAAGGCATAGTCTCTGGCTCAGAGGAAGAGGAAGAGTGTACGAGTTTGTTCCAGTTCGGGTGATTTTTGTGGCTTATGTTCGTTGCAGCCAAATACAATGATTTCGAGCAAGCCCTCATAGCGGACTGCAGAGTTCGAATGGTTGAGAGACCCTGCCAGTGGAACGGATGTGATGCTCTGATGAACAACGGCGAGAATCTCTATTTGCATCTCAAGTTGCACGTGCAAGAGGCTGGCTCTCAGGTAAGTGGATACTCGATGGCAAGATCAAGGTAACTCACCAACCATCTCAAGGAGTCCTTTACATGCCGCTGGCAGTCATGTCCTCGGAGACTCAAGTCGGCAGCAGCTTTGGAGAAACACCTACAGAAACATTCGTACTTCCCTCTGCCATGTCCTCTTGCAAGTACGTGTGACCTAACAGTCTCGTTTACTATATTCGATTGACGTACTTCAGGTTGTTCAGATGTTTTCGATAAACCAGTTGAAGCGATGGGACATGAAGTGCGCCACCAGCAACAGGAATCAATCAAGAAGTTGGAGATGAAACAGCCCCCAAAACCTTTCGCGCCAAAAATACCTCCCATGCTAGATCCTCCACCCAATAGTCTACCATCCTATCGTGTAGAACCGAGATACATTCGCCAAGCTCATATCCCACCTCAACGCCACGCTGTGATCGGTCCCTGGGTAAGTTTTATAATAGACGCTAGGTATGCCTGCGCTATAATTGACATGATCATCAAGGTTCTTCAACATATATTTGGCCCTGTCGAACAAAGCCTGAGAAAGCAGAACGCACCTATGCGACTCCGATACCCGCGCCCCGACGCTCGGCCGGAGAACCTGGATAATTTGAGGGCAAGACCGGACGAATATGACTTCCTGGCATCACTGTCGACATCACCAACACGAACGATTCGATATGAGGATCTTGATTCTGGAGATGTCTCGATGGCACTACTTGAGGGGCTCACGCTCTGGGATACAGATTTAAATTCAAATAGTCGTCAAGAAAAATCGAATCTCGAAGAGGAGGGCTCGGATCTGACAAAAGACATGGTGATCGAGGTGCCAGAGGGAGGTACATCCAATTCTGTACCCGTGGAAGGATCTGGCAATTTACCCATGGGCGAGGTCTCAACCACGACGGACGGAATGGATGGTAGTCACTCTACGGAGGGCGCCGTGGGGGATGAAGAGGCTGTGATGATGATGTTATGGGATTGATGTCGTTGTTAGTGCACACGCACGGTCCTTGAATGAAGAGGGCCTCCACAATATTATTGTGACTTGGACGGATGTCATTGTGGACAGTGCTGTCATATGTAACTAGGATGAGGAATTGAAAAAATAATTTTGTGGAAGTCGGCCACAAGTTGAAGCTTACTTTGGCAAAACTTCCCTATTGATGAGAAGCGTGATCGCAATCTGAAACCGGGTTCTAGGCCCGTCACCACTTTGGCCGCGTTATTCTCCTACGCTTTCCCGCCTGTACATTATGATCGAGCCCAGTGCTACTCAAGGTGAGCTCAACACGACGCTCTTCTCCAAATACATGGTCGTTGACCAGTTCACAACAGTTCCAACTTTTATTTCGTCTCGTTCTGCCGATGTCATCCTGTCCGATATTCGTCCTACTAAATTAACTCCCGACGCTCTCAACTCCATCAATGCCCTACTGGACGAGTTACTCTATAGCATACTTAATGCAGCTCGGTCGTTCAACCCTTCCCGACTCAGGACTGCAATGCACAAAGTTCTACCAACCACCCTGGGCAAAGAAGCTATACTTGAGGCTGAGATGGAACTTAGAGCGTACTATCAGCGTACCATTACCGCTGTAGGTTCGGGCTCGTCGAGCGAGGATGGTGTTTTCAATTTGCAGTGGGCAGCCGAGGTGCGTTTTATTGCATTGCGTTGCGTTCACTCGAACCTCAACACCACTGTGTACAGCTTTTAAGGCTTAAATGCGAAGCATATTCAACCTTAAGCGATACAGACGAGAATTCAGATGCCGAAAATCGCCTGAAGGAACGTATGCTTGCAGACGGTGTCCCTCCTCCCAAACAAGAAGTCCTTTCACCAGCCTCACTCTATCTAACCGCCATCATTGAGTAAGTACCTCTGCTGTTATTCAGAGTTCTCGGCCTGATAACCTATCTCGTTAGGTCCATATGCGAGTGAGTCTTAAGTTCTTTCGAAAGTGATGTTCCTGGTCCTGAGCTCATCCACATGATAGACACATTCTGTCAAATGTGGGACGTGTTGCATCACGAGATAGTAGCCGAGCAACAGCTAACTCTCAGGATTTATTCATTGCACTTTGCGAAGACAGTACGATATATGGTTTTTTCAAGAACATGAAAGGTTAGCTTATTTTTATCCGAATATTGTTCGGCACATTGATGACGTGTTTCATCGCTTCTAGTCTACGGGCAAATTGAGACACTGTCAAAATTACCGAAACTAAGACGGAGTAAATCCTTTACCCGGGAAAAGTTGTCGGGTGCGACGTCCCCGGCGTCCTCTCGCGAGGGAGATGCATCACGAAAGGACAGCTCACGCCATCGCATGTCGTCTGAGTCATCTAATATTGGACCCGCCATGATTTTGGGCTCTAATCCTCACTCTGCGAGATCATCTATCGACAAGGCACGCGCGATTAAAATATTTAGTGGCAACAGCAATAGAGGATCAAATGACCACCCAAATGGAACTGACTCTGTAATTGGTCATAGGAAGACAGATTCGTTAGTGAGCGCGAATGCGAAGCAATCCATTCAGAGTGGGGACATGTCTCCCATTTCGCCGACATTTTCCGTGCGACTTCCATTGCTTCTCCATTATGAATGCGTTGACTCATAATGCGTTCTAGGAGGATCGATCACAAGAATTTGATGACATGATGCGATCAGGGTCGACCATGAAAGTATCGCTCACCCCGGATAGGCTACGGACGATGGAGGTATATAAGGTTCCTTATCACGAAATTTTACGGATTAGTGATGATTATTTGCTAGGCTCTTAACAAAGAGAAGGCACGCTTTAATGGTAGAAAAACCTCCCTCCAATCATCCCACAAGGACTCTATCTCGTCCGAAGCATTATTAGCATCCACTGCACCTGACCAGCCCAAGCGAACAACAAGACCATCCTTGCGGCACGTTGATTCTATTCACGAAGACGACGAAATACAGCCCATAGTTAAACCCCCTCCAACGTCACGCCCTCGACAGCTCAGTGCCGCTACTACTTCAGGATTTAGTCCACCCTCTTCCACCCGCGCTCGCTCTGCCTCTTCCGCTGATCCAATGGTACTAAAGTCTACCACATTTCCACTACCAAGGCAGCCGCATCCGAGCCTTGGTTCGTCCCTGAAGCTACCGAACTTGACACCAAGCAAGGTACAGCAGAAGCGAACAAAGCCCGTCTCTCATGGATTGGACGTCGACCAGTCACGACCTCCTCGTACTCACACCGTCGCGAGAAACCGAGAGTCACTTGATCTTGATGATATCATGGGTGCTTCGGAAAACGAGGATGAGGCAGAGAAGCTGAAGAGTACGCCCTGCTATAATTCGCAGAGAGGCATATCAGCAAGCGCTAGAGAGCTTATTGACTTTCTCGCCGAGGGCCCACCAGAACCTCCCGCAACTTCCTCAACTAATGTCAACTCAGGGTCTCTCTTGACTCCAAAAAAAACTGGCCGCCTGCAGCGCATGATCTCTAAGATCACGCTCAACGGCAACGAGAAGGTTCGTTCCGATAATGAATCTGGCAAAAGCTCTCCCCGGAGGGCAGACGGTCCTATCCCTCTCCTACCCAACAAGTCCCTGACGAATCTCAGCTCCCTCGCGAACAGACCCGTTCCACCTCGATATCCTACCGACTTGCCCTCTGCTACATCATCAGACTCCCGTAGCTCTGTTGATAATGCACTCTTAGATCATCGGGTTCGGAAACAGTCTTTTTCACGCAAACCGGTGCCCCCACTTGATCCCAAAACAACCTCACCAGACTCTCTTGTCTCTACATTGGCTCCCAGCATGGTTGTGGTGGATGTTGGCTCCCCTGTACCTCCTATGCCCACCAGTTTAGTCCCAACCACCTCCAAACAGCATAATCCTGTCAGCAAACGTGGTTTTGACGATAGCTCATCGGCCGTAGTGCTCGTGGAAGCCCCTGCTCGTTCGAGCTCAGAGTCAAAGGCACCTACGGTGCAAGCACCAGAACGTTCCTCTTCCAGAGTTGTACTCTCACACCTTGCCAAACGTCCAACACAGTTGCCCACTGCTGCATCTTCACCTTCCATCCCGCCTTCTGTCATTGATCATGCTCATGACATGCGGCGAACACTCTCGCATGCAACGAGCGCAACCGAATGTCGTCTGCTCATAGATATCTTCTTGGCTCGGGCTGGTCTGGTGGCTGACTCGTCAGAGCTTCAAGTTCTAGTCTCCGCCCCGCTAACGCCCGAATCTGCTGCAAAGGAGTCTCGGATGGAGCACGCCATTGTTGAGCTATTGCTGGGTGGCGATGAAGAGTCGTCAGACACAACAGTCCAGTCTGAACCATAATCCACGCAAGCCTCATACCTGTTTCATGATTCAAAGTCACTATGGATACACCTAATGATACCCAACTCTCCTTCACTCGATCTTCCATGTAGATCTAACAACTACTCATTTCTATTGACTCTCGTTCTCGTTATTAGTGTCAGCGAGCTGACAGTCGGCCTTTTGTTCCCTTGGTATCCATAGCCTAATGTTATTAACGATGGTCTATGTATGGTTTTTGAGCCACGAAAACGACAAGAAGAATATTGATCTGAACACTGAATGGGCAACAAGTGTTTTCATCGTACTTCCAATGAAACGGCAATGCCCATGGCGGCCAGCTCGGCACAAAGATAGCGGAACACGTAGGGGACCGCCACAACATCGAGATCGCCACCTTTTGATGAACTGCGCAGCACGTTCGATGACGGTATAGCCACCATCACGCCTGGCAACGGACTTCGATCGGGATTTTGTCCCGTAGTCAGAGCCTGGCGAGCTCGTTCGTCATCTTCCTCGGCAACCGCGCGGCACACTCTACAGTATTCTCCACCTGGACCAGTTGCTTTTATCGTGCCAGTAGATGACTCGCCCAAGCTTATATCATCGTAACCAAGGGATATGAGACTGCCACAGGTCCGACAGACCCATGTAGTGGAGTAATCTGAACAATTCATTAACCGGTCCTGGAGAAGGAACGACGTCCCATGAGCGATCAGAGCGTCGCGTTCCATCTCCCCAAATCGGATGCCACCAGCACGTTTGCGGCCCTGTTCAGGTGATTAGCAGACATGCAGGACCATATATGACGACTTCCCTACCTTGACTGGCTGACGTGTCACGGGGTCAACCGGGCCAGTGGTTCTGACCTGGAATTTGTCTAAAACCATATGCCGCAAACGTTGGTAGTAAACAACGCCGATGTAGATATCCGCGGCGAACTCTTGCCCAGTGATGCCCGAGTACATGGGCTCGTTACCGTAGTAATTATAGCCAGCTGCTAATAGCTGTTCGCCAAAGTAGTCAATCGCTCTGTCTTCTTCAGAAAACCTGGATGCAATCAGATGGCGTTGTCAACAGGAGCAGTGGTGATTTACTGAAAAGGAGTCGCATCTTGTGCTAGTCCATGCATAGCACCAGCCTTGCCAGCCATGCTCTCCACTAACATGCCGATGGTCATACGACTTGGGAACGCATGTGGATTGATGATGACATCAGGTTGCATTCCGCTCTCCGAGAAGGGCATGTCAACAGTGGGCCATTTTTGTGAACATACACCCTTCTGACCATGACGAGACGAAAATTTATCTCCAATGACGGGAGAACGAGTTATGCGGAAAGTAATATGCAATTTTTGCAGCTCCGTGTCCCCGGTATCACCACCTTGAATTCCGTCAGCAGCTACCCGGATGAGGGCGAAGACCATACCTAACATGCGGATTTCATGCACGATTCCTTGCTCATCGCCCTTGTACTTGACGAACCTCGTGCGCCCAGTAGTCTCATCGATGTAAGCGGCTATAGGATCCCCAGAATCCAATTTGGTCCCAATGAACGGCAGGCCATCTTTATCCAAAAATTGACAACAAGTATGCTGTCCATTGCCTTCAGCTGTTCGAACATCGTGACCAAGACCAAAATGCAATGTAGGGGATGCTGATGATTTAGTAGCACCTCGCATTTCCTTTAGATCGATTATCTGAGATTTATAAACCGTTCCGTAGCCGAAGCCACGTTCATGAGCGGATTTGTTCAGGATCATGGCGTCCTCCATGTCGTAACCGGTATAAGAAATGACAGCAACGATGGCATTGGTACCGTTTGGGAACGAGTCCATGGCGTAAACATTGTGTAGATGTGGTCGAACGACGGGAGTTTGGCCAGTCTGTAACCGGTAGAGCTTATTGTCCGTTCTGTGTTGTAGGGCGGTAGATGGGGTACCCATCGTTTGTTTACCCATCTTGAGACACGAAGTCAAGCTGGGGTGATGGTTCTCGTGTACTGTAACTTACCTGACACTGATAGATATTTCTGGGACTCTACGCAGCAGATTAGTAGCAGCCTACATGGTGCGTTTTTGTGTATTACCTGATTAAAATCCGAGAACGGCGTTAAATTAGCCAAGATGGACAAGAAATTTGTCGGCGCATGTTCCACGTGTGTTGAAACACCTATCTCGACCTCGTCAGGTTTGATTGCAATGTTCATGTAAACCTGTTCAAATGATCCAACTTGGTCGTCTTTCCCGTTGGCAATGAACTTCACAGGGCGCATCATCCTCGCTCGGGTAGAAAACAAGAACAAACCGGGGTACTGTCCACCTTTCGATTCGGGGACGAAACCAATCTCTAGATCGAGGGGAACCTTGTGTCGACCCTCGGTTTTCCATATCCGTAGATTGGTGGCAAGTTGGTGAGCAACCGACTGTCTTGCCCAGCCGATGACGCGGCCATCAAGTTGAACGCAAAGGTTTTTTCGGCCATCTATTGAAGATGAGAAGGCCTGTGTCATGCCGTGAGCTGCCAGGAGTGCAGGGATTTCAGCAACGGAAAGAGGCGCCGTGATAATGCGGCACGTCCTCGAAAGATGATTGAGCAGACCGCATGGGGCACCATCAGGCGTGTGCACTGGACATAGGAAACCTGAATAATTGTTAGTACAGGGCCAGAATGACTGAAGCGCACTACTTTACCCCAAGCTTCTGGTAATAACTTTCGAACGGTTGTTGTCTTGAGCTCGGCGAAGAAGGCACCACGATGAATACATCGAAAATGACTTATATACCTCATCCAATTGAGTTTTTCGGCAACAATAGTAAACCCAGATGCTTGTTGCAAATCAAGACCCGACGGTGAAACCAGATTACCAGTAGCCAAGAAATTTGACATTCTGGAACCGATATCCCAGTTCACCTTATTGATGACCTTCATAATATATCGTTCTAGGATTATCATCAGTTCATCGCAAGGTTGAAGCGAAGCATTTGTGCATACTGTCAAGAAAATCGACTGGTGGTTCTTCTTTCCTGACGTCTGTCGCAATCTGGTTTCTTACTTGGCTCAGCGCTTCCTCAAGGCGCTCCTTGATGATCATGCCATATAAATAACCAGGCAGCAGTACTTCCTGGTGCTGTGGGGAATCTGGGTTATCTGCGCAGCACGAGGAGGATACCACACTATATAACTTTCGCAGCATGAATCTGGTGTGAACGTCAGTTCATATCAAGAAATGGAGAAAGCAGCTACGAACACCAGCATCCGGAATTTGTCGCGAGCCGATTTAAGATGTACCAGGACCATCTTCTGGATTAACCAAGCTCCAAGAGCTTGGTTCGTCCAGTCTTCGGGCATGCCAAGAACGACTCGAAATTTGTCGCCCAAGTACTCAAGACACTGATCACCAGTGTACAAGCTATACATCTTGAAACTACGCAGAAGAAGCTCAACGCGATCTGTTAGAAAAGTGTTTTCGTAATCTTGCATCATGACGCTATCAAAAATCTCCTTGTCGGAAGCACCGATGAGAGCTTTGAGGATAAGCATGATTGGTATCACATATTCTTGTTTTCTCCAGCTAAATCGTAGCATCGCGCTTCCGTTTGAGAGATAGTGGAGAGTATTGGTAACGCTGGATTGATCGGGGCGAACGCAGCGAATTTGTACTGCATATTGTGTGTACGAAGGACCACGATTAGCGAAAGATGGGCGAAGCAGAGAAGTGACATGATTTCGACGGGGAAGAATAAGATAGCGAATTAACCGTTCGTTTCCATTGATGATGAAGTAGCCACCAAATTCTTCTGGCTCTTCATGTCGCCTCACAAGTTCTGCAGAAGGTAGACTACGAATATTGCACCGAACAGACTAGTAATAGCAGTCAGTTTACCGTCTAAACAATGTAATGGGTGCTTACCCGAACCATGATCGGGACTAGACCACAGTCCCGCATTACAAATTGATCGGGATGAATGTTCCCGTTGATGCTCCAGCAGACCTTTGCTTGCATACGTCCCCGATAGGAGGTTAAACGCTCACGAGCCTGTCATGTACATCAGCTTTAGAGCATCCATCTTCAAACCTGTAGAACTTGGGGATTCGATGGAAGCAACTTACCTCTGTAGGAAATATTTTGCGCTCAGTGCTCCATGTATCTCTGTCTGGAACTCTAGGAGGAGCTATAGATACCTCTTCTATCCAAACTATTCCATTGATGAACATTATATGCAAATGGGAGCCTGACGCATCACTCACTGCTCAGTCGATTACCCCAACCATGCTGACCACTCTCTGTCCCAAGCTCGCCGCTGCCATCAAACACAACGCGTTCGCCTATGTCCTTCAGACCCAAAGATAATAGTCCTCGACCATCTCCGTCTCCCTTGGGCAGTCCAGAATCATCGAAGAGCGCGTTGAAGGATTCGATGTGAGGCGTGACAAATTCATTGAGGATCGGATATGTTGAGCCTGTTTTTGGTGGATTTTTGAATGATTCTTCGCGCTGGATGGTGTTAAATGTTGGTTGCCGCTTTGACTTATGTGAGCCGTCTGGCATAATGTCTGACTGAACTAGAATTCCCCCTGGCTTTTCCCCTGCTCTTGCCAAATTTTTGGCTGAATAAGGTTAGTTACTGTGAGAAATAAATTCCAAATATGTGCACATCGGACCTTCGATATTATAAACTCCGCATCCTACTCCCGATGTCGACAGCATCAGTGACAAACGACTGCAGGCTCTTTCTTCAGATATGTTCGGAAGTAACACAGTGCAATCTTCCTGGGCAAATCCTCAACAGAATCAGAGCCAACCGCAGAGTTCTGGTTTTGGTCAACCTAGCGGCTTCGGGCCCGGAACAGGTAAGCGAGTCATTTGCCTGTACAGCGTTTTACGCACCTGTTAATCGCCGAACAGGCTTTGGATCAACAGGTGCTTTTGGTCAGCCCCAGCAGCCACAAGCCAATCCAATGTTTGGCAACTTGGCGAACCCAAGCACGGGAACTTCAGCATTTGGTGTGTCCTGTCACGTTTATTGTATCCCTCATGACTAAATCACATTCGATGCAGGCGCATTTGGCCAGAATCCTCCACAACCAGCTGCGGGCACCTCAGCATTCGGAGCTCCGAAGCCTGCCACGGGCTTATTTGGAGGGGGAGGCACCTCAGCTTTCGGAAGTGGCAGTAGCACTTTTGGCTCAACAGCTGGGACGGGGCCCACGGGTTTCGGATCCAATCCCAACACTGGGGGTGCGTTTGGTGCTTTTGGACAGAATAGAGCCACCACTGGCTTTGGTGGTACCTCTCCAAGTAAGTGCTCTTTTCTTTTTACGAAATTATTCAAAGGAGCTGACGATTGTCTTCAGCCACTGGCAATGACACCACTGCGCCTGTCACAACAGGCACATCGAATCCCCCCTACAACTCCTTCGGTGAAAAGGATCCAACGTCAGCATCTATTACCCTGCAATATCAAACAATAACGGCTATGCCCGCTTATCGAGGGACGTCGCTTGAGGCGAGTGATCGCCACCTCCAGATATTAATCCCTCGCTTAACAGTCTTGAAATCTCACTTAGGAGCTTCGTTATCAAGATTATCAACAGGGACGGAAGACTGCAGGGGCATTCGGTCAGCCGTCCTTTAGTGGCACAACAACTACCCAACCAACGAATTTATTCGGAGGTGCCCCTGCGCAGCCTGCCACCACATCCATATTCGGCGGTGGCACCGGCGCGGGGACAGCGTTCGGAAGCACGGGAACAACAGCAGGCAATCCTGGTACCGGCTTTGGAGCTTTCGCACAACCCCAGCCCGCGCAACCGGCGACAGGTACTGGAACGGGAGTATTTGGGTCAGCCTTTGGTCCACCCCAACAGCAACAACAACAGCAACAACCTTCAACCTTTGGTTCCTTCGGGCAGCCACAGCAGCCAGCCACAACTGGGACCAGTATCTTTGGTTCGGGTGGTACATTTGGGCAGCAGAACAAGCCCACCACTGGCTTCGGGGGTGGTACCTTCGGGTCAACAAGTAGGATTCTTGCCGCTACCGATCTCGTACCTTCTAACATTCTACACAGTAGGCGGCGCGTTCGGTTCTACAGGAACCTTTGGACAGCCAGCCAGCCAGCCTACTGCAGGTACCACAGGCATTTTTGGTCAACCCCAACAGCAGCAGCAACCTGCAACTGGGAGCACATTCGGTGGTTTTGGTACATTACAACGTTCATGTTCTATGAACAATACTAACTTTGTCGCTGTAAGGTTCGAACACGACTGCTGCCAAGCCGTCGATTTTCGGTCCGCCTGTTCAGAGTGGCACAACGTCTACCGGCTTTAGCACGTTTGGCAATCAGCAGCAGCAGCAGCAGCAGCAACCTCAGCAGCAACCTCAGCAACCGCAAGCGGGTAGTATATTCGGGAATACGGGCGGTGGCCTGTTTGGCCAGACCCAACAGCAGCAACAGCAACCTCAACAGACTGGGTGTAGGTTTTTTTTCCTCCAGCAGTTCATCTTAGTGATCTTTTTCACGAACAGTATTTGGTTCCACCCCAGCTCAACCTCCAGGTGGCTCATTTGGAAGTTCGACCGGTGGAGGTTTATTTGGGAATGCCCCACAAAATCAACAGCAGGCCCAACAGCCCACTCAACAGGGTGGGCTTTTTGGGACCAAACCAGCCACTGGCGGGGGTTTATTTGGAAATACGTTTGGTCAGACGGGCACGACGGGAACAATAGGCTCACAACCCCAAACGAATCTTTTCGGGCAGCCTGCGGGTCAAATAACGAACCAGCAATCAGCAGCTGGCACGAACGCGTTGGGCACGTCTTTATTTGGCCCCAAACCCATTGCACCTGGCCTTGGCATCTCAACATCAACGGGTGGCTCCTTATTTGGAAATGGACAATCACTGTCTAGTCTAAACTCCTCTGCTACTGTTCCTGGACCACAGGGAACTCTGTTCGCCTCCATTGCTGAACCTCTTTCTCAGAATCTACCAATCTTCTCGATGCTCCCTCCTGGCCCGCGTGCTGTAGACCTTGACCAACAACCCAAAAAGAAACCCGGCTTTTTCGTCGATGTTCCTACACGTTCGCCTGTTCCATATCTCCAGCTCGGCTATACCCCCGCTAATTCGAAGCTGCGAGGCTTTGCAACATCAACGTCAGGGACTGCGCTCGGGTCCAGCACGAGTCCCTTCGCTACATCATTGACGAATGGGAAATCCAATGCGTTGGCACTTAGTCGCCTCGATGGGAAGGGTCCTGATGGATTGTTGGGGCGAAGCTCCACACCATCCCTAGGAAGTGGGGGACGTCAGAGCGTGAAGAAATTGATACTGGACAAGAAAGTTGAGCCTGCAGACCTCTTCAGTCAATCTGGTTCGCGCGCTAGTCCCAGCAGAGTAACGTTCAGCCCTGCCCTTGGCCAGGCTGCACGCGAAAAGGAAGTTGCAAGAGAGAAAGAAGCCGCCGTCAGTGCAACACCTGCTACTCCTCAAGTGGAGACTCCGACACCTATCACTCGCAAAGTTCCTGGTCGCTTTTCTGCACAGAGCACCACCAATGTGTTGGGCTCCCAACCGACCTCACCTGAAAAAGAGCCTCCAGCACCAGCAGCATTGCAGCATGGTAGCTACTGGGTGAAGCCCGACCTCCCGACCCTCGTCAACCTTGGTTACGAGGACCTAGTAGCATTCAAGGACCTCATCGTTGGGCGTGTCGGCTATGGCGAGATCCAATTCCTGGAGCCAGTCGACCTCACTAATCTTCCAAGACTTGGCGCTCTCCTGGGCGAGATTGTCAAGTTTGATGATAAAGAATGCAGCGTTTACCCGGATACTGATGATGCAGACAAACCTGCACCGGGCTCAGGGCTCAATGTTCGCGCACGCATTATTCTTGTCAGATGCTGGGCGACGGATAAAGCAACTCGCGAGCCCATCAAGAATGAGAAAGATCCTGGTGCAGTTAAGCACCTGAAGCGGTTGAAGACGATCAAGGAGACCCACTTTGAGGGCTTTGACATTCGGGAGGGAAAATGGACATTCACCGTGGATCATTTCTGAGCATGGTTCTCGTTTTACATGTGAGGTGTTGGTTCTCTGTCGGCATACCTGTGCGGTGCAGTAGTATTCCTCTCCATATATTTGTAAGGGTTGTCTATGCCAAAAGTGCTGTTCTTAGTTTAGGTGCAGTTAGGAATACTTTGTACGCAAGTAGATAGCTTTGAATATTTGAATAATAGGTTAACAAACACCAGAAGCGGACAATGATGATATCACCTTGCGCCTGACAAGTTGGAATGCGACACCTTGAAATTACCAGCTTTCCAACCAAGTTGCCGACTGCCATCATTGACCTATCATGCACACGTTGAATGCAAGCACAGGTCGTACAATACCCGAAATCATGCTGACCGCGTTTGACAGATGCCTGAAAACAAGCTTGAGGGGCAAAACGCGGCCGTCGCGCGCGGTGCCATAGAGGGCGCACTCTCAGGCTCGGCAATCGTAGCACCAACATGGTACCTGCTGAATCGCAGATGGCCCGCTTTTCGTGCCTTGCCTACTACGTTGAAGACGCTGGGTGCCGTCATCACCATTGTGCCCTTGATTTCCATTAGGGCGGAGCACCGTGGGCTGGACTTTCATCGTCAGCATTGGTATGTCGGGCGTTTTGTTGAGGCATCGTCTAACCTGGACTGGTATAGGACGGGTATTGGAAAGACGGAGCGGGAGAAGGAGCGTGAGGAGGAGCAGAGGAGGTGGGCTTCGTTGAGCCCGAAGGACAAATTAGCGGAGTGGACAGCGAAGCACCAGCTCAGCGTTATCGTTGGCAGCTGGGCCCTCACTATGGGTCTTGTCGGGAGGAAAGTCATGCGTGACCCGTGCGTTTTCCTTTTGCAGTGTGGTTTGAGCCGGGCTGACCACTGAGATGACAGCTTGATATCTATGCCAAACAAGGTATGATGAACCTTTGTCGCTTTGGTCACTGCTTGTTTTTGTGCTGAAACATGTTATATCGTTGGCATCAGGTCGTTCAAGTGCGTCTTTGGGCTCAGGGGCTTACTATCGGTGTCATCATCGCAGCTGCTGCTCTGACACACTCCCAGCGCGCACAGGCGGCCAATATGAGGAAGGTGTGCTTCTTTGCTTCTTTCCCCGTGTTTGGCAAATCTTTTAATGGGTTCATTAGCACTCTCCGGATCATACTTGGGTTTACCTGGTATGAATTTACACCCTTCAGTTTACATGTTGTGTTGACTTCAGTTCTAGCTGGACAAACAACGCCTTGAGAAGGAACGTGCACAAAATGCTTAGTACTTGCCCTGCCCATGGTTTACCTGCATCCTGAAGTGTTTATCTTTTCGTGTTGTATTAATACGCATTCCGTTTACCTATACAAAACGCCTGACTCATCAGCGCAGTCCATCAATCGTTTCATTTCCAATACAGATCCTTGCTTATCGGAAGTTGATTCAGGCTGAACCTGCAAGAAAAAATGAAGCTCTATTATATCCCAAGGAACCGTGATAGATATAGCGACAGACAAGGCAGGTTCATGGGTAACGAACAAGAATATCATGAGGATATAAACATGATGGATGTACGCCAAGATGTGTCAGGGGGACAGAAAGTCGACCCATGCCTTCATGCTCCATAAAAGCGCCATGCAAAGTATGCTCCCAGTAGGGTCAATGGGATAAAGTACATCAGGCTGCAGAAGAGGTTAGTTGTGAAGCGAACGAACGTGCAAGGAAACTTACTTTGAACCCTGCTCAACGGCGTCAGAGACCGAAGCGCCAGAGCCAGGAGCCTTGGTATCGCCGATTTTCAGAGCCTGATAAACCGGGTTAGTGTATTTTGAATGGGAATTGCTGTGGACATCTTACGCCGTCCTTCTCAAAACTTCCGACGAGGAGGGGAGGGAGGAGGTCACGAGCCTCAGTCAGAGTGGCCAACATCTTCGAAAGCTTGGGTTGCATCTTTGCCTGCAGACGACACATTTTTAGCCTGGGATTAGCCACCCGATTTCACAGAACACATACCAGCTTCAGCCAAGATCACGTCGTCACCTCCCGGGTGCTATAAAATGAAGTACCATCGTCAGAGAATGATAGCTCGGTATCCATCCTGGCGGTTGCATACCTCGTCGATGAATTTAGTAACATCGTACACTGCTCAACACGTCACCACGTAGACACAATTTGACAAGTTTCCTTGTACTAACCTTCTCCATGGATAAGAACATAAAGATTGTCCTTAGTAGAGTGTGCCTTGAGCTCTTCGTACGTGACGACCTTGGCCATTGCAAGTCCTGTTGGTTGCAAATGAGAAAGACAGCGATGACAGAAATGACTATGAAGCAAACAGGAAGTAAGTGTTTCAATGGCATAAAAAGCCCACTCGACTAACGTGGGAGTCGGGAAAACCTATCTTCTCACACAAACCAGAATCTCACGATTGGCTGCCAAACGTTTTCTCTAACCCGAGTTGTCTTAGCTGCCAATTCTCCACCGATCGGGATTTTTGTTTTGAAATATCGACATTGTAACGAGTTTTTGCCAAGAAAATAACATTATGCGCATCACGGACAGATACCATGATAACGTGGACGTAATTACACGACACGTCGTGGAAAAAATGGATTACAGAAGTATTACAAGTGTAGAATGTATATCCGCATCGGTTTAGTACTCGAATGACCACAGTAGTTACTGCACAAACAGCTGGACATTCAAGCGTGGAACTGAGCACGCTCTAATAGCTAAATCTTCCACATCATCAGTATAGGGACGAAAGCACTGTGAGCCATGTCCCTAGGCATTGGCGAGTGGAGGTTGCACATGAAAGAGTATTCGATCTAAGTCTACACCAAGTCACTTCAGCGATGTCCGTATGATTTGGCGTAAACCCTGGTCGGAACCGTCTGCTAATAAAATACGAATGAGGATGTCGAGAAGTTCCGGCGTTGGCAGCGAAAGTACGTGTCGATGAAAACTGCAGTGTGGCTGAGCACTCTAAGACTCGCTATCCCTCATCACTCCAGAAAAATTTAACAGAAAATCAAATTTTTGATCTCCGATTCACTCCGCACTCGGGCCGTGCCGAGGAGTGTGGGACACCTTTCTTGACCACTCCTTCAACTTCTCCCGCAAGGCGTCGTACCATGGCTTACGACGATGAGCATGCTGACATTCTCGGCGGCCCCATTTTGCAGATACCAGATGCTGGTATCCTGGGACAATGGTCCCAGTACTCGATTCTATTCAGGGCTAGTCTCATCCTAGCACTTGGTCTATTGGTATCGCTCATCTCAGTACGCGCCTGGGACATATGGAAAAAAAACCAGGAATTGGGCTACAGAAAGTGCGTCATTCTTCTTAGATTTCTTTAGCCTTTGCTTATGACACCTATGACAATCAGAGCGATGCGTCGCAAACATGGAATCCCAGACTCGGACTGTCGTCCCTTTGCTGTAGCATATGCTGCGGCCACCCGGGCGCGCGCTGAACGCGAGGCTCAGGACAGACTACAGGCCAATAACGTCACGGAAGAGCCTCCGGTGATAAATAATCAAGTTCCGTTGGCAGACGCGCATGGATTGAGGCGAAGGGCGGCCGAATCTGGTGTGTGGAACTTTTTCGTGTTTTGTTGTCTCGATCTGATCGTTATACAGTTACGAAGCCACATGTTAATCAACTCCCTGCCACAAGGCGTACCATATCTGGTTTTGATCACAAACCCAACGGATTTGACTTTGCGTACCGATATAATCCCCGCCTTCGGGATGGCCTCCTTCCTCTCTCGCGCGAGTCCCTAACGCCTGTGAAACGTTCTTATCGTCGCGCTAGCAGAAAGGATCTTGTTTTCGACCCGAACGTGGCGGCGGAAGGCAAGAAACGAGCTTATGATCATGAGGGCAATCATGAACCTGCAATATCAAAGAAGTCTCGTGTTGATAGTGATGACCTCATTGACGATGATGAGGAACTTGAACTCCTCGAGGAAGAGGATGAGCTAGAGCCCGCTCAACGGGGATCAAAACGGACTTTTGACTCGGATGAAGAAGTCGATTATATGCGCACCGATGGTCGTGACAAGCGCCCTCGGAATATGTCGCGAGCTCAGACACCTGAAGACGAGGAAATGGAAGATGTCGAGGACGATGTTGCTGAATTGCACCCAATTCCTCGTGGGAAGAAGCGTGATCGTGCTGAGGCTGGCTCGACTTTTGGCGGTGATGATGAAGAGGGGGTACTGGATGATCAAGATGACAGGTCTCACCGTCATCGCAAGCGTCGCACGGTTCGTCCAAGAAAACCAGATGGTTCTTCTCGCGGCAGGAAGCGAGATCGTGATTCTGAATCCCCAGCAAGCGAGGGCAGTACTGGAGGTTCTCATAGGCACAGCGAACGCACCTCCAAGAAGAAGAAAGGGGCCAAGAAATCTTCTTCGGTGGCAGCCAGCGATGCTCTAGACGGCTCGCAGGATCCCCTCTGCAAAGGTAGAAAGATTGGCGAGGTGTGGGAATCAAATGGTGTTCAATACAAGGTCGGGAATGAAGGCGAACGGCTTCGTCTCACATTGGTGAAAAAGGCTCGAAGCAAGTATTCAATGGTAAGTTACGGTCCCTTTGTTAATGTGCTTGTGGAGCTAACCGAAACACAGCCCAGGGATTCTCAGCACCCAGATCGGCAGGCTAATATGGAGATTTACGTGGAAGCCTGGCTGACAGATGAACAATACAAAGACTCTGAGGAGCGGCAGGAACTTGTGTGGCAAGAGACGCCTAGAGCCTCGATTGAGCCTAGCACCCCCGGTGAAGCTCCTGTATCACCAACGAAGACGGGTAAGGACCTGCTCTGGGATTCGATGAGGAACAGCCCTGTTTCTAGTCGTGCCTCCCGCCAGTCGTCAAACAATGGCTCAGTCCGGGTAAATCCATTTAAGCAGCCTTTACCTCAGGCTACAACTGGTCGACGTGTTGCCTCTTCAAATGTTCATACTCCACCATTAATTCCTGGTGTGGCGGAGGGTCCATCTCGTCCCGGGTTCCGTGCATTCTCAAAATGGGAGAAGCAGGATCTTGAGGCTGAGGCAATGGCGAGGATGCGTGCACGGATGCTGGAGCAGAAGAAAGGAGAGATCCCACAATCAAAGGCCTTTGAGCTTCCGACCAGCGCCACGGCACCTGAGCTAGGCCCTAAAGCTCCGGCTGTGCCCATCATCACATTCACCCCGCCACCCCCTACTGCATCCACGTCTGGCAGCACTGAGACAAAGGCGACACCGTCATTATTTTCATTTGGTAATACCTCAACGAGCACGGATACCTCAAAGCCCACTGCTCCTACTGCGTCTTCCACACCAGCAAGCGTTACTCCTGCAGCCTCAGCTCCAGTTGCCAATAAACCTAGCCTATTCCCTACCTCGTCTACTCCACAGATAACCTCCGCAGTGCCGCCGTCTTCATTTGGCCCGCCTACGACACAACCTACTAGTACCACCAGTACCATAACCACCACTGTACCTACCACATCATCCGCACCCTCTATACCCGACTTCTTCGCCAAGTCAGCTGCACCATCGACTCCTGCGCCTGCAGCAACCGCAGTTCCTACATTTTCTTTTGGTCCCACGCCTGCACAGCCACTGTTCGTTGCACCCGCTTCCACATCCACCAATCCCTTTTTTGCACCAGCAGCATCAAGCACAGAAACCGGCAAACCGGCACCATTCCCTTTCGCAAAACCCAGTGTACTACCTTCCTCGATGCCAGCATCTACATCAGCACAAGCTAACCCCACATCGATATTTGGGGCCCCTTCAAGCAACGCTGCCCCAGCTTCTGCCCCATCCGCACCTGCTCCACTGAAGTTTGACTTTGGCAAGAAGCCTGCGAGCACGATTCCCAAGCCTGCTGCTGCATCTCCCCCTACCATCACTGCTACCGATGCTGCAAAACAGACTAGCCCTTTATTCGCATTCTCGGCGGCTGCTCCCCAATCCAGTCCCTTGGGGGCAAGTTCACAACAAAAGATCTCGTTCGGTCAGCCCTCGTCAGCATCAGTATTTGGTTCTGGTAGCAATGCCACTGCTACATTAAAACCTGCTGAGACCTCGGAAGCGCCCAAGCCCAAAAGAGCAGAGACTGAGACGCCCAAATTTTCGTTTAGTCCGCTCTCCGGTGGTTCAGCGTTTAGCTTTACAGGTGCTTCATCGGCACCCAAGCCAACGCCGAGCTTTGGAGCACCGTCAGGGGCATCAGCCTTTGCCATAACTCCGTCTTTGGGTGGTGATGCGAAGAAGACGGACGCGCCATTATCAATCTTTGGCGCCGCAAATGCTACCAAGGAAGATGGAAGCAAGGCTGGCGCTTCTACACCTGCAGTCTTTGGTGGTTCTAGCTTTGGTGAAAATGCAAATGGCATCTCGAGCAATATCTTTGAGAAGTCCAGTGCTCCACAGCCCAGCGGTGACGCAAGCACGTCTACATTGACTCCCAAGAGTGTATTTGGCAATGCCACATCGAGCAATGCATTCTCTACAACTCCTGCTGGATCTCTTGCTGTATCTGGCAGTGCCCAACCGGTCACTTTCACGTTTGGCAATGGGTCAGATAAGCCTACAGATAGCGTGAAGCCGTCACCATTTGCTCCACCAAGCAATCCCACTTCTTCTGCCTTTTCATTTGGGAAGAAGGAAGAGACCGCAGCGCCTTCTTCGTCCAGTATCAATACTTCTACTGCGCCTACATCATCGACGCCCGTGTTTGCGTTCGGATCTTCTGTGTTCGGTCAACCTTCGGCGGGTACTTCAAATGGGCCAACGCAACAGCAATCGGTGTTTGGGAAACCGTCAGTATCTACGCCCAGTGCGTTTGGTTTCGGCAGTGGGGCTGGAACTGGAACTGGAACTGGAAACAGCACGTTCGCTTTCGGGGGTCAACCGGGAGGCCAAAACCAACAGCAATGATGCATTCGCATGTTTTTATCTACACTCCTGCATACGTGACCTTGTACAGCACATACCTCTTTCTGTATTGCGTCTTCCTGGTACTTTATAGGCGTACATACAAGTATTGCTTACCTCATCGCATGTCATCGTTTGTTTTTTGTACCATCACGATTCAGGTGTTCGGGGCATTCAGGCATCTAGCAGCCTGATACCTCTACTTCAATACCCACTTCAACTAACACCGTATCTTCCGTAGCCACTCTAATGACCCAAGTATCGTTGGTCTTTGCACTCAGTCTCTATGCTCGTATGAGATGCAGTGAACACGGGTATACATGTCGATGAGAAGGGGCGGTCCAATGATCAGTGCAGCATTCGAAGATCACAATGACGAGGGCGACAAAAGTGTCCCATCGAGGTCCTAGCCATGCTCATGGTGAAGTTCAGCACGAGACATAATGCAAGACCTCAGCAGCAATGCATGTAGCCACTTGGAGCTTGACAGATAAGGAAGCCCGATATAAACCACCTAGCCGTTATGTCTCGCAGAAATCCCGTGGTATTGAACGAAGAGAGGAACGGAACAAACGCATCCAGGGAGGGCGGCCGGACCTAGCCTACTAGTAGGCTGGGGATCGTTGATGTTCGATGCAATCAATATGGAGTCGGTCGTATTTCAACATGAATTGGCGAAGGAAAATCAAATTGCAGTTGACTAGTGCTAGATCTAGATGCAGAGTCATGATCTGCGACGGTCAAGCGTGTGCAGTACTTGCTTCCAATACACGAGGCACTTGCCACCTGGCAAACCGATTGATTTCATGGTGGTTAAACCAATAGGCTACAGTTGGAGATTATAAAGTGGCGAAAAAATAACCAGGAAGTCTGCCAAGGCGACTCACCGTGATTATCCTATTCAACCTAGCGGTAGAACCTTTAGCGTGCACGCCACAGTGACATTCAACAAAACTAAGAGGATATGACACACCTGGCCATGTGCAACGAATAATCGCCAATCTATATGCAGATGATGCAATATTAGTCTATCTCAAGAAAGGAGATAAAATGAAGACTTACTATGAAAATGATGCATACTAACTGTCAAACTGAGTGACAGCAGACACCCATCAGAATTCAGAATCCAGTACAAAACAAGAACATCTGATGCCAACACGGGGTAAAAAAAAAACCGATCCGTAAAACACATGACCACCGCAGGGGTCGAACCTGCAATCTCCTGATCACGTAATCGTAGTCAGACGCGATGCCATTTCGCCAGGCGGCCGTTGAAACAACGCGAATGCACATGTACTATACCCTGAAGACGGGATAAGATTGCCCATAATCGTCAGTACAATAATTCAACTACCGGTCCTTCCCTATGTCCGTCTTGTTCGAAACCTCTCTAGGCGACCTCGTCATCGACCTTGAGGTGGAGCAGTGCCCAAAAACATGCGAGAACTTTTTAAAACTTTGTAAGGTCTACTACTATAATTTGAATGCATTCTTCAACGGTGCGTAATTCTCCCTTCATTGGTACCTTTGCCTTAAATAACAGTTTCCAGTATCCAAAGATTTCCTAGCTCAGGCTGGTGATCCCACTGCCACGGGAACAGGTGGAGAATCAATATGGTCCTATGTTGCCTCGCAAGGGGAGAAGGATGCAACAGCCGCCCGGTATTTTGCCCCAGAATTCGTACCAAAGTTGAAGCACACCCATAAAGGCACAGTGTCCATGGCCGTAGCACCCTCTGTGAACGACGAGAAAGGTGGTTGCGGCAGCCAATTCTTCATCACGCTTGCAGACAACATAGACTATCTCGACGGGAAGCATGCAGTTTTTGGCCACGTCGTAGAAGGGTTGGAAACGCTGGATAAGCTGAATGACGTCTTCACGGATCAAGATGGGAGACCATTCAAGGATGTGCGGATCAGACACGTCGTCATTCTTGGTGCGTTAGTCCCTAGTTGGACCCTGATGTTTTCATGTGCTAATGGACATCCGTAGATGACCCATTCCCTGACCCACCCAGCCTAGTCCAACCTCCGTCATCTCCTACTCGACCCCCAGATAATTCTACTAGAATTGCGGAAGATGAAGACCCCCTTGCCACTCTTCCGGATGAGGAAGAGGAGCGTATACGCCGCGAGAAAGCCGCAGCAGCCTCTGCCCTAACGCTTGAAATGGTTGGCGATCTGCCTTTTGCCAACGTCCGGCCTCCAGAAAACGTCCTTTTCGTGTGCAAACTCAACCCAGTCACACGAGACGAAGACTTGGAACTCATCTTTTCGAGATTCGGCACCATTATGAGTTGCCAAGTCATTAGGGACAAGAAAACGGGCGACTCATTGCAGTACGCTTTCATAGAATTTGATAAGCGAGACGACGCAGAACAGGTTCGTGGCATACAGTCTTTGCATAGTGAGACGAGACTCAAGGACTTGTCAGGCCTATTTTAAGATGCAAAATGTATTAGTAGATGATCGACGTATTTGGGTAGATTTGTACGTGCGAAACCACTTCATTGATAATTGTCTGACTCATCTACGCAGCTCGCAGTCTGTGGCACGGCTCAATACTACCTGGTCCAATAACCCCAAAGTGGGACTGCATAGCAAAGAAAGGGGCGGGTTTGGCGGTCGTGAAGACTTGGAAGAAACTCGACGATACCGGGCAGCTGGAAGAAGCGATGGCAGAAATGGTTATGGAATGGTGTTTGAAGTTCCAGATGACAAAAGAACTTCATCACGCAGGAGTAGACATGATCAAGATAGGGAAGGCCCTCGGGATCGATGCCGACGCTCCGGCTCTCCTGTGCCACGCAACAGATCTGGAGAAAGGCGCCGCAGCAGAGATAGATATTCTCGGGATCACAGGCCACGCCACTAGTAGCGGATCTGAAACTGAACACCGTGCCTGTATGTTTTTACTCATTGTGCTCTGTGTACCAAAATGATGGCCCGATGAGGCAGCCCACCAGTCTGAATTGTAATTTCCACCATTGCTGTGCCACAGGGCTAGATTATAAGACATTTGCGCAATGAGAACTGTAACTCTCTGTTTCTCCTTTGACATCTCCCTCATGACACACTCACACAATGACTTCTACGCTCCCGGCTCTGATATGCTCCTGCTGTCGAGCGACGATGTCAAATTCTGCGTCCACCGTTGCATACTAGCAGCCGCTTCTCCATTCTTTGAACACATGTTTGCATTACCACAGCCTCCTGACGATCCAACAAACGAAGAACGTCGTCCTGTAATCCCCGTGTCGGAGCCTAGCTCAACCGTGCACACGCTTCTGCGTTTCGTCTACCCCGTACCTCATCCTACCACTTCATCCCTTGACGAGCTCAGCAATATTCTCGGAGTCGCAGTCAAATACGACTTCCTCGGTGTCATCTCCTCTCTTCGCAAGCAACTTATCACCCCCGCGTATCTGAGAGATGATCCAGTGCGAGTGTTTGCAATTGCGAGCCGTTACGAATTCGAGCATGAAGCTCAGGTTGCGTCACAACACACGCTCTCGGTCAACATCCTTGACTGTCCATTGTCGGATGACTTCCGGTTCATCACAGCACACTCTTACCATCGCCTCCTCGTCTTGCACAAGAAACGTTCAAAGGAAGCCCAAGCGCTCCTGAAGATTCCAGAAGACGTGAAGTGCTTGCAGTGCTCAGGGCCATATTATGGGGCGTTTGTACCGCCAAAGTGGTGGAAGGAGTTTGAAAGAATGGCAAAAGTAGACTTGGAAATACGGCCAACCACAGATGTTATCTTCAGCATGCCATTCTTTGCACGGGCTGCCGAGGCATCAGGATGTGCGCGATGCGCGAGTAGCATCCTAGACTCACATGAATTCTTGTCAGATCTCAAGCGACAGATCGACGAGCTTCCTGCTACTATATGATCATTCCTCTTCACGACCATCATGACTATCACGATTCACAACGTTATCATTGTCATATAACCTAGGACTTCTCGGGGACGTTCTTTACATGCGCCATTCTACGTTAATATTCCGAGTACTTTACTGCGCATCACCTATTGTCATTGTATTATGAAACGAGATACTCTTTAGATCTAACCATGATTGTATGCATAGTTATACTGATAGGCTACTCACGTAGTGACCAAAATTGCGGTCATTACGGATATGATATGAAGTTGATCAAGTGCCTGACTGACGTGTCGACATGTCAAGTTCAAGCACTGCTTAAGCGAGTATGTAAGGAGGCTTGGCCAGGAGCGCACTAGTAGCACGGCACCTGGGGAAATTGCCGTAATCATCTTGTTCGCAGCTACTGGAGTCCACTAGGGGGAGGACCGTAGGAGGAGTCCTCGAAGGAACGTATGGATATCAGGGATCAAGTAGAAATACGAGTGAGACATTATTCAGAGATACCCGAGGGGATAAGTAACTAGGGTCCGCTGACAGGTAGCGTGACTCGGACACATCTGCTTGGCCTAAAATTAAAGTCCTGTGGCGACTCTTCCAGATCTACCTATCTCAACGACTTTGTCTCCAAAATGTCTACACCACAGCTCGCTACATTCAAGGTACCTGCAATCGAAAATGAACCTATGGTGAGTCCATGGAACTCCACGAGTCACTCCTTCTTATACTGGATCATGTCGGCAGCGAACCTATGCTGCAGGGACAGTAGAGCGCAAGGGTCTCGAAGCTGCACTTGCTCAGATGCAACAGGAACTTCCATTCGAGGTTCCCTGTATCGTCAATGGCTTACCGGTCTGTACAGCGTGTCACTGGCCAATTCGTAGATGACTTAGATTTCCTCGGATCTTAGATCAAAACCGGTAAACTTGCCAAGCAGCCCATACCCTCAGATCACGCCCGTCATCTCTGCGTATACCACGAGGCAGATGAAGCGACTGTAGCCAGCGCGATCGATGGTGCTCTTGCCGCCAAAGCTGAGTGGGAGGCCATGCCTTGGAACGATCGCGCCGCCATCTTCCTGCGTGCTGCAGAGCTTGTTAGCGGCAAGTACCGTTACAAATTGGTAGCAGCTACTATGCTTGGTCAAGGCAAGAACGCGTGGCAGGCCGAGATCGATGCTGCCGCAGAGGTGTGTAAGATGGAAGTATCTTGATGGCAGGTGATTGATGGAATTTTCGCAGCTTTCCGACTTCTTCCGCTTCGGCGTCAAATATGTTGAGGAACTCTACGCACAACAGCCTCCTAAGAACGCAGCAGGATCATGGAAGTAAGTGCGGTGCCCCTTCTATCAGGCTACTTCTGATGATTGAATAGCCGCGTCGAGTATCGTGCGCTGGAAGGATTCGTTCTCGCAGTTTCGCCATTCAACTTCACGGCGATTGGTGGTAACCTTCCGGGTGGTACGAGCGACTATTCTTATCGTGATTATTACGTTCTGAACGAGTCATCTTAGTTCCCGCAATCGTCGGTAACACAGTCGTTTGGAAACCTTCGCCAGCGGCCACGTATTCCAACTACTTGATCTACCAGATCCTCGCTGAGGCTGGTGTTCCAGCCGGTGTTATCCAGTTCGTTCCCGGGCCACCTCCAGAAGTCGTCGCACAGGCGATATCGCACCCCAACTTCGCAGCGCTCCACTTCACAGGCAGCACGTTCATATTCAAGAAGCTATGGAAAGACATCGCCGCAAACCTGGACAAGTACAAAGGGTATCCGAGAATCGTCGGTGAGACAGGAGGAAAGAACTTCCATGTGATCCACAAGTCGGCAGAGATCCGAAATGCAGTTTTGCAGACCATTCGAGGCGGGTTCGAGTATCAAGGTGCGCATACTGTGTGTATGAGTGGCGCGTAAGATTGACAGGCGTGTGGGCAGGTCAAAAATGCTCTGCGTTGTCACGGCTATATGTTTCCTCTTCGCTTTGGTCATCTGGATTCAAAGATCTGCTCCTGTCTGAGGTTGCCAAGATCAAAATCGGGTCGCCATCAGACTTCGGCAACTTTATGGGACCCGTGATGTGCGTTCCATTTTTATGCATCTGGCTCCGCATTGATCATTGAATAATGTCGCAGAGGTCGTCCGGCTTATGACAAAATAATTGGATTCATCCAGAAAGCCAAGGATGCGGGAGGGGAGGTTCTTATCGGAGGCACTGGTAAGGCGGATACTACGACTCACCTGCAACCTTTTCACATGATCCTACAGGCGATGACTCCAAGGGCTACTTCATACAGCCCACCGTCATTCTAACCAAAGATCCCGAATCAGTCACGATGAAAGAAGAAATCTTTGGTCCTGTCATCACTGTAATGGTTTTTCGTTCGCAAATGCGGCCAGATGTACTAACAACTTTCCAGGTTTATGTGTACGACGACGCGAAGTATGAGCAGACTCTGGAACTCATCGACAACACCTCGCCTTATGCGCTGACCGGCTCCATGTAAGTCGCAAGGTCTCAGCGATATGCGTCGACTGACAACTTCTTTTCCAGCTTTTCCGCAGACCGCAAGGCCCTTCTGACTGCCACAAACAAGCTACGGAACGCTGCCGGTAACGTCTATTACAACGAGAAATGCACCGGGGCGGTCGTTGGTCAGCAACCCTTTGGAGGAGGACGAGCGAGCGGGACCAACGACAAAGCTGGGAGTATCAGCATCTTCTACCGGTTCGTTTCGGCGAGAAGCATAAAGGAGAACTTCGTGGGCCTGGAGGACTTCCAATATCCGTCGAACTTGATTTAAGATAATGAGAGTCATGAAAACAACGGTAGTCATCGACATTGTATCAATCAAAGAATCATGTTGTTACTTCTATTCGACGAGAAACGTGTATGGAGGGCGAATTTGAAAGTATTCTGAAGAGCACTTGAGCAGCAAACCTCACCGCCCCATGTTACTCTACGGTAATTGTGGCGCACACTAGATTTTAGAACGTTGCGCTATGCTGTTGCTGAAGCATCCACTCTGCGACCATGACGATAGCGAACACCTTCAAATTCAAGCTCGATAGCAGATATAGGATCGACATGGGACAAAACCGTACATTCGGTATGATTACAACTGGATCATTTGCAAGTAGCGCTGGAAATATTGATTTAGCAACCACGAGGGACAGTCAAGGCTAAGAACTCACCCATCTCGGCAATTCGACCAGTCTTGCCCATGAACCATGCGGCTCAAATCAATCTCTAGCCCACCGGGTATCGTTAATGCAGTGGGAGGAGAATAAAATGGTTGTTCTCGGGAAGCGGGCGGTACCCAGAAAAGCAGCCGACCATAGGCTCCTTCACCTGTCCATGGCAGGGTGATACTTAACCGTGTCTAACTATACACAGTACATTTTGTAAGTTTGTCTCGGAGCCACCAACATGAAGCTTCACGAAGCTTAACAGGCACGATGCCTCACTGGTTCTAAAGATCGGGATCTCTCTTGTGATCTCGATGCTACTGGAAATGTTTTTCTCAGGCTTCCAAGAATAGCACTACCACCGGAAAAATCACCAAATTAGGATATTCCAATAATCTCACTATTCCCACATACCTCCCTAGCTCTACTGCTGCACCAGAGCTTTCCCCTTGCTCACTCATGTATATAAGTAGTAAAATGACATGTACATACATAAAATGATACAATATACCGCTTTTTTCATTGTCTGAGAGCTTGTACAGCAGTCTACAGTGCTGACTACAATATGTGCATCCCAGGACTAAAACATATTCGCATTTTTGCCCCTTTAGCAGGGAAGAAATTCTGGCTGTATATATCATATATTAGAGTGTTAATGAATATATTACACCGCTTGTTTGAGCCTCTGTAGTGTCCTACATCAGTAGATATGTTAAATTCATGAATACCTCTCAAAAAACATAAACCAGTTCGCATTTTTTAGTGTTTAGGTATATAGACTGGTGAATATTATTTATAACATCTCTTTACTAGTATATACATTATATCAAGAGTATAGGCCAGTAGGATCAGTCCCTAGAGTGATATGTATTGTCATCTTCCTGGTGGTTCACTCCCTGAGAAACTTTTCCTGCAGCTCCGGCCCTCTAGGATGGTAGGTAGTCTGTTACTATGAACATATGGAATATATTTATCACATAGGTATACCAGAACAATACCAGGATCCTTGTCTACAATCCAAAGTCACTTCCTGCCTACAATGTACCATATTTTCGCATTTTTGAGGTTTTTCACTACATTCTCACTACATAGACTATACCAGCTGTTCATATATCACTTATAGTACATATATGAAGCCCTCCCAAGGCCAGGATCAGGTAGAAATATGTCATAGTAATGATATCAAGCACATATCTCCTATTCTCATTGATAAGAATTCCCAGACATGAATATAGTAAAATATTATAATCAGACTGTCTTGGAGTACACTATATATACCAAATAATACAGTCCTCGAATACCAGAAGGATCCATGAACAATTGACAGCAGGGGAATCCAATAGATAAGAAATAGGTCGTGGAAAAGTCAAAAAGTCCAAACATCGAAAAAGTACTATGCACCAACAGTCTATGCAAGGGTGGTCTGACCATAATAATGCAACAAATTGAGACCACAACACTTCCACATCACCTTTACCTTCACAACATATATTAGTATAGTATATATAAGTAGTTTACAATGTATTCTATACATTTTTAATGAAATCTTCGCCCTAGACAGGGTTGAAATATAACATTTGCATGATTGTGGGGTTTGCCCCTATATCATTGATATCATTACTCTGACATATTTCTACCTGATCCTGGCCTTGGGAGGGCTTCATATATGTACTATAAGTGATATATGAACAGCTGGTATAGTCTATGTAGTGAGAATGTAGTGAAAAACCTCAAAAATGCGAAAATATGGTACATTGTAGGCAGGAAGTGACTTTGGATTGTAGACAAGGATCCTGGTATTGTTCTGGTATACCTATGTGATAAATATATTCCATATGTTCATAGTAACAGACTACCTACCATCCTAGAGGGCCGGAGCTGCAGGAAAAGTTTCTCAGGGAGTGAACCACCAGGAAGATGACAATACATATCACTCTAGGGACTGATCCTACTGGCCTATACTCTTGATATAATGTATATACTAGTAAAGAGATGTTATAAATAATATTCACCAGTCTATATACCTAAACACTAAAAAATGCGAACTGGTTTATGTTTTTTGAGAGGTATTCATGAATTTAACATATCTACTGATGTAGGACACTACAGAGGCTCAAACAAGCGGTGTAATATATTCATTAACACTCTAATATATGATATATACAGCCAGAATTTCTTCCCTGCTAAAGGGGCAAAAATGCGAATATGTTTTAGTCCTGGGATGCACATATTGTAGTCAGCACTGTAGACTGCTGTACAAGCTCTCAGACAATGAAAAAAGCGGTATATTGTATCATTTTATGTATGTACATGTCATTTTACTACTTATATACATGAGTGAGCAAGGGGAAAGCTCTGGTGCAGCAGTAGAGCTAGGGAGGTATGTGGGAATAGTGAGATTATTGGAATATCCTAATTTGGTGATTTTTCCGGTGGTAGTGCTATTCTTGGAAGCCTGAGAATCACCAAAGGAATCAGAAGCCGTTAAGCTTAATTGTAGGGGATTGATAGTTTACAAACAAACTTACAAAACCATACCGTTTCTAGTCAGTGAGTATTATGCTTAATTTTAACAGTATAGCCTGGCTCCTTTCATCCATCCATCTCTTGGCATGACAGGGGTTGAACTAAGAGGAGAGAGGCCTTCAAGTAACTCAGCAGGGTTTTGCAGTACATGTTTCAACCTTGATGCGAAGCAAATGGTGGGATTGTTGCGAGTATGGATTGACATGCTAGTCTCCTGTTTGCAAGGTATGGTGGAACATCTATCCAAAGAGAATGTAGAGGAATCGATCTCAGGATGCTCCTGGAATTGCTGCTCTGTGACTGCATCCCACAGCTGGACAGTGAAATCCCAAGAACCAGACACGATGCGAGTGCCATCGGGCGAGAACGAGACTGACTCAACCCAAAAAGTGTGCCCTCGGAAGGGCTCACCCAATGGCAGCCCCGTTGCTGCATCCCACAGCCAGACAGTGGAATCTTGTGAACCAGACACGATGCAAGTGCCATCGGGCGAGAATGAGATTGATGAAACCTCAGTAGTGTGCCCTCGGAAGGGCTTACCCAATGGCAGCCCCGTTGCTACATCCCACAGCCTGACAGTGGAATCCCTTGAACCAGACACAATGCGAGTGCCATCGGGTGAGAACGAGACTGAGTTTACCGAAGAAGTGTGCCCTCGGAAGGGCTCACCCAATGGCAGCCCCGTTGTTGCATCCCACAGCTGGACAGTGGAATCCGAAGAACCAGACACGATGCAAGTGCCATCGGGCGAGAACGAGACTGACGAAACCGATTCAGCGTGCCCTCGGAAGGGCTCACCCAATGGCAGCCCTGTTGTTGCATCCCACAGCTGGACAGTGGAATCCCAAGAACTAGACACGATGCGAGTGCCATCGGGCGAGAACAAGACTGACAAAATCCATCCAGTGTGCCCTCGGAAGGGCTCACTCAATGGCAGCCCCGTTGCTGCATCCCACAGCTGGACCACATACTGCAGTCACTTTACCCTCGTATAATATGTACAGCCGAGGTTGAAATATCCCTGTTCTACACAGGCCATCCCATGTGGGCCCATCAATGTATTGCCATGTTAAATACAGGTGGGCCGATGTCAAGTGTTTATCTAATACAAACAGTGGGCCCATGGTATGTAGTATAGTAGATAAGTGTAGACTTTTCTATTGACTTTTGGTAGGTAGTGTATGAAGTATGTGTCTGATATGAACAAGCGGGCTGAGTGGGCGGTGGTGCTGATATATACAGATGGGCCGAGATTCTAAGTATACAGAAGGATCATGGACACAGGTCGGTCAATTGGTCCGTGTTTACATACCAGCTTCCACAATACACCTGCCAGGACCACCTCGGTCAAATATTACTAATGGATTGATCGGTCAATAAGTTGTTCATAGACCATCGGTCATCATATACTTGCCATGACAACCAGTCAGAATATGCTAGGTCAAACATAATGTATAATGATATGCCAGGAACTGGAGTAAACAGCCGCCTTGCAGCGTAACAAGGGCCACCAAGTGTACTTAATTGGTCGAAAAAACAATTGGCCGAGACATATGCACTGGTTTTGCTGATATGATATGCAAATCATATGGAACATGGGATCGGTCACATGCAGAATCAATAGGTCAAACCAACTCAATAAAACGACCAAGATGAATTCTGCCGACAGGCCGGTCAGTCACAAGTATGACCGAGTTACATCTGAACAAACCAAAGTATACTGTGCCGCGCCAACTGCAAACCCGATCAAGATCAAACAGTGCCAACATTTCAATGTCACCGGAGTCAATTTACAATCAAATCAATGCCAAAACAATGAGTACAGAACCAAGTGATTTACAGGAATGATGAGCCGACCGACATATGATCTATGGAACAACTATATAATCCACCGGCACACTTATTCGGATGTGAAAGTGTCACCCTGCGTGTCGGGATGACCAGGAGGGTGGGAGGCTGAGGTTTGACCGACTCCAGCAGAAAGAGAGGTGGGAGCAGCCGAAGGGCCGAACACGCTGTTCATGTACCTCATACCAAATGTGGTGGCGGAGGACTCGTTGCCATGGCTGAGCATTGGTGGCGGGAATGATGGATTGGCAATGACCCGCTCCTGCCGAAGTTTCTCAACCAGGCAGACAAGTCCATTCACCAATGTCACGGTAGCACCGACATCAAGCTGCACGGAGGACAGCTCGGCACGCATCAAGGAAATGTGGGTGTCGAACTCCTGTTCCATCGCATTTACCCTGGCGAGGGCATTATTGTCAGCCATTTGCATGTCAGTCACCTGAGTGGTCAAGGTGAGCACACATTCGAGGATGATGGGTGTTGAAGGAAGGGAAAGGGGATCGGCCGGAGGAGTTAGTGGGGGAATCGGAATGGGCATGTCATCAGTGGCCTCCAGCCAATGGTCGGCAGGGAAGTCGGCTGCAGAAGCTATGGCTCTGGGCTGGTCAACCATGATTTGATCAGCGGGCTCATCCGACATATCGGCAGCAATGTCGGTGTCCCGCTCGGTGTCAGTATCATGGTCCATCTCGACATCATCTTGACTGGTAGCAGACACTTCTAAAGACCAGGGTTAAAGCATGTTATTGCAAAGCACAAAATCACTTACCGGTATCCGCAGTATCCTCAGATTCCACGATAGGAGTTGGTGGATGTGCACGAGAGGTCACTCTAGTGGTCCGGGATTTAGCCTTCAACTTGGACACCAGTGTGGCCTTTGACCGAGGGTGTGACTTTGGTGCCTGCGTGGTTGAGGGACGCCAGGTATCGACCGACACCGGTCAGTTGCACCGCACCTTCATGAAGTGGCACTTGGCGCAGGACTTGATGGCTTGGCCCTTCCTGCCGACCACAACAAAACAAGGCTCCCCTATACATCTCTTGCAAGGTGGAGCGTACTAAAAATAGTTAGTACTCTGCAACTGGCATGGACTTTCCCAACTCACCTCCTCAGCATCGGCCTTCAGTAGCCCATGACCTCTCACAGGCTCGGCGATATTCACAGCCTTCTCCTTGCCTTTGCCCTTTGGCTGGACTTGGCCGATGTTGGCTTCAGCTTCTGGCTGAAGATTGGTGAGGTGGGAGGACAGAGAGGACACGGTAAATCTCACCTGCTTGACATTTTTAGTCATTCCCTGCAAAGGAGTCAGCAATAAGATCAGCACTGAGATTATCACCATGCTTACCTTTGATTTTGGCGCTGCTGCACCTGAAGATTCGATGATCTTGGGCCGCTAAGGTGATGTAAGCAGTCAGTTGGAAATGATGAGAGGAAGACATACCTGTTTCACTACAATGGTCCCTGTTGGCTGCCTGTCCTCATCCTCGGTGTCGGAGATGATGGCCTTCGACAAACACTTCAACACCTTTTGTTTCTTTCTGCCTGGCTCGGCATTTGGGCTGTCGTCACGGGATCTACGAGTGCCGCGGTCAGACCATTTGCCCTTGTCGGTCATGGTGCCAGTCACGGTCAGATTGTGAGCACGACCGGCACAAGGGAGTGCATTGATCGGCGAAACTGACATCCATTTGGGAGCTGGGGGTAGGACTGGGGAGAGTGCTGGTGCCGGTGCTGGTTCTGGTGCTGGTGCTGGTGCCGGTGCTGGTGCTGGTGCTGGTTGTACTATAAGAATATTAAGTTACCAATGTGAATCCAAACAGGGCCGACTCACCATATCCAACAGTCTTTGGGAAGAAGGGATGGGACTCCATACGCGGATCATCAACCCGAACACGATTCCATTGAGGAACGAGACCTTAATTGATGGTCGCACGGACCTCGGCGGCTGCAGAAAGAAGAAATGGCGAGATGACCGAGGACAACCTGCCGTGCTGTTGGAGGGCTCAAGACTGTTCATGGTGAGCAGGTACATAATAACTATAGTAAAGCAAAACACACACCACCTGCCTCGCAATCTCATGAGCCTGATCAACGACTGTCCGGCCATCTGCTTCCCCACGTCCGATTAGGCTGACCAAATCGCGCACCGATATATCGGCGAGCGCCAAAGCATGGTCGGATTCTTGTTGTGATGGCATGGTAGAGAATTGAAATATAAGGGCGACGATGGCACAGGTACCGATGCAACAAAAGGAGAAAAGGATGTGATGAGTATCGACCTACAAACGACTCTGTGTGGATGTTGAAGGAACTTGACAGAAGTTGATGCCACGCAAACCGCCACATTGTAATACCGCCGGGATCGGCCGAGACACGGAAATGGCTGAAGTGTGGTAGCGGGCGTCAGACTTCTGCATTGTTTATTCACCTTACAGTTCAAGCCCTCCAAAGTTGTCAATGTATTCCCACGAGAATGCCACTGACAAAGCTCACAGGATACAGGACGAGTGTATCAAAGCCGACTGGAACTTTTTCGTCACTTGGGAACAGTGGGTGCCACCGAAGTTGTGTCCGATTCCAGCCACTCAAAACGTGTGGATCCCTGTGGGTAACCACAACATTCACATTCGACCTAACATTACAACTACATCTGGCCTGCCTCAAGTCATGAAATCCAACGTCTCAAGTATGCCATCCAGCCAGCCACATCCTGAAGGACTTCCCAAGAAACATTTTGGCAGTGAAGGTGTGTTTCCTGCTCTATTGACCATTTCTAATGGTTAAAAATATAAGTATTTGACATGTGCTGGAATACTGAGGCTGATCTAGTGTGGACGGTGAACACAACCACTGCAACATCATTGGCCGAACCACAATATGAAGGCCAAGGTACTTCCAGTGCTTTGAGGATGTTGCAGGCATCTGACTGAATAATCAGTGTTTGACGTGTGTTGGGACACCGAGGTCGATCATTGTTGCGGACGCAGCCACACCGCCAGCAGCAGGTTCATATGACCTTTGTTGGGATAGCCAAGGAAGTCCACGGAAGATTAATTTGGCGCCAATCCAAGAGCTGGCAGCTACGAAGACTCACACCTTGGATGTCACCATGCCCCTGGTGGCCGATCAATATGATATGTGTTGGAATAATAGTCTGTCTGCGTCGGTGGATGGATACAGGGGCAAGTGTCGGTCATTACCACCAACCATCACTAACCATCATTCAGGCGATTTCGACATGTGCTGGGAAGATTCAACATCTGGCGGAGATGGTCACGTTGACAGTGGGTTAGTCGCTGCACCAACCATCAACATGGTCAACTTAGGTTCGTCCGAATTTTGGATGAAATCACTCGTACTGACAATGACGTTTAGCGGGCGACACACCGGTATTATATGATCTGTGTTTTGACGCATCCTTGCCGGCCACATCTCCAGGACCGAGGGATGACTTGCCAAATCAGACGGTCGAAGCCGGCGAGGAATTGCTGCGCCGAGCAAATGTGAAGCTTGACAGCATTGACGCTGTTATCGGTAGGTTCATATTTCTTCTGGTCACGAATGTCATCACAATGACCACCTCCCTACAGCAGATGACCCCGGAGCACAATCCATGGATATCTTGGATGCCAACCAGGATTTAATTTCAGATTATCGGTATGCTCGCGATGAATTCCTCGCGGCCAGCAATGACATTGCCAAAATCAAACATCTGATGAACATGCACCGGCAAATTGATGATCCACTGCATATATTACTACTAGCGATGAGGAAAATGGGCCAGGGAGATTCCCCAATCCAGTAGTGTAGAAGACCGAGCAGGAATGACAATGTATATACCAAGTGCACCCAAAACCGAGCACCTGGACCGACGATGTTCCACACATACAATGTATATACTTAAATCATTGATTACTGAGCAGAATGGAACAACCTCTATGACACAAGATGCTGCTGACAACTACACGTAGTCAGCATATCTCTTAGGCTTTTGCCGAATTTGGGTGCCAAGCGCATTGTCGACCTTGCTCCTGGTACTCTTTGCCGGTGCATCGGGAATTGAGCAAGCCGCCGATTTGGTGACCTTGGTCTTCTTGGCCGACTGGTCATTTATCGCCGGTGACCGCTCTCTGGGAGCCGTTGTCTTCCTCGGCAATCGGTTATTTACCGCCGGTAATACATCTCGGGCAGCCCTGGTCTTTTTCAGTGTCTGGTCCGGCACCACGGGGGATGTCCGAATATGTTCAAGACCTTGACGAGTTGAATGTGGGCCGAAGCCACGAACTTGCTGGGCGGTATGATGTGAGCAGGCTGGCTCATACCTGGCCTTCGTGCCAATATGGCTACAACTTTCATCTTCTGATCCCTCGGTCACCTGTGCAACGGGCATGCAGGTTTTGCCTGCTGCATAGGCCCCTCTATCATGAGAGACCTGTCTGACCAAATCTATAATCGGTCGGTCTTCATATGCCGAGTCTGTTCGGGGTGAGATGATGGCAGGCCAAGTTCTGACTCTCTTGCCAATGCTCTTGGGTGCCGGTTGGTCATCTGACTCCGATGGGTGTCCCACCAGGTCACCTCGTGTTGCATTTGCACCTTTCCTTACACGGTAGGGTGCATGTTTGTTTACCTTCGGCAGAGGCACATCTGCATCAGTCTTGTCAGATTCTTCATCGGCGGAACTGACATGAGCTCGTTTGATGAACCTAGGCCGCACTTTGGGAACTCCGGCCGGTGATGGTGCAGCGGCGGCCAATGACTTTTTGGTTGGCATGGGCCACATGCCCTCATCATCAGCATCACCGTTAGAGTCATCAGACTCTTTGCTGACAGGAGCCCTCATCTTGCCCTTGTTGTCGATCCAGGCCTTGAACTTCAATGTGAGCCCTACCTGGTTGTGTTACGCACTCAAATAGATCTGTTAGGCGGAGCCCTAAGAGGGGCGTCGTCCGCTAATGTTCATGACGTAACCGGAAGGATCCGGTATAGCAAGTGAGACTGGCGACGACGAGTCGGCAGTGATCACAGTACGCGCGTGTCACGTGACTTCTAAGACGGATGTCTTTGAAGTCGCTCAAGGTAAGGACAGTCTTGTCCGAACGATGAGGTCGATCGAGGTAGACTTAGTCGCGATGAGCGACTAAGAAAAGATACTAGAGACTGAAGCCAAAGGGGCGTTCAGAGGGAAGTATGTTCCAGGGAAGATTGAGTAGATTCAAGTTAGAGAATCTAGTACAGGGTGACCGACTACTTATACTAAGTGGAGAGGGTTAAGGGCAAGGCTACCGCACAGTAGGTAAGGGTAAAGGGGAGACGAGAATGGTATAGGTGCGTTGGCAACAGAGCTGGATTAGTGATGGGTGGTCGAATGTGGAATGAGACCGAGAAACGTTGGAACAGACCAACGGTAAGAATACAACGTGCGGGAATCTGCAGTCAGAAGGAACAGAAAGAGGAAAGCCACATTGGTGGCACGAGTCAGACCGAGTCACAGGTGTGGGACCACATTGGTGGTCGAATCAGGGGAGGAACGTGTGTGCATGTGCATAGAGGCAGGCGATGCGAGGGACGGGAATGGTCCCGAGGATCCGGTCAACGGAAAGTCGGTAAAGGAGGACGAGCCGGTATATGGTGAGGGCGAGGATGAAGGGAAAATGATAGGGGGGCCACGTGACCGATGTTACTTGTAACAGGTTGTCTTGTTGGTCTAACCAACATTCCAACAAGGCGTTGGCTTCATTCCGTTGCAATTTCAAAGGGTCCATAATCTTTGCGTCCTCAGGCAAGTATATGCTGGAGATAAATCTGGACTGTCCCTTCATTATGTCACTCCAAGGCACTGGGACCTTCGGCTTTCCACAGCATATTCCTGTGGCGGTGGGCATCAGATGATGCTGCAGGTTTTCTATCAACAGGCTTACAGTAATGAATGGTGAGAAATGACCGAATCATTCCCTTCTTGGCGTCAAGAGACACGCCCTCAATATCGGGCAACATCGGCAAACCCATGCGGTCCAGGTCGAACTCATGGTAAGGCTTGGGAACCCGGCGAGTGCCTCCGAGCAGCGTGCCGTCCTGGTCTTGATCCTGGTCTTAATGGACGTGACAAATTAAATGAAGCACCTCTGAGATGGTCTTGAGACTCACTGAATGCATCACCTATGAAATCTTCCCATGCCGGTAAGATGACCTGCCAGTCCTTGCATTTCATGAAGCTGGAGCCTATCCCAAGGTGTTCATTGAAGTCAAATCTGCCAAACCATGTAAGCAAAATGACTGACCGACCGACTGTATCAACTTGCCTGGATGTAAGTAGGCTGCCCTTCTCATCCTTCCAGGAACCCAATACAAAGAGTCTCATACCGGCCTGAGTAAACATCTCCTTTGCGAAGTGCTTGATCATCTTTTCACCCTTCTTCCTAGCCGTCTTGGCCTGGACTGCAGGGTCAGGTGCTTGATTTGTCCACTCGTCAGCCTTCGCCTGGGCTTCCTCCAACTCATTGTCACCCAGCCCTTTCATGATTGCCGTCATAGTGGGTTGATACCTCCTGAAGATTTCTTTCTGCTCAGGCTTCTGCCCAGTCTCCTCCTCGATTTCTTCATGTATTTGCTGAAGAATGTCGGCCTTGCGCTGCTCTTCAATTACTTGGCGTGCTGTCCATTTTTTTTGCAGCTTCGTTGGCGCTTTGGCATTGGCCTTGTGTTTCTTGTGGTTGTGGAACCACTGCCTGTATTTCTGTTTATGATGACTGTAAAGCAGCATGACCCTACATCAAAGCTGAAACACTTACCTCTTTTCGTTGCTTCAAGAGCTCTTGGTCCATCTTTGGAGCCAAGAGTCTGGCTTCTCTGGCAGCCGCTTTGAAGATTTGTCGTCTCTCGGTCCCACTCGCCTTCCCCCAGTCCTCAACATGGGACTGCAGAGCGGTGTTCTCTCGGTCGTTCAACCAAGGCTGATCCCCAGCATTTATCTTCGTCCGAGTCATGTCACAGTAGGTAGCTTGGAGTAAAGGACCTGGAAATGTAAGTGTAGGAGAGCATTGATGTGGTTGATGGAACGAAAAATGGAAGGAAGCTCATGTGAGTAATGCTTCACATAAGTGACACACCCATGTCATAAGTGAACGTAAGGGCTAGATTGTGCCGAATAGTGTGAGCCCTATCACTACAAGACTTATTGAGTGGTGTAGATGCATAGGTGGGTGGGTGGCATGAAATTGGAGGATCTGAAGTGCTCTTGACATATGATATAGACAAATCACTATCAGCTATTGGAATTGCACTGTGAATATCCATGCCAATGATTTCCGAGAGATCGAAGTGACTATTACATACTAGGCATTGCATTTGGCAGTTGCATGTAAGCACCAAAATGTCTCAAAGTCTAAGCATCTCACTCCAAACAAGACATCCTGACACTCGCAGCACTACTTCGGTCCATGGTCAAGTCAAAGCCAAAGGCCTGGAGTCCTCCAAAGACATCCTCTTTGGTTCAATGGGAGAACAAAAGAACATCTAGAGGAGATACAGGACGATTTGTCAGAGCTTGACGTTACAACAAAACAACATTGGTTCATTCATCCCCCAGAAAATCGCCTACCAAGCAGCCATCCACCAAAGGACTTCATGTGGAGGGCGACTATGAACACTATGACCTGGGCAAATGCAACTTCGAGCCTTTTCGTGTTCGCAAGTCCATGGCAAGTTGACCGTCCACTTGCCTTGTCCCATGTACTGACACCAAATATCAGAGTCAAAATGACTATTTGCACGAGTGGCAGCGCAAGACCGAGGACTACTTGGACTTGCTACTTCGGCAAGAGGGTCCACCTCCAAACAGGATGTGCTCAGTCTGTCCAAAGGACAGGAGTCTACAGATGTCATGGTTGCATGGGTGAACCTCTCTTCTGTACTCATTGCTGTAGGACAGTTCACAGCCTCATGCCTTTTCATCGGATCAGTCAATGGACCGGGGGATTCTTCGAGGGCACTTCCTTGACAAAGATAGGGTTGGAAGTCCACCTTGGCCACTGCGGGCGAGCCTTGTCCCAGGACTGACCGACGAGTGGTGCGATACAGATGATGAGGGAGACCAATTGACTGAAGGCCCATGGATACCCTTGGTTAATGATCCTCGGACGACCACGGTGGTAGATACTTCCGGGCTCCACTCCATGATCATCAGATTCTGTCAGTGCGCTGGTGCACTGAGCCCTGACATGCAACTATTCGAGACCTGGCCTCTTCCCTGCAGTCTTTCACTTCGCCGAAGACAGCATTCACATTTGCAGTGTTGGACGACTTCCTGCTGGACAACCTGGAATGCGGGACATCGGCAATGAACTACTACAGTAAATTAAGGCGAATCACCTCAAGCGTGTTTCCTCATCTGGTTCCAGTGAGTGATGTGGATTTTGAACATTGCATTGCTCACAATGGCCGAAAGGACCGGTACAGAGAATTGATGAGGGTCAGGCAGGCAGTGGAGACAAGTGAAGCAGCTCAAGTGGCATGGGTTTGGCCATGAGAAGCGACAGCCGAAGGCAGGGGAGCTTGCACTCTTCTGTCCTGCATGTCCTCAGCCCGGTGTAAATCTCAATTTGTCAGACAGAAATGAGTCCGACCCTGCATGGCTGTATTCCAGATCGTTAGTCATGGATGGCAATTTCAAGGCAGAGCATTTGTATCCCACCAATCCAAGCGATGAGGTGGCATTGACCGATGGCTTGGGCTTCATGGTCGGTGATGCCCGATACAAAATGCATCTATCCCAGGCGCAGGACATTGTGCAAAGGTCAGACTGTAACAACCACCGAGCGGTCAACCAGGCAAATGCCTCGGCACCACAAGCTGGAAGCAACAGGGATAGGCGGATGTGCTTGTGCGAGGCACGGGTGTTTTGTTCCTCATTCAATGGTAGACTTTCAGAAGGGGGAAAGGTTAGCCTTTCAAATTGCTACATTGGCCAGGTTCAACTGATGAGTCGGCCAGGCCAAAGGCAGATGAACATGGATTATGCCCTGTGTCAAGCTCTGGGGTACAATACCGATGGGATCAATCGGGCATTCACATTCTATGACATTAATTGTCAATACAACAAGCATCTCAGCAAGCGGATTGAAGAGTCGCCTTATCTTGACCTTCCATGGGGCATGGTACATTATTCCTGGAATTGGGCTGTGGCATGTCCACGGCCATCAAGATAAATGCTATGTGAGGTATGCGTCCAACTTCATAACCAGTGCCGCCAGGATCGACGGAGAAATAATAGAGACCCTGTGGGCACCCTTGAACATCATATCACCATCGGCAAGAGGGATGTCCTCCCCCCACCGAAAGGAGTGTTTAGACTTTCAAATGAATGACTGTAATTTTATGAAGATGATACACATCAGTGAGTAATATTATTATACCAAGTTGACAAATCCAAATGCATCTAGGCAAATTCCTTGGCAGAAAATTCAAGGAGGCTGTGCAGGGTGTCCGAGACAGCCAGTATGCATTTGACTGGTTAAGCGAGACCGCCAAGGGTGATACCCTTCACACATGGGAAGCAGAGGCCACTGCCACTCAGGATGACCGACTTCATAATCCAAGTTCCATGGACATATATGAGGTTCAATTGACAAAATGTATGTTGATTGGAACATCAGTATTTAATATGCTGATATACTTTGGCAAAGCGCCAACAAGAAAACAGCAAGAGTTACACCTGCTGAACCATCAGGCTCAATGGCCGGCCGGTGAGATTCATCATGGTGCTGCTACTTGGCTAGCCTCTGGAATTACGCTGGAAGAGGCTCAAGTAGCCCTCCTGATCGACGTAAGAAAGCTAGGCAAACAGCCAACCGACACCCAGAAGCTGGCTGTGGCCCGGCATCATGACAGATTGCAAGGCCAACTGGATGAATTTGTCAGGGTCGTGGTGACATTTCTCGGCGATGAATTAAACAGCTGTGACCATTTGGATGGCATGATGGTGATGTTGGATACAGTAGAAGCGGATTCCGTCGGGTCATCATCCGAGGATCCCGAGAGGTCAGATGATGAAGACCGATATGATATTCCGGTGAAGTTCAATCCTGAGACCGTGGTGATTCCATTGCCGTCAAACATCGGCATCGAAAGATGCGCCCTGTGGGGCGTTGCCGACCTGGTGCTGCAAGAAATATTATTGAGAGAAAGCCAAGCAAATGATGCATTACATGCCGTCCGGGTCAACTTGGCCGACAAGGCCGTTCTGTTTCGCACCATGGTTTGGTCGGCAAAATCCCAAGCACGGTCAACCAGGGCATGGGCTCGGGTGCACTCAGTGGACAAGGTCCTACACCTAAACACGCAGATATACTCAAAATGCTGCAAGCAGCTAATCCATCTTGGTGCCGATGACTTATTGTCCAAGTATCGGCTGTTGGAGAAGGCCGACCTCAAGGCTACCACAGTTGTTGCAGACCCAAACACGCGTGGTCAAAGAAATAGCATGTTAGCATGGTTTTGGAGCATTGATGTTGAGGGGGATTCTGCAAGCAATGACTGGATGAATGAATGTTTGCACTTCACCGACTTACCTGTTCCTGTGGGGTGCTAATATACTTACACAACAGTTTACCGTGTCCATTGGCTTAGGACACTGGCACTGCGTGATCGTTGGGCAGAGGAGCTGCTGCTGGTCGGTCGGGAAATGACATGGACGGTTGAATTTTTTCTTCATAAATCTCAACAATGGGTAGGCCGAATGCAGGAGGCCGATGTACAGCGCATGGTCAGGCACCGGTGCTATGCTGCCCACCAGGCTCAAATGTATCTCCGACTCTCACAACATGCACAGGACAGCTTTGAACGAACAAAAGGGGTGGCTGCGGTTGTAGAGTGACAGGGGTCCATATGCGGCTGCGACTGCATTCAGACATCGGCAAGTGCCAAAGTGGATTAGTCAGTATCACAATACCGATCCGGATGAAACTTTTTGATCCAAGCTACCACCAGCATGTCCAACTCCTCCACACTCCATACATATGAACTCAGTGACTTTACTGCCTGGGATGCTGCAAATGTCTTAGAGTTTGCCACTGCCTGATTCGCTGCCATCTGGCTAGTTTGCAACCGGAACCATATACCTCGGACACCAGATTACAAAGCCAGCTTCGTCCGGCACCTTCAATGGGAGGCTGATGTGAGTGTCTCATCAATCAGTCCGTCGGCCGGTCGGTCGACATTATGTTGTAACTCATGCCTTTATCAGTGTTTTGTTGTGCCTAACTACCGGTACGATTGGTGGAAGGATCACTTTGACCAGTTGGGGTTGGACCTGCCGGTCTTGAACATCCATGAGGTCATGGAGATGACCCAAGACCACTTTGAACAACTGGTCGGTTATTGCTCTCTTTCTCATGCTGGACTTGCACTTATGGTAATCGTTAGCCGACGGGAGCCATGCTTGTGCCTGGTCCTGTGGTGACCGGGCAGGTGGATGGCAATGCCCTCTTCAATCAAATCGTGGCAGTGAGAGCCCACCTCAAACATCTCGGTGATGCAATGGGTGCTTTGCTGGACCAGAAGACCCAGGTCGCCACTGCAGCTGCATCCACCATGTCCCAACTTGAGGGACCGATTGCCGACCTAGAGGAAGTGCTTTTGAATTCTAGTGGGCAATTGTCGGGCAAGGATTGACTTCGCATGGCTTGTGCTGCTCTTTCACCGATGTTAATTTTACTGTTATCACCGGCATTGTGGACATCATTACTAAATAGACATCAGTAGTATTGCCGAATTTACGTTGATTCTCTAAATGTATATAGTATTACTCAATGAATCTCGGTCATGTCCCATATAAGCTGACAAGTTATTATGCCTGTTGTTCTGCCTCCGCAGATGATTTCAATTCCTATTGACTGGGCATTGCATACGACATGCATTGCTGGTGACTTTGTGCACCAGCTCTTTGCTGATCATGTCGGTCGCCGGCAACAGTCGGTCTTGCCTCCACTGACATTGGATGTGCCGACCATGCTTGCATGTCAGCAGTTGGCCGAGTTCTCACCGATGCTTATTTAAACCCAAGTGAGTTATTCCTTGATATTGTCGGTGTTTTGCCAACTGCGTGGCAGTTCAGCTTGATATCAACATGATTCGGTATAATGAGGCACTTAACAAACGCTCCACCGGGTGAATCACAAAACATGAAGAGGCTCTACTCCAAAGATTTCCTTATCGTTCTGAACAATTGCTCGACAAGCCCTCAGTGCTCGTTGATTCAGGCGGTCGTATCATCCTATGGTACCTTCCAGATGCCATCAGCCCGTGGATTCAAGTAAGCCCCATGCATTGTTGCTTGTCGGTTGACATTTAGACTGACCAATCAGGCCGACATGGAAGACGCCACCATCGGCATGGGTCATCTTCTGAAGAGAAGCATCACCAGGGGAGAAGAGACCCAATGGCGAACTTTCCCTGGGTATTTCCATAAGAGTGACCGACGCCCATTAACCCCAGGATGCATCAACATAGCTCCTTGCTGGTTCCAGCAAGGCTGAGAGGTGAGGTCTGGTTGTTCCACTATGATCTATTTACTCACTCAGCTGTTCCAGCCACATGGTTTTCCTCCCAACGGTGTGTTCTCCCCCGAGGTGTCGGCTGCATTGAAGGGCGAAAGTGGTCCTATGGTCATAACATCCATGCAGCGCTCAGCACTCCTGGCCTCGGCGGCTCTTTGGGTGATGCATCCAGAGTTGTATTGGGCCTCGGTTACCACGCATATAAAACTCGCTTGGTGGGCCATGGACAACGGTCACAATGACATATACACTTGTCTGCAACTTTGGGCCTTGGTCTTCAACTGCACAGCCGTCATTTGTAACAGGCAATGCCCTCTTCACCGAGATCCAAGATCTGCTCCCGAAGGGTTCGACATCATGACCAGTGTCGGCCACTATTGTGATGGGCTGATGACCCTGTCCAACCTCGGTATACAGTTGTGATATAAGTCTGGCACCATTGTTGCTTGCTCTGGACACCTTGTCAGGCATGGAGTCACATGTACCGGTGATCGCATCGTGTGGGCATGGTTCATGCACGATAGCCTTCACAACTTTGTGGGGACACCCCGGCCACAGTATGTGAAATATATGGATGTTGATCGTCATGTCTCGGTTCCAGCCTAGTCAGACATGCAATCACATATAATAGTATATGACAGTTACATTAAACTTTGTAGATGGTTCCTTTACAAGGTTGAAAATTAATTTGAATTCATGTTGTTGAATCCACTAGATCATCTTTCCTGGAGACCGACTGACCGACCATGCTGATGTGTGCCGACCGATGCGCATGGGAGACCTGCTCCACGCCGGCTCACCTGATAGAATGATATGGTGCTCCTCATCAGCCCACACGACTTCATCAGGCGTCCATTCCATTCGGCCAACCTGATGGCATAGGGGTACTTCATGTCTATCGGCCCACCTGATTCATTTGTTTATATTGGCCCACCTGACAGCTTCAGTTCCATCGGCCCACCCGAGCGCATCGCAAATTCATTTCCATAGGCCCACCCAATGCCATCAGTTCCATCGGCTTACCTGATTACATTGGCCATTCAGTACTCTCGGCCCACCTGAGAGCATTGGCAAATCGTTTCCATGGGCCCAACCGATGGTCTCAATTCCATCGGCCCACCTGATGATATCGGGCATTTATTGTTATCGGCCCACCTGACAGCGTTGGGAATTTGCTTCCATGGGCCCAACCAACGGTCTCAAATTTATCGGCCCACCTGATTGCATCGGCCTTTCATTCTTATCGGCCCACCTGATTTCATCTGGAATTCGTTTCCCTCGGCCCAATCGACAATCTCAATTCTATCGGCCCACCTGAGAGCATCAGCCTTTCATTCATATCGGCCCACCTGGTTGCATCGGGAATTTGTTTCCATAGGCCCAACCGACGGTTGCGATTCCATCGGCCGACCCGATTCTGTCGGCTGTTCATTGTTATCCGCCCACCTGAGAGCATCAGGAATTCGCTTCAATCGGCCCAACCAATGCTATCAGTTCCATCGGCCCACCCAATTATGTTGGGCCATTTATTGTTATCTGCCCACCTGAGAGCATCGGGAATTCATCTTTATCGGCCAAACTGATGCTATCAGTTCCATCAGCCCACCCGATTGCATCGGCTGTTCATTGTGATCGGCCCACCTGATGGCCTCATACCCAATATTGCCGGACCGATACGCACAAGCAATGTGTTCCATATGGGCCTATTGACATGCACCTGAAATATCTTCTACATCAGCCCACATGATGGCTTCATGCTGACCTTTGGCATCGGCTGACCAGTGCACACAGCAACTATTTGCTACATGGGCCCAGATGACAGTATCACACTGCGCCGCCTTTGTTTCCTGGACACTGGCTGACATGTTAATATCGAGCATCACGATTTATAGGCCCAGCTGTTAAAATCATCTGTCAGTGAGCCGGCCGGCCGAACATTAGACTCAGGCGGACACATTCAATCGGCCGATATCCGCTAGCCTGTGTGGAACGGTATATTTTCAACCTCAGCTGTCTGTATAACATGGACTATGTGACTGAATGGGCTCACTGGACAGTGGAATCCCTTGAACCAGACATGATGCGAGTGCCATCGGGAGAGAATGAGACTGAGTTTACCGAAGAAGTGTGCCCTCGGAAGGGTTCACCCAATGGCAGCCCCGTTGCTGCATCCCACAGCCGGACAGTGAAATCTTCTGAACCAGACACAATGCGAGTGCCATCGGGCGAGAACGAGACTGACCGAACCGATTCAGTATGCCCTCGTAAGGGCTCACCGAATGGCAGCCCCATTGCTGCATCCCACAGCCGGACAGTGGAATCCCAAGAACCAGACACGATGTGAGTGCCATCGGGTGAGAACGAGACTGATGAAACCGGTTCAGTGTGCCCACTGATCACGGTCTGAATAGCTGTCCAGTTCACAAGACGACCACACATCAGACGAAGAGTGTTCGGAAACTTTCCAGTAAACTTTGTAGCTATCGTGGACTTGCTGGGGCAAAATGGCAGCCCTGATACATACAGATGTGACGTGCTGTGCAAAATCATTCCACCAAACACCTGCACGAATCTCTGCACATCCGTTGCAGTGGACAACATGCTTGCATATCCGGATTGGCCCTGTGTTCGCCCGTAAGCACTTCCTATGACACCACCAGGTCACTCTATTCTCACCTTCAGCCACTGGGCAATCAGTGGAAGCACAGCAACTGCGCTGCTCAGTCCATTGAGAAGGCCGAGTGCTTCAATCCAGAAAAGCAGTCGCTCGTTGTCGAAGAATGATCCTATTTCCTTGGCGAGCTCCGTGTCAAAGTTGGTTGCTCAGACGTGCGTAGCCCAGAATCGACAGGAATAAGACAGATGCGAGGGAATGAGTGTTGCGACTCTATCCAGCAGCCCGGTATCTTTGCTATTGGGGAGGTATGAAGACTTCAAATCACACATATTGAAGCGAAGGTCGTGCTCCATCACTCGAAGTGATGCAAAAGCAAGATCACGTTGCGCGTTCGATATTTCCACGAAAAAGTCTCCACTGGATGATTTGTCTGTCAGGAATTCGCAGAAGGATGCATGAAGGGGTCGGATGGGACTGGATGGGTTGGTGATGCCGCTTAGGAGGGATCCCATATGTTCTATCACAACCTCCACTTTGTAATGCTCTCTTTGGTCTGGAAAACGGCTTCGCATGGCATTCAGGGCATCTAAAGGGAGGGCTTCGGTTGAGCCAAGTACTTGTCCCATCACGGAATGAAACTTTGCCAGCGCTCGCTGATACTCGGTTCTTGTGTATCTGTCCCTTCCCATGTTTTCTCCTAAAATGAAGCCATAAATATCATACAGCAAATTTTTCCGCTCTCCATGATCATGGGTCACCACAGCATTGAAGCGATCAATTGGGTATGAGCCAGGAGGGGTTTCCTGGATGTATTCGCATGCAAGACGCGCCCACTCGAATAGTCCACCAGCCTTGTCAGCGAGGACTGCGAACTCTTCGTACCCAAAATCTGGTAGCTCTTTCAGCTCCTCAGACACAAAAGCATGAATGTCGCTTTTTGCGACTGCTTCTGGAATGTCGTCCATGGATAATCGTAGAACATGCTGAGCACCGCGTAATGCATCATCAATATCGTGAAGTGGGCGAGAGGTGACGAGAATCTGAAAGTTGGGAGGGAGTTCGGTGATTTGGGGAAGACCTTTGTCCTGAAGTTTACCGGAAAGTATGCGGAGAAGGTTGCACCGTGTCTCGACTCCGCCACTCTCATCCAGCGCTTCGATTACGATCAAGACAAATTCTGCACTCGACCCAGAAAACTTCTTCAGCGGTTCCATAAATAGCTTGTGCCATTGTTGCATGATATCTGTCGTGTTCTTCAGCGCATTTGCGTGTTCGACTACATTGGCTAATGTTCATCTCATTTTCGGATCACGGTCAGCGAGGTCGCGAGCGATGGTGGAGAACACTTTTTCATGATGTTTGTCCATTTGGTTCCGGTCGAAGCAGAAACACGAGCCAAGCCCTCCCAAGTCATTGAACCAGTTAGCGATTGTGTGAGCGATGGATGATTTGCCTGTGCCCGCAGGGCCAGATAGCCACAGCACCCGCTCAGCAGTATCTCCACTGCTATTGATCCATTCAGTGATCCGGGATAGAATGTCCGTGTGCGTCCCTGGTAAGCATAGTTTCGTGGTATTTAGTCCTGCGCCTGCTGCGTAAGGCATCCCGCTGAGATCCAGTTTGTCGCTCAGTTTGTCGCCTGAAGGGGTATTGTGAGTATACGAAAAGTCAGAAGCATGTCCGGATCCTTACTCGTACACTGGACAAGATTGGCTATGTCCCAAAGGGCTTGGTCCCAAAACTGTTGCATGAACTCGTCCAAAGCCTTATTGTACCGTGAAATCTGATCATTCGTCTCTGAGACAATATTTTTCCCGAGTCTCTTCCCTGTGATAATGGCATAAGATTGAAATCATGGAAAGTGCAATGGCTCGAAGACTCACAAAAGCTCTTTTTCTTCGAATAATCCCTGATGAAACACACGCACTCTAGAGTCTGCTGGGCGATTCGTCTAGTGATGCTGTGCTTGGATAAAATCTGGCTGAGAGTGTCCTCTTGTGACATGAAGTCGTAAACTTGTTGCAATTTCTCGAGAAGAGTTTGCACCGACTTGTCACGTTCTGTTTGAGCGAGAATAATCTGCATAGAGATAACAACTGTTGAACAGGAAGGTAAAACCACACGTACTTTGGATGCAGCAGACAGCATGCCCAGCACCATCTTTGCATAGGGATGTACCTATACAAATTTAATTAGCTCACTTCCAACTAAGAAGAGCGGCCCATACGTTCACAAGATTCTCGATGACAGTGTCAAAAATTTTGAGTTTTCGAAGATATGTGGTCGGGAGATTGTCTGCGGCAGCGAGATCTCTTGGGCCATCCTCGGCTTTGGATAGAAAAGAAGCGACATGCCCCCCAAGTAGTCTCATACTTTCTGTAGCCTCATGGGCACCCTGAAGTCCAGCATCAACTGATTGGGGATCAGGAATTTCTTCCACGCCAGGAGGGGTATCGGGGACCTGCATGACCACCAGAATTTAGATATGAAAGATAGATTGTTTGGCGTAATTACCTTCGAAGCAGGTTCTCCGGACGCGACTTGATTCTCACAGCCACTGAGATTCTCAGATGTGGCGGGCTTGTTGCCATCAGAAGGATGCAGACACGATGCATCCTTGGTGGACCTCAGACAAGTTCAACATCAAAACAAAAACTGCTTACCTCGATATCATGATTCGATGAAGCGCCTCCATGATCAGTGTTCTGGATGGTGGAGATTTGGCTGTGAGAACGCTTGAAGCGTCTCTGCACAATATCAGTCATATTTTAGGTCCTTCTGCAATTGGGTCGACATACAGAAACTTTTTTAGCCACATTCTTCTTAACTTTGCGTAGGGTCTGACAGAATCCACTGCGGGGCTGATTCTGGATTAAGGATGCGTAGCGACGATATTATTAGTGCTCGTCGACAACAATCTCATGGGGGCACGTACTGTGCTCTCGCCAGCAGTTGCATCTCTGGATCCAGAAGCCTCTGGAGGAGGTTCTGGCCTGTGGTCTTTGCTCATTGGGAACAGTGAAAAATTTGGATGAGCTTGAGGAAAATGACTACAACAATTAGAGGGAGGGAAGAGTACCACAGATCAACAAGGCAGCCGAATACCGTCGAGCACAAGCTTCAAGGCAGCGCCAATCATTCAGCCACGTTCAAGTTATAGTAATGGAACGTGGTTCGGGCAAGCGCTAGGGAAACTTTAGCATGCATCGCTCATGATTTAACAAGCTTGATATTGATGGGTGCAGGTAAGTAAATACATGGATATGTATGAAGTTCATGACAATCGACAGGCTAACTTCAATATGAGTGTGTCACTGTGACAGGCACGAGCTTTACAAATCTTGCCGAGTTAGGGTCTCCGTCAAAATTTCAAATTTCAAACCGGTTCTCTAACGGTTTTCATCTCAAACAGAATTAGACAAGAACCCTTATATCGCGCCTTTGGAAATCTATATCAGAACTTGAGCGTGTTGAGATACCGTTATGACCATCCTTTAGGAATCAATCAAACACATTCAAATCCACCGTTAGTGCTAGACCGCCATTCGACTCTGAACTCAAATTTGACAAGTAGAACTGGTAATGTACTAGCTTATCTTCCGGCCTCTGTGCAGACCACTCAGCCTTCACATGTCAACGCGCACTCCGCCTCAAATGCTGCCTCCCTTGACTCACAAGCAGGAGCTATTTCATCTCCGCAAGGAATAATGGCGTGCTGAAGATGGTTTGGGATAAGCTATCTTGCCGACAGCTTCTTGGCTGATGTTGACCTCAAGTATCTAGCCGCACTAGAAGCAAGGACGTTCGAGGATTCCGGAGAAGCAGGACCTGCAGCCAACCAGCAGTGAGTTTAGATGCTAGTCAATATCTCAGGCAATGGAATGTATATCTCGAAGTTCCTGATGAATGGTTCTTGAAAGAGATCGTAGCGAGAGCAGCCTTGAAGTGAAGAAGAAGAATTAAAGTGCTGGACAACTCTTCCATATCTACCTATCTCAATGACTTTGTCTCCAAAATGTCTACACCTCAGCTCGCCACATTCAAGTGCCTGCAATCGAAAATGAACCTAAGGTGAGTCTATATGAACTTTGCGAGTCACTCCTTCTCATCCCGAATCATGTCGGCAGCAAATCTATGCTGCAGGGTCAGCAGAGCACAGGGGTCTCGAAGCTGCACTTGCTCAGATGCAACATGAACTTCCATTTGAGGTTTCCTATATCGTCAATGACTCACTGGTCTGTACAGCGTGTCACTGGCCAATTCGTCGATGACTTAGATCTTAGATCAGAACTGATAAACTTGTCAAGCAGGCCATACCCTCTGACCACGCTGTCATATCTGCGTATACCACGAGGCAGATGAAGCGACTGTAGCCAATGCGATCGATGGTGCTCTTTCCGCCAAATTTGAGTGGGAGGCCATGCCTTGGAACGATCGCGCCGCCATCTTCCTGTGTACTGCAGAGCTTGTTAGCGGCAAGTACTGTTACAAATTGGTAGCAGCTACTATGCTTGGTCAAGGCAAGAACACTTGGCAGGCTGATATTGATGCTGTCGAGGTGTGTAAGATGGAATTATCTTGATGGCAGTCGATTGATGGAATTTCGCAGCTTTCCGATTTCTTGTGTTTCGGCGTCAAATATGTTGAGGAGCTTCACGCACAACAGCCTCCTAAGAACGCAGTGGGATCATGGAAGTAAGTCCAGTACGCCTTCTTTCAGGATACTTACAATGATTGGATAGCCGCATCGAGTACCACGCGCTGGAAGGATTTGTTCTCGCAGTTTCGCCATTCAACTTCACAGCGATCGGTGGAAACCTTCCGGATGGTACGAGCGACTATTTCTATCATGATTATTATGTTCTGAACCAGACATTTTAGTTCCCGCAATCGTCGGTAACACAGTCGTATGGAAACCTTCACCAGCGGCCACGTATTCCAACTACTTGATCTACCAGATCCTCGCGGAGGCTGGTGTTCCACCCGGCGTCATCCGGTTCATCCCTGGGCCACCTCCAGAAGTCGTCGCACAGGCGATATCGCACCCCAACTTTACAGTGCTCCACTTCACAGGCAGCACGTTCATATTCAAGAAGCTATGGAAAGACATCGCCACAAACCTGGACAACTACAAAGGGCATCCGAGAATCATCGGTGAGACAGGAGGAAAGAACTTCCATGTGATCCACAAGTCGGCAGAGATCCGAAATGCAGTTTTGCAGACCATTTGAGGCGGCTTCGAGTATCAAGGTGCACATATTGCGTGTATGAGTGGCATGCAAGATTGACAGGTGTGGGTGCAGGACAAAAGTGTTCTGCATTGCCACGGCTATATGTTTCCTCTTCGCTTTGGTCATCTGGATTCAAAGATCTGCTCTTGTCTGAGGTTGCCAAGATCAAAATCAGGTCACCATCAGACTTCAGCAACTTTATTGGACCCGTGATGTGCGTTCCATTTCTATGCATTGGGCTGCGCATTGATCACTGAATAATATCCAGAGGTCGTCCGGCTCATGACAAAATAATTGGATTCATCCAGAAAGCCAAGGATGCGGGAGGGGAGGTTCTTATCGGAGGCACTGGTAAGGCGAATATCACGACTCACCTGCGACTTTTCTCATGATCCTACAGGCGATGACTCCAAGGGCTACTTCATACAGCCCACCGTCATTCTAACCAAAGATCCTGAATCAGTCACCATGAAAGAAGAAATCTTTGGTCCTGTCATCTAGTGCTGCCGCGGTCCGGTCCAGAACCATGGTTCGAACCGGACTTTTGGTCCGGTTCTCCGCGGTTCGGTCCATGGTTCTCGCGCCAGCCAGAACCGGACCGGAAAACGGTTCTCGGTTCTAGATCTTCCCAAACGGTCCAGTTCTGGTTCGGCCTTCCCGAACCATTCTGAACCCTTATCGACTTCCACTTCGACAACTGTCATCTTCGGGATTCACGTTGTTGATTAATCAAGCTACATTTAGCCTTTTCGAAGGTAAGCACTAACTAATTAAACTCTCAAGTCTCTCACCCGCTCACCTCTATAACAGGAGGTTCTATTCATTGAGGACCAGCTACAACACTGCGCAAGACTACCTTTTACTGGAGGTGGATGTGTTAGGCGCGGTCAAGGTGGATTTTGGAGGGATTGTGTCTTGCGCTATGCTGCAGAGGTGCGTATTTGTGCTCTGAATGCTGATGGCTCCCTCGAGGGCCAGCACCCATCGCTACCAGCGCACGACCCATCACACGCCACACCACCTGCGCCTATGTTGATGCCCGCCACCTCACCGCATCCCCTCTCACTCGCTTGCTGTTCTTTCTGGCTGGCTTTTGCTGGCTCGCTCGCCGTGTCTCACTCACCCACTGTCTCTTGCTCACTGTCTCACACACCCGCTGGCTGCTCTCGCCCACTGTCTCTCACCCCGCTGTCTCTCACCCTCCGTCTCTCTCACTCACCCACTGTCTCTTGCTCACTGTCTCACACACCCGCTGGCTGCTCTCGCCCACTGTCTCTCACCCCGCTGTCTCTCACCCTCCGTCTCTCACAGCCTGCCTCGATGACCTACTATCGGATCCAAAGGTGAATCGATATGCATGTCTCATTGCATATTCTCACAACTGAATGCGCTCTGCTAGGCCAACAAGTTGGCACTCCATGTACGGGACACGCCACATGTTGACAACACCACCGGGAAAGTTGGTCCCATTTTCTGGAATGTAGCTCTTGGTGGCGCAATGGTCTCATTCGAGTTTTGGGCTACTCAGTGAGTTCTCTCTGGCATGCTTTGTGGAGCTCATGTATGTGTAACGTTCCCACTGGTCGCGTCATATTTTGGATCGAACCTCTCGTGCCAACCCAACTCCCAGTACCCTCTCACTTCCTTTGGCACCCTCTCGCTACCTTTGGCACCCTCCCGCCATCAAGTTGACAAGTTCAGCGCCCTCTCATTACCTTCAGCATCCTCCCACTTAGCACATCCAATGCCACCAGCACCATGCGCAAACGCACAGCGCATGTAGACTCGACTCTAGATGGGGAGTTCTCTCAGCTGCAAAGGTGCGTCATGGTGTTTTATTGTTTCAGTGTCTAATAAATTTATTATTTGTATATGGTACCCGCGCTCGCCACCATCTCACGCTGCTGCTCACTGCCATCTCCTGCTGCTGCTCGCCGCCATCCTCGACCCATGCTCATGATCGCCATCCTTCGCTGCCGCTTTCCTATTTCTGGTTGTGTCAACCCCTCGTTATCACAATCACTCTCCTGATACCTCTCGCGCATGGTAATTGGGGGGGAGCAGCCATGTTATTAGATTAGTTACTCAACATGTATACTACTTAGTACTTTGTCAATGTTTTTTTGCGTGCTCTTACAGTTTTTTTTTTGGTTCGGTTCGGGTTCGGACCCCAAAAAAACCGAACCGGACCATAGAGAACGGTTCTCTATGGTCCGGTTCTGGGTTCGGACATTTTGTAGAACCGAACCGATGGTCCGGTTCTTGGTTCTCATCTAGGACCCTCCGAACCGGACCGAACCGGACCACGGCAGCACTACTGTCATCACTGTAATGCTTTTTCGTTCGCAAATGCGGCCAGTACTAACAACTTTCTAGGTTTATGTGTACGATGACACAAATTATGAGCAGACTCTGGAACTGATCGAAAACACCTCGCTTTATGCACTGACCGGCTCTATGTAAGTCCAAGGTCTCTGCGATTTGCATCGACTGACAACTTCTTTTCCAGCTTTGCCACAGAGCGCAGGGCCCTTCTGACTGCCAAAAACAAGCTACACAACACTGCTGGCAACGTCTATTACAACGAGAAATGCACTGGGGCGGTCGTGGGTCAGCAACCCTTTTGAGGAGGGCGAGCGAGTGGGACCAATGACAAAGCTAGGAGTATCAGCATCTTCTACCGATTCATTTCGGTGAGAAGCATAAAGGAGAACTTCGTGGGCCTAGAGGACTTCCAATACCCGTCGAACTTGATTTGATTTAATGAGAATCATGAAAACAACGGTAGTCATCGATGTTGTACAATCAAAGAATCATTTTGTTACTTGTACATATTCAACGAGAAACATTTGTGGAGGACGAATTTTAAAGTATCCTAAAGAACACTAGAGCAGCAAACCCCATCGCCCCTGTTGGAATCCGAGACAGCCAAAGGACGGAAGGCTGAAGGAGGGAAAGCCGAGAGAGAGAGAGAGCAAGCGGCCGAAGTTTAGGCACAGGGGGAGAAGTGGATAGCGAGCGCATCCAAAATGGGCAATGGCGAGCGACATGTCGACGTCGGCTCGAGCCCTACAATGTTTCAGTTTATTTTTTCCTTTATATCAAGTTCCTGGCGCACTCACCTTATAAGCGCCACCCCAAACGTTGTAGCATCTCAGTCTTCAATCCGAATACTGAGATGTAAGTGATTAGAGTTGTATATCGTTTACAAAAGGCTAACGTACCGTAGTCGTACCTTTTGTCTAGGTAGATGTTCCGTTAATGGAGTCTTCAATCCGAATACTGAGATTCGTACCTTTTGTCTAGTCTAGTCTAGCCTCCGAGCCTCCCGTTCGACATAAACCTCCATAGGTTATGAGCCCTGCTATGGCCACAGATACTACGCTCCCCGGCACCACGTCGACGCTGTTCAATGTTCCCAAGTTAGCCGAAGATGGCTCAAACTGGATCACATACAAAGAACGTACCTTGACAGCGATTGGTGCGCGAGGTCTGATGCGATATGTTGATGGTCGTGCATTTAAACCTAAGGCCTTCGTCATCAACCAGACGACAGGTCGACTGGAGAAACGCGACGGTACTCCTGCTACGGAGGACGAGATCGAGGAGCTCGACAAGAAAATAGACGAATTCTACCAGAAGAACTCACTCGCAAAACAACAAGTCTTCAGTACCATTACGGACCGGCTGTTGCTACGCGTTCAGAAGTTCGAGTCGGCTTCGCTAGTCTGGACTGAAGTTTGTCAGATACACAAGAGTAAAACGGAGCTCGTCCAAATAGACTTACGTCGGAGACTGCAGGAGACGAGGTGCGAAGAGTCTGGGGACGTTAAGGCCCACTTCGCGGACCTTCTAAGGCTTCGCGAATCCCTAGCTGGTATGGGGGTCAGTATCACTGACACCGATTTTCACGCCATAATCTTGGGCTCGCTCCCAGAGTTGTATCGACCACTCCTATCCTCGATAAGTGCCGCCGCTAAGATCACGAAGAGCCCATTATCCCCATACGAACTCATCAGCATAGTAACAGAAGAGTTCAAGCACAGACAACTTACTGAACGTCGTCCAGCCAAGAAAGGCACCGGTACAGCTCTGGCCGCACGGGAAACCAGGGGCAAGCCAAGGACGAGCATCAGAGGTGCGACTAAGTCCAATCCGGATGCCACATGCTACAATTGTGAGCGGAAGGGTCATTATAAGGCTGATTGCTGGAGGCCAGGAGGCGGGAAAGAGGGCCAAGGGCCCAAGCAGCAGAAGGGAAGGACAGACAAAGGTCCAAAGCAAGCAGTTAACACTGCCACGGAGTCAGAGTCCCACGATCAGTACGCTTTCATGACGTCAAGCTTGGCGTCGGTCGCAAAGAACCTCAATGTACCTGTCGACAGACGAGGTGCCATTGTAGACTCCGGCGCGACCTCCCATTTCTGCCCGGACCGCTCCAAGTTCACAAACTTCCTCCCAATCCCCCCCCAGGACATCCGTACTGCGGATGGCTCGACTCTTAGCGCGGTAGGACGAGGGGATGTCAACATAGAACTCCCACTCGGGGACAAACGCACAATGGTGACGCTAAGGGACACGCTCTACGCACCTAATATGGCCTTCACCCTCATCTCTACCAACAAGATAACGAACGCTGGAATGGCCATTCTCTTTGAAGGCCAAATGTGCAAGGTATTGTCGAAGGGACCCACGCGCCGAGTTATAGCCAAAATCCCTCAAGTGGAAGGCCTGTACAGCGTCGTGACAAAGGGACATCAGCTCCACCAAGCTCATGTAGCTAACGAGAAGCTTACCCTCAGCCAGCTGCACCGCAGACTAGGTCACGTCTCGCACAATGCAGTGGCGGACGCAATTAAGAAGGGCTTGGTGGTAGGCGTGGAGTTGGATCCAGAGTCGAAGGCAGAATTCTGCGATACCTGTGTTAAGGCTAAGTCAGCGCAACACCCTTTCCCCAAAGAGACGACGACTCGTGCGCGTACCTATGGCGACCTGGTTCACACCGACCTCTGGGGGCCCGCACAAACGACAAGCCTGGGCGGCTGCAAATATTATATCAGCTTTACGGACGACTTCAGCCAGCAATCCAAGCTTCAATTCCTCAAACAAAAAGAGTGAAGCACTTACTGCGTTCAAAGAGTATGAAGCGTGGCTCGGGCGTCAGAACCCAGGAGTTCGCTTGAAGAAGGTCCAGTCGGATAGAGGAGGGGAGTACCTGAGTGCGGAGTTTGACAAGTACTTGCGTCAGCAGGGCATAGAGCGTCAGCTAACGGTGCATGACTCACCACAGCAGAACGGCATTGCCGAACGCCTCAACAGGACTCTGGTCGAGCACGCTCGTGCGATGCTGCTCGCAAAGGACTTACCGAAGTACCTGTGGGCCGAAGCTGTCAACTATGCTACTTGGCTTAAGAACCGCTTACCTTCCAGATCCGTACCTGGCAGCACACCTTTTGAACTGGTCCAGAAGTCCAAGCCGGATTTGTCGCAGGCCCACGAGTTCGGTGTGACAGTCTATGTCCATGTGCGAGAGGCGGGGAAGCTGGAGCCGAAAGCGGAGGAGGCCATGTTTGTGGGGGTGGACGTTGAGAGTAAGGGCTACCGAGTCTATTGGCCTGGTAAGCGCTGTGTGTCGGTGGAAAGGAACCTCACCTTCGCACCAGTGGTAAGTGAGGCTGTGCTGGACGAGGGGGAGTCTGCTGCCATCAACAAATATAATAGCAGCAATATTAACAAGGACTCACCTAAAGACGCCCAGCCCATCCTCACCACCTCGCAGCAGCAACCTCAACCATCTACCGGCCAGCAACCTCAGCCATCTACTCCTCCCCGAACCCCACCAGAACGCCCACCTACTCCGCCGGCACCCAGGACCACTAGGACACGACCCCCTCCTGGCTACTACGCAGCCCTCAATGAGGGCCAAACGGCAAGCGTCGCAATGGAAGACCTGCTGGAAGCGTCAGAAGTAGATCTGTTAGACGAAGAAAATCACATTCACCTTGCGTTGGCCACCACTGAACCGGAGCCCACCCTATGAGAAGCCTTGAATGGGTCAGATGGTGTTGAATGGCAAGAAGCTGTGGATTACGAAATCGCCCAGTTAGAGAAGTTAGGTACGTGGGAAATTGTAGACGCACCTAGGGGCGCCAACATAATCCCTTGCCACTATGTTCTGGCCACAAAGTGTGGGCCAGATGGCGAAAAGCTCAAGTTGCGAGCACGTCTCGTTGCCAACGGACAGCGTCAACGTTATGGAGTCAACTACTTCGACACATTTGCGCCAACAGCCAACATGGCCACCATACGAACAGTCCTGTCAATGGCCGCTCAACGCGATTGGGAAATCCACCAGGTGGATATAAAAAGTGCATACCTTTATGCCAAGATCCAGGAGGAGATATACATGAGGGCGCCGCCGGGATATATGAAGGCTGGGCAGGAGGGGAAGGTGCTGAAGTTGAAGAGGAGCCTACCTGGGCTGAAACAGGCTGGTTTCGAGTGGGCCGAGGAGCTTGCCGGCGTTTTTTGTAGCCTTGGGTTCAGTCGCTCGCGGGTGGATCAAGCCGTGTACTACAAACGTACCTCGAAGGAGCACGTCGTCATCACCGTGTCCGTCGATGACATGGCCGTCACCACCAACCACATCTCCTACATCCTCCAGTTCAAGTCGCAGCTCAAGGACTTCTTCGAAATATCGAACCTTGGGGAGCTGAGGTGGTTGTTAGGGCTAAAGGTAACGAGGGATAGAGTTGCACGTACCAGAACCTTATTGCAGAAGGCGTACGTGGCAACCATAGTCGAACGTTTCCGTTTGGCCGATGCCAAGAGCGCGCCTACCCCAATGGACCCTGGAGCCATCCTCTCAACAGATCAGTCCCCCGCGACCCACACCGAGCTACAGAGCATGCGCGACGTACCATATCAGAGGGCCATAGGTTCCTTGATGTACGCGGCGACCAGCACGCGTCCGGACATCGCCTTCTCCGTTGCAACGTTGTCGCAGTTCATGCAGAACCCCGGGAGAGTACACTGGGAGGCGGCAAAGAGAGCTTTGCGTTACCTAAAGGCTACGGACAGTACCGAACTTACCTTAGGTCCAATGGAGGCAGGGTTAGAGGCTTTTGTAGATGCGGACTGGGCGTCCCAGCCGCACAGGCATTCCATGTCCGGCTATATTGTGATGCTGAACGGGGGACCAGTGGCCTGGAGTGCGCGGAAGCAACCGTTAATCGCACTATCCACGGCAGAGGCTGAATACATAGCACTCACGAGCGTGGTACGCGAACTCCTCTATCTGCAGCTACTGATCGGCGAACTCTATGAGAGCCCTACTCTCCCCACCCCCATCTTTTGCGACAACCAGGCTGCTATCGCATTAGCGTCAAATGGCAAGTTCCAGTCGAGAACAAAGCATATCGACTTACGATACCATTTTGTGCGCGGCCACGTCAAAAACGGCATCTTCAATCTCCTGTATTGTCCCACAGAGGACAACGTCGCTGACGCATTCACCAAGCCACTCGCCCGTCCCAGACTACAGCGCCTACGGCTCTTGATGGGGTTGGATAGCGCTCGAGGGGGAGTGTTGGAATCTGAGACAGCCGAAGGAGGGAAAGCCGAGAGAGAGAGAGAGCAAGCGGCCGAAGTTTAGGCACAGGGGGAGAAGTGGATAGCGAGCGCATCCAAAATGGGCAATGGCGAGCGACATGTCGACGTCGGCTCGAGCCCTACAATGTTTCAGTTTATTTTTTCCTTTATATCAAGTTCCTGGCGCACTCACCTTATAAGCGCCACCCCAAACGTTGTAGCATCTCAGTCTTCAATCCGAATACTGAGATGTAAGTGATTAGAGTTGTATATCGTTTACAAAAGGCTAACGTACCGTAGTCGTACCTTTTGTCTAGGTAGATGTTCCGTTAATGGAGTCTTCAATCCGAATACTGAGATTCGTACCTTTTGTCTAGTCTAGTCTAGCCTCCGAGCCTCCCGTTCGACGTAAACCTCCATAGCTCCATCATTACACTACAGTACTTGTGGCGCACACTACGAAAGCAAACAGCTCCAAATTCAAGCTCGATAGCAGATATAGGATCCATCGACACAGAACAAACTCGTACGCTCAGCATTACGACAACTGGATCAATTACGAGTAGCGCTAGAGATATTGATTTAGCAACTACAGAGGACAGTCAAGGCTAAGAACTCACATCTCAGCAATTCGACCAGTCTTCTCCATGAGCCATGCGACTCAAATCAATCTCTAGCCCACCGGGTATCATCAATGTAGTCCCAAGATAATGAAATGGTTGGCCTCGGGAAGCGGGCGGTACCCAGAAAAGCAGCCGACCATAGGCTCCTATTATCCATCCATCTTTCAGCGAGACAGGGGTTGAATTAAGATGAGAGGTGCCTTCAAGTAACTCAGCAGGGTTTTGCAGTGCATGATCCAAGCTTGATGCGAAGCAAATGGTGGGGTTGTTCCGAGTATGGGATGACATGCCAGTCTCCCATTTGCAAGATGTGGTGGGACATGTGTCCAAAAAGGATGGCGAGGAGTGAATCTCAGTGTGCTCCTGAAATTGCTGTTCTGTCGCTGGATTCCACAGCCGAACAGTGGAATCAAAAGAACCAGACACGATGCGAGTGCCATCGGGTGAGAACGAGACTGACAAAACCGAATGAGTGTGCCCTCGGAAGGGCTCACCCAATGGCAGTCCCATTGCTGCATCCCACAGCCGGACAGTGAAATCCCAAGAACCAGACACGATGCGAGTGCCATCGGGAGAGAACGAGACTGACGAAACCCAAAAAGTGTGCCCTCGGAAGGGCCCACCCAATGGCAGTCCCATTGCTGCGTCCCACAGCCGGACAGTGGAATTCCAAGAACCAGACACGATGCGAGTGCCATCGGGCGAGAACGAGACTGACGAAACCAAATCAGTGTGCCCTCGGAAGGGCTCACCCAATGGCAGTCCCGTTGCTGCATCCCACAGCCGGACAGTGGAATCCAAAGAGCCAGACACGATGCGAGTGCCATTGGGCGAGAACGAGACTGACCAAACCAAATCAGTATGCCCTCGGAAGGGCTCACACAATGGCAGTCCCATTGCTGCATCCCACACCCGAACAGTGGAATCCAAAGAACCAGACGCGATGCGAGTGCCATCGGGCAAGAATGAGACTGACAAGAATGAAGAAGTGTGCCCACTGATCACGGTCTGAATAGCCGTCCAGTTCGCAAGATGACCACGCATCAGACGAAGAGTGTTCGGAAACTTTCCAGTAAACTTTGTAGCTATCGTGGACTTGCTGGGGCAAAATGGCAGCCCTGATACATACAGATGTGCTGTGCTGTGCAAAATCATCCCACCAAACACCTGCACGAATCTCTGCACATCCGTTGCAGCGCACAAGATGCTTGCATATCTGGATTGGCCCTGTGTTCGCGCGTAAGCACTTCCCCTGACACCACCAGGTCACTCTGTTCTCACCTTCAGCCACTGGGCGATGAGTGGAAGCATGGCAACTGCGCTGCTGAGTCCATTGAGAAGGCCGAGTGCTTCGATCCAGAAGAGCAGTCGCTCGTTATCGAAGAATGATTCTATTTCCTTGGCGAGCTCTGCGTCAAAGTCCATTGCTTGGACGTGTGTGGCCCAAAATCGACAGGAATACGACAGATGCGATGGAATGCATGTTGCGACTTTGTCTGACAGTCCGGTGTCTTTGCTATTGGGGAGGTATGAAGACTTTAAATCACACATATTGAAGCGAAGGTCGCGCTCCATCACTCGTAGCGACGCATAAGCAAGATCGCGTTGTGAGTTCGACATCTCTACGAAAAACTCTCCGCTGGATGATTTGTTTGTCAGGAATTCGCGGAAGGATGTGTGAAGGGGTCGGATGGGACTGGATGAGTTGGTGGTGCCACTTAATAGGGATCCCATATGTGCTACCACGTCTTCTACTTTGTAGTGCTCGCTTTGGTCTGGAAAATGGCACCGCATGGCATTCAGGGCATCCAAAGGGAGCGGTTCGGCTGAGCCAAGTATGTGCGACATCACAGAATGAAACTTTGCTAGCGCTTGCTGATAATCGTCAGTGTCGGTGTATATGTCCTTCCCCATGCTTTCTCCTAAAATAAAGCTATATAAACCATACAACAGGTTTTTCCGCTTTCCATGATCGTGGGATATGACAGCATTGAAGCAATCAATGGTGGATTTGCCAGGAGGGGGTAGTTTGATGTATTTGCATGCAAGACGCGCCCACTCGAATAGTCCACCAGCTCTGTTAGCGATGTCTGCGAACTCTTTGTCTCCAAGACCAGACGCCTTCTTCAGTTCGTGAGACACAAATGTACGGATGTCTCTCTCCGAGTCTTTTTCTGAAATGTCATCCATGGATAGCCATTCAATATGTGGAGCATCCTGGAATTCAGAATTGATATCAAGAAGCGCGCGAGAGGTGATGAGAATCCGAAAGTTGGATGGGAGTTCGGTGATTTGGGGAAGATCTTCGCCCTCCAGTGTGCCCGCAAGTATGCGGAGAAGGTTGCGCCGTGTCTCGACTTCCCCGCTCTCGTCCAGCGCTTCAATCACGATCAAGACAGGCCCCACGCTCGACCCAGAAGACTTCTTTAGTGGTTCTATCAACAGCTTCCGCCACTGCTGGACGATATCTGTCGTGTTCTTGAGCGACTTTGCATGTTCGACTGTATTCGCCAATGTTCGTCTCATCTCCGTATCACGATCAGCGAGGTCGCGAGCGATAGTGGAGAACACCTTTTCATGACGTTTGTCTGTTTGGTTCCGGTCGAAGCAGAAACACGAACCGAGCCCTCCCAAGTCGTTGAACCAGTTAGCGATTGTGTGAGCGATGGATGATTTGCCCGTGCCCGTAGGGCCAGATAGCCATAGCACCCGCTGAGCAGTATCTCCCCTGTCGTTGATCCATTGAGTGATCCAGGATAGAATGTCCGTGCGCGTCCCTGGCAGGCATAGTTTCGTGGTGTTTAGTCCCGCACCTGCTGCGTAAGGCATCCCGCTGAGATCCAGTTTGTCGCTCAGTTCGTCGCCTGAAGGGGTATTGTGAGTATACGGAAAGTCAGAAGCACGTCCGGATCCTTACTCGTGCACCGGACAAGATCGGCTATGTCCCGAAGAGCTTGGTCCCGAAATTGTTGCATGAACTCGTCCAAAGCCTTATTGTACCGTGAAATCAGATCATCCGTCTCTGAGATAACATTTTTACTGAGTCTCTTCCCTGTGATGATGGCATGAGATTCAAATTACGAAAAGCGCAATGGCTCGACGACTCACAAAAGTTCTTTTTCTCCGAATAATCCCTGATGAAACACGCGCACTCTAGAGTCTGCTGGGCGATTCGTCCAGCGATGCTGCGCTTGGATGAAATCTGGCCGAGAATGTCATCTTGTGACATGAAGCAGTAGACTTGTTCCAATTTGTCGAGAAGAGATTGCATCGATTGGTCGCGTTCTGTTTGAGCGAGAATAATCTGCATAGAGTCAACAACTGCTGAACAGGAAGGTAAAACCACGCGTACTTTGGATGCAGCAGACAGCATGCCCAGCACCATCTTTGCATAAGGATGTACCTATACAATTTAATTGGTTCGCTTCCAACCAAGGAGAGCGGCCCATACGTTCGCAAGATTCTCGATGACAGTGTCGAAAATTTTGAGTTTTTGAAGATATGTGGTCGGGAGATCGTCTGCGATAGCGAGATCTTTTGGGCCATCTTCGGCTTTGGATAGAAAAGAAGTGACGTGTCCCCCGAGTAGTCTCATACTTTCTGTAGCCTCACGGGCACCCTGAAGTTCAGCATCAACTGATTGGGGATCAGGAATTTCTTCCACGCCAGGTGGGGCATCGGGGACCTGCACGGCCATCAGAATTTAGACATGAAAAACAGATTGTTTGGCGTAAATACCTTCAAAGCAGGTTCTCTGGACGCTGCTTGATTCCCGCAGCCACTGAGATTCTCAGATGTGGCGGGCTTATTGCCATCAGGCGATGCATCCTTGGTGGACCTCAGACAAGTTCAACTTCAAAACAAAAACTGCTTACCTCGATATCATGATTCGATGAAGCGCCGCCATGATCAGCGTTCTGGACTGCGGGGATTTCGTGGCGGAAACGCTTGAAGCGTTTCTGCACAATATCAGCTATATTCCAGCTCCTTCAGCATTCAAACCGACGTACAGAAACTTTTTTAGCCACATTCTTCTTAACTTTCCGCAGGGTCTGACAGAATCCACTGCGGGGCTGATTCTGGATTAAGGATGCGTAGCGACGATATTATTAGCGCTCGTCGACAACGATCTCATGGGGGCACGTACTGTGCTCTCGCCAGCAGTTGCATCTCTGGATCCAGAAGCCTCTGGAGGAGGTTCTGGCCTGTGGTCTTCGCTCATTGGGAACGGTCAAAAATTTGGATGAGCTTGAGGAAAATGACTGCAAAAATTAGAGGGAGGGGAGAGTACCACAAATCAATGAGGCACCCGAATATCGTCGACCACAAGCTTCAAGGCAGCGCCAATCATTCAGCCACGTTCAAGTTATAGTAATGGAACGTGGTTCGGGCAAGCGCTAGAGAAACTTTAGCATGCATCGTTCATCATGTAACAAGTTTGATATTGATGCAGTGCGCGTAAGTAAATACATACATATGTAGGGGCACAACGAAGTTCATGACAATCGTCATGCTGAACTTCAGTAGTACATATGGAAAGCGGGAGTGATCTGGTGTGTCACAGGCACGAGCGCTGGCAAATCTTGTGCCGAGTCAGCCGTCCGGGCATTGCGCAACCTTTGCCCTAAGATAGTAGAGAATCCATATCCGTGCCATAGTATGGCTTTTGACCTTGAGATCTTGAGATACCGAGTGCACTTGTTATAATTATACAAACATCCTTCAGGGCATGCCATGGCCATGAACCCGTGCGATTTCGAATGTAGAACATATAAGAATGCTTGCACCTCAGAGTCAGACCGTGTCAAGGCTCCTCGTCATTTAGCACCGCGTCATTTGGCATGTGTAAACTGAACCAAACAATCCTCCTGATTCATGATAAGCCGCTTAAGCCTCTTCCAAGTATCACACCGAACACGAAGATGTTTTCATAGCTTTCCTACCACATGTCATTACCAACGCGCAAGCGAAAAGCTATTTGCAGATGCAGAACGGGAGGAAGCAGAAGAAGCTCAATGCCCTAAACCAAGCATTTCCAACATTCCTCAACTACAGAGCCAGGATGAAAACTGGACAGGCGAAGAATCTATACGAGATGCTGTGCTGCGCATGCTCGTCGACAAGTACAAGCCTATGCGCTCGGGGCCTATCAGGACGGCTGACATGAAGCTGAGGGAGGCGCCGCCGAAGGTGCACACAGATGCACATGTCGTCGAACGACCTGCCCAAGGGTGGCAAGAACTTGCAAACAAACCTTTGCTACCTTCCATAGAAGGTCACAAGCCTTGGCTTACTACTTACAAGGCCCCTTCTCATGCGTCTGCATCCATTAAGCTCGGCAACTTCACACCTGCATCCGCACGTACACCTGGCGTCCATGCTGTGACGGACGAACGCACTAGAAAGACAGAGAGGGAGCTTGCCAGACGAAAAGAGCAAGCAGGACGACTGTCAAGAGCTAGAGAGTCAACGTTGGATTATCGCTTGGGCCTGAAGAACAGCGAGGGGCAACACACTGCTGGTCGGAACCCTGTGAGTATGAGGGGGTGGCAGGCCTTGATAGAGGACAAGATACAGGTTGGCTTCGTCACTCATTCGGAATTGTTTTGTTCTTACATCGAAAGATAGAAAGCTCGAGCTGCCGGACATTTTGACAAAATCAAAGGGCGAGGTCAGCCTATGGTCAGATTGAGCGACGAGCACAATCCTTTCATTGCAAGAGAAGAGTTCCTCATGAACCGGATTGTTCAAAGGAATGGGGCAGCTCCACCATGGGTTGAAGTACAAATTGGTGGGTGACTTATTTCTGTGAGATCTTCAAGTTAACCATTATATTACAGAGCTCGAGACTGCAGTGAACTCGTTTCGCGATGTCCTGCGGCAGTCGTGGACAAGGCGTGCAATTCGGACTTTAACAATGTTACAACCAGCGACTATGTTGCCTTCATTATCGCTGGGCAGTGTGACATCATTGCGCGACCGCGAGTGGGAAGAACGAGAGTGCTCTTACCACGACACAGCCATCGCTGAATTGAATTCTTTGGTGCGTAAATACAATGCCCTTGCGCCATATTCTGTGCGCCGCCCATATTATTCTCGAGAGGCCGAATTAGCCAAGGCGTATCAGGATTGCGGGGATGACATTCTGCGTGAGATATCAGAGAGAAGAGAGATACATGGCAAGTCTGGTGCCTCACCACCATTTGAAGTCGAGTCTTCTGTGGACGTCGATGCTTTGAGTTCAACGACTTATCCTTTGAGGTTTCGAGATATCATCCGTCGGTGGTTTATGAAGTTGCGAGGGAGATTCTTCAATGTATCCTGAACGACGCGCTCGCACGGCTGATCATACATACACACATACATGCATGCATTGTGCCCGGATGAAGTTGAACAGCTGAACGGCTCAAGGCACGCCCCACATCTATTCTAGACCCCTCGATTGTAGCTAACAATTCATACTACATGCATTTGTATCCTTGTCCTTGTGTTGTTACCGGAGATCCAGGAATCCAGGAGTGCGCCGGCTGCCTTCCATAGCCGATTTTTGTCCATTGTGTTGGATCTGATACCGCGGAGGCATTCATGTCCTAGTCACATCAGCGTTGTTCCTCAGGCCTCAGGCCTCAACGTCCACGAAGTACTGCAGTCGTTACGACAATTAATACATACAAAAACGACGACAATACTGAGCACGATTGAATAAATCGGAATTCATGCGATTTACGTGAATTCGGCATCCCGGACATAACTCGGCCGCAAGGGACAAGAAGAAACGAGGCGTTTACCAACTTTTGCAAATTCCCTGGCCTGCCAGGCGCTGCCTCGTGTCTGCCTCGCCTTTTCCGGAGGTCATTGACCGGACATCTAATCTATAAAAACCCACCCTTTTGTTTATTTAATTCTCCCATCCTCAAGACTTGTATTCTTACAACCCCACCTTTTCTCCTACATCCCGCCCACCGTCGCCGACCCCCATCATGGCCATCTACGAGGAATACGCAGCGCTCCCTATTGCCAGCGACATTACGGTGAATTTTTCGCTTTTCCCCAGTGCCGAATAAGCTCTAACGATACTTTTTTGTAGCCTGGTGACATTGTCGCTGTTAACCACGACCGCTATGGTCGTCAAGAGGGCCTCGTCGTTGGCTCTCGTGTCGACTTCGCTGTAAGCCCCGACTTCTTCCGCAATAAAAATGCATAAGGACTCATCCCACCTCACAGGGCCGACAAATCCTCGAAGTCCAACTCGAAGCCTCAAACGAAATCTACCAAGCATGGTACAGCTGGCACATTTCTCACCCCAAATCCAATATCTAACGCAGCCCAAAACCACAGGTACCCCACTGTCACCCGCGTCAGGCGAACAGTCTCCTACACCCGACCTGTCGTCGCAAAACAGCGCACCGTTGAGCGCCGAATCTATTGGTGATCGTATTTCACCCGGCCTTATTTCTCTCCTTGGTTTGGATTGTCGAATTTTGTATTATCTAAGTATAAGTATCTACCCTGCGGCCAAGTCGACGTGGTCATGGTGCTCTTGCTTCTTGCTTCGGTCATGGGGGCGATGTTCAATACGGTACATAGCTCGCGGTGGCTACTGGTGGACGCGATGCCGGGCATGGCGGAGGTTGCTTGTTTCATTCAACTGATGAATCTACGATGATTACTAGAGGTCTTTTAACGGGACATTAGGTCACACGTACTTTGATGATCGTGACAAAATGACATGACCTTGACATGTACACGATTGGCTGCTGTCACCTCTTGCGTGAGCGCAGGTACGGCCTACTAAACATTGCGTGACGTGGCGGCAATCACGGGTTATCGCGAATACAATACTTATTGTGTATCTCACTATTGTGCACTGCATTATTGGGGACAGATAAGCGCTGTTAAACGCCGTAGATGACTTCAGTCCAATCGGTATTCAATATTCAATGAGTACCAGCACACATAGCTAAGTAAATTAGTAGAGACCTCAACATGTGGCAGGCTAAGCTATGCTAAAGATACAAGAGCATAATAAAGTTAGATGATAATGAGGACTACAGAAAGGCAGTTATGCTTTCTGGTCGACAACAGATGAGGGGTGTGTAGGCTGAGGGGATTTGGGATGGCGAGATCCTGGTGGACGAGCGGTAAGGGATGAAGACGAAGATGACGCACGTTGATGTATATGCATGATATCTGGTGCTGATGCCCAGAGAGAAGACGAATTGGTAGATGTGCTTGACATAGAAGCCTGCGACAAATTTGCTTTCAAAGGAACAGCGCTTCCGTTCATTAGAGACGGAGTCGATGCAGATAGAGACTCTCGGTCCCGTCGCGCAGCTGAAATACTTCTTCTCCCAGCTACTACGCTCCTCACAACTCTCGGACCCATCACACCCCTCCCTCTATTCTCCACAATATCCCCATCTACCAGCGAACTTGCAACCGATGTCGTTGACCCGTTCACGCGCGGCTTGAGTGTCTCCTCTGAGCTTCGTGGTGAGTTGTGATGTGGGTAAATGCCAGGGCGCGACTGTACCACGCGCTCGTAGTAGAGCATAAACGCCCCAGAACCCTCTTGCACCACTGTCTCTATTCCGCATTCCTTCACTGAATCGTCGCTGATCCGTAGCCATCCCCGCCCAGGGCGATACATGGAGTCCACAGCTTCGTCGTCGTCGCGCACGGGCCCATAGCGCTGGCACCTTTCGCAGTCGCAGCCAAGTGGGTCGGCGAGTCTTGGTGGTGCGAAGCGCCGCGAGCCGTAGGATACAGGCCGGGGTTTGCGCCGATAGCAAACGTAGTGACCGAAAGAATGCTGACCATAGTGACACACAACAGCAGAAAGACGGTATATGATTCTTTGCACGGCATATGTTGTCGGTGTAGGAGTTGTGGAACGAGGGAGTAGGGGTGGTTGTGACGAGATGGGAACAGAAGGTTTGGTGGAGAGGTTGCCAGAGGTTGTGAATGGTGTGAGATCTAGAAACTCGGGAAACAGAATGCGAACTGTGTTCTTAGCAGCATAGTGGCCGTAGCTGAGGGATCGATTGAGATGCAGTGCGAGAACTTGAGGTGGCTGTAGAACATCTTAGATACTCGGGGGGCACAAACGAAGCTCAGACTTACTCTTGCGATCATAGCTTGCTTTGTTGATGCTCTGCTAAACACTTTCTCCAGCTTGACGCCCTTGACTTCCTCTTCTAGTCGGCCATGATCTAAGGCAGACTGCACTTTGAGTTCTAGTTTTCTAGCATCCTTCATTCGTTTCCTCTTTGACACAGAGGCAGTAGGGTCTGCAATCACTGCTGCTGCCAACCGGTCTGCCTCTTGCCTAAGCCTCTGGTGCGTGGCCTTCATCGAACATTTGCGACATATGCAGTCGTTCAACATCTCAAGCTTAGTGTATTCCGCAAGGCAGTCTTCCAAATGACAGCTGGCCTGTGTGCGAGTTAAAGTATATCGATGACCAAATCAATCAACACATACGGCATATCGAGGCAAGGCAAGTTGCCAGCTATCGAAAGCAAAATGCATGACTGCTTCTGTGTAGCCACATTCAACGCAGCTGCGTCTGTTCGCTGTGAGCCCGTCGAACACGCTCTTCCCAATCTCCTTATTGACGTCATTACGGACTTGAGAGAGTCCACCTAGACCACGGTCCCGTTGGCCCTCATTATCAACTGCAGCCACTTCCTTCTTGATGCATTCGGAGACGAGTTGGAATAATTCCTGTGCATCTTGATGTTCCCGAGAGGAAAAGAGGGAGTTATGTTTGCTTCTGGAGTGATTGACGAGGGTGGCGATCATGTCGAGTGGACGAATTGAATGATAAGCAGAACGAGGTGTATTAAGGTCTGTAGATGTCTGTCAAATGCGCAGCTGTGGTGCTGTATGACGGCACGCACCTTGGAGCAAAGCCAGGAGGGCGTCCACGACAGGTGATGGCACATCAAGTTGAATGGCCTTGGCTTGCGTGTACGAGAGATAAGGGTGTAAATAGGACAAGGATGCCATAGCCTGATTGCAGTAGTGTGAATCGGAGAACTACGATTCGGATTGAGCACCTTACTTGCATAGTTGAGTTCATGAAACAGTACGTTCCGGATATATTGACAAGACCGGGGTAATAGCCATCATGAGCATCGTTTTTGTGCTCTGAAACTGATGTGTTGCAACAATTAGATTATCACATGAGAACAAGTACATACGTGGTCTTGCATGTCCATTAAGCTCGATCTGTTCACTACGAGTGCGTAACACTTTCTTCTTGAGTTTTTTAGTTTCTTGTTGGGTACCGGAGGATGATGACCAGTTCCACGGCAAGCTGAATGAAAGGTTCTCAAACACCATAGCTAACCGCCAGGCGACTGGTGAAGATGATCCAAGGCTGAATACCGTCTGGACGAAGAGCAGGACAATAAGCGGGAATAAAACGAAAATGGCAAGGGGGGTTATTTGAAGAAATAAAGGGTCTTTGAGTAAGGCGAGAGACCAAGAACGGAATTCGTCTTGAATGTTCATGGGGGGTTCAACTTTATGCTGCTCTCCAAGACATGAGCAGCAATAGCGACGCAGCAGCTCGGGGAACACGAACCTTTATGTTGTTGACATGCTCGTTCGTTCGTATATAATATGGCCACGCAATTCAATGAAACACATGGCTACCTGGCGCAATGGTAGCGCGTTTGGCTTCGATTGCCAGCGGCACCAAAAGGTTGCAGGTTCGAGTCCTGCGGTGGTCATTTTTTTTGCTGTTAATAAAATCACAAATTATTTTACATCTTCTTCTTTTTACTCCTCGTAACACGCGTGCCTATGAAACTCACAAGGCCACCTCCCTATGGCTATACCTTCTCCAGATATCACTCGCCTCCCCTTTTGTTCCTCGTCATCTAAAATAATTACATACTGCTCATCTGTTCTTTCATCCACGTAATGCCACTTCCCACATACGCCATCGCCAAACGGGTGTGGGAACAGGTCATCATCCTCGGGCTCCGATGGATCCGCCAGGAATGGGTGGTATAGTGCTCCCCGCGGAGTAATGCGTCGTGTTGACTCGGGATGCATTACCTCCGCTAGAAGAGAAAGTGCAGCTTCGACCTCAATTCGGTGCGATTCAGCTGTCGGGGGTGCTGGTATATTGGCACGCGTGGGGGTAGTGGAGCGTGACCGAGAAAATCTGGTCTGTCCGTAGCTGTATGATGGAGAAGATGACGGCGGCGGATGGTTGAGTCCTCCAGGAGAATGTGTCTCGTGGTCATTGTATGGATAATATCGAGGATCTGGCGTACGAGGTTTGAATATGTTAGGATTTTGTTTTTCAACGAACTCGCGCCAACTTATGCCCTCTTGCGATATTGAAGGCACATTTGTCGCAAATGTCCGACCTGTATAGTACTCATGAGCTGAAAAGTTTAAATTAAATGCGATAGTTACTATGCAGGATCGCAGTTTTCTCCATTTTCTGTCGTCCGATAATGGTAGCTATTTCCATGAGAGCTTCTATATCATCACTGGACTGCAGAAGAGGGAATTTTCCCGCCAGGAAGAAGAGAAGGATCATGCCAGCTGACCAAACATCAATGGCTAGGCGCAGCGCGTTCAGCCAGCGCGTCGGATTAAAAATGACATGTCGTACCACCGGTTTGCTGGCTGCACTTTAGAAGGACTTCGGGGGCCCGGAAGCCTCTCGTGCCTGCCCTGTTTGCTTTTGATGGGGCTCTAGTTCACAGGGTCAGTAAGCGAATTACTTGGAGACGAAAGCTCACCTCGTATCCTTGTCGGGATAGCCAACACGATCGCTTGACCATGAACTTTTCTGTCGGGCTTCCCTCTGCATCTTCTTCAGGAGATCAACATCATAGTCATTCCGACCTCTTATTTTTCCATGAGGATGCTCCCGCGTGGCAGAGGTATGCAAGCATGCTCCGTGCGCCGGCGTGGATCCATCCATTCTCTGAAAACATGTTATAACGGATACTTGAAGCACATGTCTCACTGCTCACACTTGCGAGGCCAAAGTCGCACAAGGCACCTATGCCTGTTCGAGGATCATACAGAAAGTTGGCAGGTTTAACGTCCCGATGTATGATACCTCTGGCATGAATATCACGTAACGCACGGAACATACATCGAAAGTATGCTTTGATACCAGCCATAGACAAGTCTTTGTAGAATTCCTGACCTAACGTTAAAGCGTCTTCCATATGTAAACCGGTGCACCCACTCGAAAATCTTCGTTGCGGGTATATGGCATGATAGCGACCACCTGATCTTGGTGTCGGAACGCGGTGATAAGCTGAGAAGTATGACGGCATCCCCTGCAATCTTCCATGATCGAGATCTCGTTTCGTATTCGCTCTGGATTGCTTGTGACATATATTCGTTTTATGGCGACAAAGACTTTGGTACCGGGGGAATAAGGGGCTGATTGGTGATGTGCGGAGGATGTGGGAGGATGGTAGCCATGCCACGCAGTGTTGTCCCATTTATAATGGTAGGCCAAATCTATGGCCTTGTATACGGAGGAGAATGTCCCTGTGCCAAGGCGATCGACGATGGTATAGTCTTCTGATAACGACGGAACAGCGTTGTTGAGATTGGCAATTTCTAGTTGGATTTCTTGTTGTTCTTCTGGTGGTTTGAGGTACAACGTCTTCTCTTCGTCCGTTTCACCATCTGCGTCGGCGTCTTCATCAGGGTCTTCGTCGTCGTCGTCAAGATTGCCCATATCATGCGGTGCTTCAAAATTCATATCGTCAGCGCTTTCCATGCTCTCGTCGAGATCTACGACCGGCAGCTCGTCTGGGTGACTTGGCCGCCTTCGCTTGATAGTGGAGGGCACAACGCCTTGTTTTGAATAAAGGTGTGCAAGATGATTGTGATACTCGACCATATCTGGGCTTTCGAGGCCATTGTGACCGTCCTCGGAGGTGGGGCTTGAAAGCACCGTTTGTATTCCGTGCCGAGACATATTCCTCGTGGTAAGCTTTGTTACGAATATCAGAAGAACCGACTTCAAGAGGATTAGATGAATGCTGAGAGAGTAGCATGGTGGCCATGGCGCGTCTGGCCGATGTGAGTAATGGCCAGCTTGTTCAGGTGTCGTGGTAAGTAGAAAGCATCTTTAAAACGCTAGCCTCGTCGCGACAAACGCGCTAGGGTCACGTGAGCTAGATAAGCACAAGACAAACAATAAAAAAGTGACCACCGCAGGACTCGAACCTGCAACCTTTTGGTGCCGCTGGCAGTCGAAGCCAAACGCGCTACCATTGCGCCAGGTAGCCATAATGTATCTGTATCCTGTCTCATTTTCACGTAGAAGGACTTAGTTACCAAATTAGCTACTGTTGGAGTTAGGCTTGCGCCGACACCATCTCTGTCATGGCGCTCAATTGGACGATGCTGGATGCGAGACACCAGCCTATACCCTTACACGATGAGTCCACTATCATGTCCATAGATCGTGATTCGCAAGTGGAGTTCTCCATGACCATACCTGACGCGCCACCTTCGGGCATTGCTGCCACCGGGGGCAATGGTGGGGTGAAGAAGATGAAGGAGAGAGGGAAACTCTGGCTGACGAACAAACGAGTATGTTCATCCTTCCCTTCAAACATTAATCAATCTGATTTTGATGTACACTAGCTGATCTTCACAACACCCAAAGGGGGAAAGCCCAAGCCGTCATTCGAATCGCTATCGATACCACTGGACGCGATCCTATCTAGCAAATTCGAACAGCCTTACTTCGGCGCTAACTTCGTGGTGCTTGATATCAAGCCCTCAGTGGATGGTGGGCTTACAGACGGTACGAGCGTCGAGATCCGGTTTTATGACAGGGGGTTATTTGAGTTCGTGAGTGTCTTGGAGAAGACGCGTGAAAGAGTCGTTTATATGAAGAGGCAGGCGGCCATGGAGGACGATGAGAACTTACGTGAGTACTCATTTCAGACAGCATCGATATCTCTAATGCTAATGTGCTTGTGCTGATAGCTGCGTATACGTCATCCGGTTCCGCACCGGGAAGTTCAAATTCATATGCGGATACCCCACCTGGATATGTTGCTTGAAATCATTTTCTCCACGCAGCATCATACTGTGTACCAACAACATCGGACTTCGTAACAAGGAATGTAATATGTGTACACTTTTTCTATCGAACTTTTGGCCTTGTCGTTCATGCATGCTAGGTGTTATAATATTAATGCGTTGTTTGCAATATCCGTAAACATCTTAGCTAGTGATCTATGATCTATACGCCGATATTCGCGGCTTTTTGTTGTTTTTGGGTAATTTTGTAGTCACGAGTAATTATCCCGCTGCAGGGCTATCATTCTAGGCGGCGAGAACACTATCACGAATTTCTACGCTGCCACGAGCAACCAGTCTTAGATTGGCCCTGTGGGATCAAAATATCCATGATGTTTTATGTTTTGGAGGTCCTTCATTCTCACCAGTGACCTCCGCAGAACACGGCATCATTGACCTTTAGCGTGTTTATTGCGTGAAATTTATTTGACATCAAATCGAGTTCCTCGACCCATCGAAGAATTAGTTTGACGAGGATTCTCGACCTTGAAGTCGGTTTTTTTATTCGGGTCGGAGCCCATGAATCTCACACTTGGTTCGTCTACCGTAATAATGAGGTATACTTTGTAGAGAACTATGCCTTAAAGCGGTTGTGATATTCCCACTAAACGCGGAGAACTGCGGGGAACTAACTTATACAGGTACGACGATTCATATTGAACCACATATTTCATTCGTCATCGTCCAAGTGATTAGATGAGTCTTAATGCCAGCCTATGATTACATGGGATGGATGCACCAGCAGGATGTGTTTGTCGGCCGATGTACGACAGTTCAAGTGAGTGTCGGCATATGTATCGTACCTGAAGTGATGACCATAAGACGTCAGACAGCATTATCATCGAATCATATCGAAGTTAATTCTTGCACATCATTCTCTCGTGATAGAAGGCATAGGTTTAAACTGGACAGCCTCATCAGATGTGGCGATGAATACCAGACGTGAATAGGTCATTTAATATGGCTTGCAGAAGTAGATCAAGTTAACACACATCATGAATATCACCACTCCAACTTCCCTAGTGCAGAACGTACTCCCTCCATTCAATGCATACATCATGATTGGACCAGTGGTGCTGGGTGCGCTAGTTAATGCCTGCCTCTTCGGCGGTCTCGTCATTCAGACTTATGTCTATTATGCGAATTTCCCCAACGATCATCGAGTAGTGAAGCTCACGGTCAGTGAACCCAGTGTGTGAACTAAGAACACTAATCGCTGACTGAACGCCATGATTCCAGGTAGCAGCCATCCTGTAAGTGCCTTATGTCGCTTTCCTACCTGCTTTGCCCAAGCCAATCGAATTGTACAGCGCATCACAGACTGCACATGTGATCTGTGTATCAGCGACACTGTGGAAAGTTGCTGTCAGTGGCTACGGCAACCCTCTCACGCTGTCGATCTTCCCGCTTGGAGCAGACGCGGCTATCCTCTTCACTGCAATTACAGGGACACTAGTAGAAGTAAGATGATCTTTCATCGAATTGATGGATATTCTGACTGGTATATATGCAGTCATGCTTTGCGTTTCGGCTGTGGAAGCTTTCGAAAACACTTACTCTGCCCCTTATCTCGCTAGCACTGTGTTTACTAGCTCAGTCTATTGCACTCACGATGACAGTGAAAGCTTTCGCCATGACAGACCTTCTGACGTTTGAAACTGACGAAAACAGGCTGATCACGCTTTCACTGACCTCTCGTCTGGTTTGTGAGTTGACACTTACCTTGTCCATGGTGTGGTATCTCAGGAAGCAACGGTCGTCGGCATTTGTGAGGTACGTTAAATTAGTTCCAATCTGTTCCGTCATAATGATTTACAGAACAACGACCGTAATTGACCGTTTGGTTCTGTGGACTCTCGGTGAGCACTGAGCACTTTCTGGTAGATATGACTCACCTTTCCAATCACTACGCAGAAACTGGCCTTATAACTAGGTGTGTGACAAGACCTTCCTGGTGCAGTGTTGCGGCTAATTGTCATGTTCAGCCTGGTCGTGGTTTTAGTCATGAGCTTCGTAAGAGATCCTTTTCTAGATACAAAGCATTGAACTGATTGTGAAAGACTAGTTCCTAACAATGAAGCAGAATTGTGAGTCAACCGGGATATATATCCTTCGTCGCACAGTGAATTTTTTGTAGACATATGGGTTGGATTATATGCAACCCTTGCAACTGGTCTGTGTCCGCAAATTGCACGCATTCGAAACACTTATTTAGTCTTTGCGTCTCAGTGAATGCGAACTCATTACTTGCATCGTGAGTTTTCTTGACTATTTTTATGACGCGCTCATGCGGTTGTAGACTAAACGGCAGATTAATCCTCCGCGTGCCGAACCAAAGCTTGAACATGAATCCTCCGAGTAGTTCAGCTGGTAGGCGTAGCCGTGAAACTCAGGTTCGTAGAAGTACTGTCGTCTTGCGATGTGGTTTACTGAAGTCGTGTGAAGTCTCTTGTGATCAACGTCACGCAGACAGTCGGAACTGTTCCAGATGTTTTCAAATATGACGAGGGTGAAGTTTAGGATCGAGGAACTGGATAGTGACAATCCATACGTTATGTGATGAGGCTAGCATAAATCAACTACCGGTCGCCGATTTGGATACACGTATGGGAATACCGAGAAATGTAGACAAAGAGCCAGATGATAACTGTCTGTTTCAAGGAGGCATCCACGAGGCGCTATTCTCCAGAGGCTGTGAACATGTATCGGTAGCTGATCGGTCTCAAGCCTTAGCCGTTGCGTCGGTTATTCAAGATATACCCGTTGGCTTAAGGAACTAGACAAGGTACCACCTCAGGCTTGTCTATTACGGTCAAAGTGATCTGCATTGTTCATGCTTTAGAGCAAGAGTCTTAATATAAACGCGAGACAATCACACAGACAGAACAGAACTACTAACAGAGTACAATGAGCCTAGTGAGCACTGAAAAAGCAACTCAAATGATGACCATCGATCGTCAGATAAGATTCTGATTCTAGATCACAACGGAGGCAGTCCATACTAACATGTCCGACCATTTAACTTCCGTTGTACTCGGCGGCGTAAGTTCAAACTAGCCTGTATTGCATCAACTCTTTGCGCCGAGCGGAAGAAATAAAAAGGAGGTTTAATACAGGTCGGGGAAGCGGACAGGACGCTACCTCGCATCATGGATGCTACGAATTCCAGCACCTCCTTGTCTTTTGAAGTCGCAGCATTCAATCCATCCATCATCGTCGGACCTGTGGTGTTGGGTGCACTCGTTGATACCTGCCTCTTTGGCTGTCTCGTCATCCAGACGTATGTGTATTATGCGAATTTTGCCAACGACCATCGAGCGATTAGGTTCACGGTCAGTGAAACCGATACGAGGCACGAATCACTGACTTGATGTGATCTTTCCAGGTAGCAGCAGTCTTGTAAGTGGCCTACACATCGTTGCTTCCTATCCAGACCAACTAAATTGTATAGCGCAATACAAGTTGCACATGTAATGTGTGTATCGGCAACACTGTGGAACACTGCTGTCAGCGCATACGACGACCCTTCGAAACTTCAGATACTCCCATTGGCATCCGCCGCGACTATTCTCTTCACTGGGATTACAGGGGCACTTGTTGAAGTAAGATTCTTCGTCGAATTTGATGGTGATACTCACCTGCACGTAGTCGTACTTTGCTTTTCGACTGTGGAAGGTTTCGAAAAAACTCCTTCTTCCCATTCTCTCGCTGGTACTCTGCATAATAGCTCAGGTTGTCTCAATCGTGATCACAGTGCAAGCTTTCAAAACGACAAGCATTGCTGTATTCGAAGTTGATCAAAACACGCCGATCACGCTTGCCCTCACTTCGCGTGTGCTCTGTGATCTGATACTTACCCTGTCCACGGCGTGGTACTTGAAGAACCAGCGGTCGGGATATTTAAGGCAAGCCACAACACTTCTAGTTTGTGCTGCTGCGATGATTTTGCAGGACGACGAACATGATCGACCGTTTGGTTCTGTGGACTATTGGTGAGCACTGTGCTCACTTTCCATATGACTCACGTCCAATCAACCACTCCTTAGAAACCGGTCTGATAACCAGGTATGATGAAAGACGACGATCTTGGCGTGTTTAGACTAAAGTTATGTTGAGCCTGGTCGCAGTACTTGTCATAAGCTTCGTAAGAGACCCTTTCTCGGGCACGCAGTACCAAAATGACTGACTGTAAAAAATGTGCAGTTCCTAGCAATGAAGGAGACTTGTGAGTGAACCAGGATCTCTATCCTTCGCCACCAACTGAACTTTTTGTAGACATATGGGTTGGATTATATACAATCCTTGCGAGCGGTCTGTGTCAGCACGATGCATATATTCGGAACGCTCACTTAGACCTTACCTCGCAGTAAACGGAAATTCGTTGCTAGCCTTGTGAGTCAGTCTCATTCATTTGGCGACACAAGTTCAGGCTTTTGCAGGCTAAACGGTAGATTAATCTTCCGAAGCGTGACAAGCGAAAACTTACACATGAGCACTCTGAGCGGTTCAGGTGGTGGGCGTAACAAACAAAATGTTCGTAAATGTATCATCTTGCAATGCAGTGTACTGAAGTCATGCGAAGCCTTTTGTGATCAATGCCACCCAGACAGTCAGAGGTCCTCCCGAGGTTTTCAAATGTGATAAGTGGGAAGTTTAGGTGTCCATGAAACTGCCGGATACTTAATGATGGCATCTCATACGTAGCATGATGAAATTACTTCTCTGGTGAAGACCGAAACCCTTCTGCCGGTGAAAGCACAAGGCTTTAGTGGTACTTACTCAAGTCTCCAGGCCGAAAAGCTTACCCGTAATTGCATCATGATGGTCGATAAAGCCTGCGCTGTACCCTATATTATCAAACATCGTGTTATGGCCGAAAATTTGTGAGAAGATTGGTGAACACTGAACGTTAATAACTGAGTACTTTGATCGGCTGACGCGTGACGACGTAGTCCTTCCGGTACCCGCGAATGTCACTGAGGTCACAGTATGTTACATAGGCCGGTCACAAAGTCCTCGGCTTGAACATATAATGGAGGTGGGCAATGCCCGCAAACACTGCGTGACGCTTATATAATCGAAAAACTCCTGATTAGCTCAAATCCGTGATACACTGCCAGCGAAACAACAAAATAGTATGTATTGTGGTGTAGAATACATCAACTAACCAGTAAGTGCATTACAACGTCAGAAATACATAAATCTAATGTATATCATGTATGTGCGCTGAAACGAATGACCAATATTCCGTATATTAGGCTGACTCTTCGTGGCCTGTGGCTGTAACGATGGTTAGAAAATCTACGTCGTCTACAATGTCACCTCGGGCGCGACCTTCACATCGCTGAATGAGAAACTTAAGTACACGATAACGCTGCGCTGCTTCTTCGACTTAAAGTGAGAAATCTTACGGATTTTTATCTCGTCTTTGAGGCGCCTGCGGAGTTCAAGCTGATCTTTCAGTGCAGGATCTAGCAAAGAATTGAGGGCAGCTTGATCCATGATGAGCTGAATGTTAGAGAAGTAATCTGCTTTTTCAGCTTTCTTGTGTGTAGAACCGAGGATCTTAGAAATGGGAACACTGTTGCTGACGAGCGCGCTGCTGTCTGTGATCCGAAACTGCCTCTTTTGGTGGTAACACGTCTGTGGCTGAGAAATTGATATGTTAGGGGCCCTCGCTCTAGTTCATGCGACAGGGACCATAATTCTGATGCCACGACAAAGCTGACACACGGAATTTACTCTGTGTAATCTCTAGATCATGAATAATACAACCATTTTTGAAGATTTCTTCATTTGCCAATATTTCTCGTACCCGACACACGTGTATCTCTGGGAAATGAACGAGAACATGAAATCCGCTCTATTTTTGATGTTCCATATGTCGAAATAAGAAGGTTTGCCTCTGAGATTATGTTCTACGAGCATTGTGGCGGTCCCAATGCCATGTTCTTCGTCGTGTATCATGCTCAAAGCACAGTGGTGGCTGTGACCCCATCGTGGGAATCAAATTTGTCCTGGCGTGGATTGCCCACCTCCACATATAAGTCGGGAAGTACAGATGATGGCGGTCCTAGCTGTTCCTCACTCTCCTACTCGCCGCTACTAAGATCAGCTACATAGTCGTTCCTACGACCAGATTTCTGCTCAGGTCACGTACTTGCAGTCCCGCGAAAGTCCATTCAATTCTCAGAACATTCAATCCAGTCAAAATGTTCGTGGAAATCGCAAAATTTCTCATGAAAACTTCCTCGATGTCGAGGGTTGGGTCTGCGTCGTGTCAGGCGGTGGAACCGGCCTCATGATTGCACAAGCCTTTGTCAATAACGGGGCCAAAGTCTACAACACGTCGTGCTGCTAGGCGTCCTTGAAACACACCACAAAACAATGGGGTTCTTCTCTAGCTCATCCTAAGGGGAAACTTATTCCAGCCACTTGTGACGTTACGTCGAAAGACTCGATCAAACATTGAATTGGTCCAGGAGATCGGCAAGCAGGAAGATCACATTGACCTACTTGCGAACAACGCTGGCATCAGTGAAGGTAAGAGTTCGGATGTCAAGAAGGGTGATCAGAGTGCAAAGGCTCTCGCAATGGAGTTTTTTTCGGCGAGGACCAGGCCAGCTGGGAGAATGTTTACAGGACCAACATCATCAACTGTTTCTTCACGATTACAGCATTTTTCCCCTTCTCAGTCTGGACTCTGGACAGAAATCTAAAGGATCCGGTGTCTCAGCGAAGCACATATTATGGTGTATCTCATCTGATGAGCTTTTGCTGCTGCCCTATAGCTCTTATATTTTCCTCCTTGAATTCCAGCAAGGGCTTCTTGAACCTGCGACTCGCGCTGGACCCCTTTGCTCGGATTTGGGGAATGGGCACCTAGCAGATTTGCAAATTGCCAGTAGTGAGCGGTTTGGCAGAAATAAAACTCCGCTACGACGGCAGACTCGGCTTGGTGACTACCTTTGCAAGGATCTCAATCATTTCTTGACCAATTTCAAAGATTCAACTTCGCAATAGTATATTACAAGTGTACAATGATATGTGGTCAAGCAGAATATGATTTGAAGTAGAGTCGAGTGAGATGTAGCAAAGTGTCCGAACCAGTGGCTTGTGGTAACCGATAGTATTAATATATAAGTTGTAGCCCATTGTATGCAAAAGAACTTCAACGATTACTACGCAATATTGCACTTGATATAATACAATAATATTGCAACGAGAAGGGATAATCAAGGCGGTGTAGCAATTAAGTCAAGCACTGCATGTATATCTTATTGAATAGATAAACTACACTTTCCCCAATATAAAAATGTCGATTAGGCTTATCGGTACTGTCAACCTAAATATCCCTCCTCTGATCTTCTCATGGTCTGGGCATGATGGAATCCTCTCGGACGTTGCCATAGTACATTGCTCGCGGCCCCGAGTGGGGATTCTCCAATGCGGCGCCGGCAGTAGCCCACGATGTTATGTTCAAGTTTGGGATGAGCGACGATAACGTTGGAGTGGCTACTCTGCGAGGATGAGGGCGTGGCATGTCAAGGCCTTCCCGTGGACCGGCCTCGTCTGGCATGCGACTAGGTGGGGATGACGAAGTCACTGAGCCCGACACCGTCTGGCTCGTAACGAAGCTGAAATTTCTCATCGTCCTGCTAAGGGTCTGCAATACTGACCCGCCGCCGGCGCTGGGTTCAGTAGGTGTACGTTGTTCGACCTGGCTCATGTACGTTGAATGAATAGATGAGTCTGAAAGACCCCGTCTACGCAGGGTACGCTCGAGAAGGGGGCCAGGGATATCATCCGCTTCGCCGTGCTCTGGACTAGTGTCAGCGCGAATCTCGCGTGACAAGTGCGAATTGCTCCGCTTGTACGCGATGGGTCTGTCGATGGTCGTGGTATCGCTCTGCGAGGGCTCATCTGATTTGAAGAATGTGGAACGGACACGACGAGGAGCACGGGGAAGAACGACCCATGGGTCTGCAGTATCATTTGGGTGTGGTGCACCTGCGAAGATGCCCATGACACTGCGTACATTTGAGGTTGACGTAGGAGGGTGAGGAATGGTATCGACGTGAGACGTCGGGCCAAACGGATGTGCTTCATTTGCAGGGTGAGCTGAGAACGTGCTTGTTACAGACTTGCCAATGCTCGCCCCCGAGAATTCGACGTTGACTATGGTAGCAGATGCAGCAAGCGCCGGACCTAGCTTTGGCACCGGACGTGGCTGGTGAATAACTCCACGACCTCGACTTACAGGTCTAGGGGGTGATTGAGAAGGGTGAGTGCTCGACTCGCTTAACGATGAACCGAAGAGCTTCGAGAATGGGGCCATCCAACTTGAGCCCGGTCCAGACGCCTTCCTCTCTCTCTCCATCGCCTCAGCCTTTGCAGGGTCTAGCGCCATCTCACTGACCCTTTGTGCTATAGAAGGTTCTAGAATGACATCATTCAGTGTGACACGTAGCTGCCCAAGTTCCTCAAACACGTCCTTGAAAAACTTGAACAGCCCACGCAGATCCTTCCGGGTGCACATGAGGGTAACCTTTTCATCCTCCAGCAGCATGCGGTACTGTGCACGTAGCTGGGTGATCTCCGAGAGAATACTGCTTACTGTCGCGCGTGATAGGTGCTTAACGTCCGCGCCACGCAGGTGCTGACGTTTTAAGCGGTTTGTCAGAGTCAGCGCATCTGCCTGCGACATACGCAACAAGAGCGACATCATCCGTTCTAAGAGAGCAGATAGGTGTGAGGGTTGACCATCCTGAAAGGAGGACGTATCCGATCGGCCATCATGAGGAAAAGATGGCACAAACTCGTTGAGAGACGACATTGGATGCAACCCTAGACAGCGGTCTGTCTGCACCGCCTTGGAATGCTGATTAGGGTTGGGGAGCAACGAGTGGTGATCGAGGTCGAACTCCTCCACATCCGAGCTGAAGTGAGAAGATGGGTATTGCGGGTACAGATTGGTATACTTCGTTTCTGAGGGAACCATTGACTCTGCTGGAGAAAGTGGGCGCTGGCTGGTCTCGGGTGTGAGCGGCTCCTTAAGATCCGCGTAAGCCATCGGCTGTATGTGTGAGGGAAATACACTTACAAAGACATGACGAACTCTTGGCTCTGAGCTTGATGGACGTTTGACAGAGTTTAGTAGCTGAGTCAATCGTAAATGGATAGAAATTTAGATGAGTATATATCATCGTACCGAGTCTCGAATATATGATGATGGGCCACTTCCCGTCCGTGAATGTCTTGAAGGCGTATCCACTAATTATAACACCGTAAGTTGCTGTACACTGGACTTTGATATAAAACGCGGACCTCGTACTGCAGGTGGAAAGTTGACGTTCTCCTCCGCTTGTGATCGCAGCACTTGAAGGTCTTCTCTTGACTCGGTAAGAAGCTTATGGAGCTCCTTATTGTCGGCCTTAAGGACCTCATTGTCAGAGACCAGCGACTCTAGCACTTTCATAACCTCCGAGTCCTCGGTTATCACCGAACTAGTATGCTAAAGGTGGTCATTGGCGATTCGCTACATACGTTTGCGCATGTCCCTTACCGTGTGATGAAGATCTTCTAAACGAGAGCGGACATCTTGTAGTAGGGATTCTGACGATTCTAATCGTTGCAAGCGTCGAAGTTCGAGGTCAGCTTGCAATCGACGAACCTCAGCTTGTAGCTTATCTGTGTCACGGACATATAATCAGTAATCAGTAAAACCTGATTTAGAGACAATGAGAAAACCCTACCAGTACGGTCCTTGAGAGCAGCAATACATGCTTCTGCAGTCTTTGCCTTTTGTGCTTCACTGTCTTGCTCTTGCCGAAGGTCATCGTTCTCTTGGAGAGTAGCAGCTAGTCGAGATTCAATCCCTACAGTACGAGCTTGGTATGCAGTCAGGCGCGTCACCGACGTCCGAGCTTCCTCTAGCTCCAGGAGTACGGTCTTATGTGATGCCTCAGCTACTTCACAGTTCAATAACGCTTGCGTTAGCCGCTAGAATTGAAGTGTTAATATAACCCATTTTACAAGGAAAACTCCAACCTTCTCCAGGATAGCGTTATCTTTCACCAGCTCGGCCACAGGCGAATTGACTTCACCATGCATGTCTTGGAGTGACTCATCCACAAGATCATCTGAGGCACCGCATGGCGTGCGCATATTAGACTGATATAAAATAAGCTACGAAGGCATGTTGCGATCGGAACTTCACGTACCTCGTGTTGACTGACGTATGCCTCATGCCGCTGTAGTAGAGCAGACCCAACCTCTGTGTAGATGCTTGTGGACCACTCGCGTTGGAGACGACGGAAAGACATACCTGCGCTGAGATGCAACCGTTTCTCGAGCTTCTCCTTTGAATCCAGCCAACTCTTCGTCGCTTGACACTCGGCGTTACCACAACAGCAGCATATGTTCTGCTGGGACTCCGAGGACGATACTTGGGAGAGATTCATCAAAGCTAGAGTTAGGTCGTCGATGTTACTATTGGCATGGTAAAGGCTGCTTGCGTCCATGGTATCTGGAGTATCCGGACAGTAGTCCGAGGCAGACTCGTTGTGCATGACGAGACGAGTTGGTCGAATGTCGTAAAAGAATGGGTGGTCGTGAAGCTCAACGGGAAAGACAAGAATATATAGTATGTAGTAAGTAATAGGGTAACTTGAAGGTGTGCTCAGAATGGTAACAATATTTAGATGTCGTGGGAATGCTGCAAATCTTATTCAAATTAATGTGATCCAGGCTGGAGCCTGGAGGGCACGCCAACGCTGCACAGGGAGGTCAAGAGATCGGCGCAAGACAGTACTATGCTGCAAGGGCAGCAAGATCATAATGATATATATTCAATCGTATGTGTACCCTATGTCGCGGAATGACATGGCATTAGCAGTAATAGTGCTAGCAATCAGTGCGTAATTATAAGTATGTGCAGAAGACACCTGAAACGATGCAAGTTAGAAGTACAATACATGTTCTATACATGGCGTCCATGAAGAAAACCCATCCTGCTGAAAAGATTATTCCAAGCCGACAATTTTTAGAACCAAGTCAGATATCCAAGCAGCAATCTTCGACCAATGAACTCGATTGGGAGCCAAGAACTGGAAGCTCGTTGTGAGGCCATCCATACCTAAGTCTTCCAGTTTTTGCTTCAGGCTTTGCGCTGGATTGCCTTCGTCCACCGTGCTGAGCGTGGATACAGACATCGTGTGCATCGATCCCAGGCGCAGTGAGTCCTGTGCATTGCGGAAGATGCTCGTCACAGCTCTAATAATTGCAGCATTGGAGGAATTGGCGAAAGCATCTTTAATCCTGTCCTGCAGGATGTCATAGCTGCCAAAGAACTATCAGCACGAGAAAATTGATCATAAATCAGGACTTGCATGATTGAAACTGATTCGGGGTGTGCAACCCCAATATCTGCCAACAAATTATACAAGATTTCGGTTTCGGCATCATCCCCTTGTGCAGTGGTCAACAATGTGCTCGCAAACGAGACGGTGAGGAGTGCGGATGTGCTATCTGTCAAAGATAGCAATTCGACGGAAACGCGAGGAACGAGATCATTTTGACGAGAACGAGAGGAGTTAGGTCCTGGCAAAAATTCTTCTCCTTTACAGTCTTGCAGGAGCTGTACGTAAGCCTCGTGTGTCGTGCAGAAGGGGAGCAAGGCGATGAAGTAGCCAAGCGCATCTGGACACAGGCCCGAAGCGGAACCATCCTCAGATTGGTTATCACACCGTGCGGTGACTGACAACAAACTCCGCAAAACGAGCTCGGCAGAGGATCTGAGGTGGTTGTGGCGGACACCTTTGAAGATAATGGCGGCGAGTGTGAAGGAAAAACTGGAGTCAAAAGAAAGGCAGAGCAAGTGATCAAGTTGGCAGACAGTGTCTTCTAGTGAAACCCGGCCGTCCAGTAGTACGTTGGGTATCGAACTGCCCTGAAAGGCACCGTGCTTTTCCAGCGTCTCAACTGTCGCGCGCATGAGCTCAGCAGCGTCTGAATAAAACGCGGTGTAGCTGGATTGCAGCAAAGCGACAGCCAACCAGAAAATCTGGCAGAGATACCGGGAACCTTCGGTTAGGGAAGGCACTACTTTGCAAATGCACCGTAGCATGCAAACCACCGCTATCGTGTCGGATTCTGTGGACTGTCCTAGCGCGTTCTTGAACGCTACCAGCATCTGATACACTAGATCGTCATCAACATCGGATGTTGCAAGAGTGCCCAGGACGAGGAAAGCGCGTGACTGAATGACCGCTGGTAACTGGAATGCGGTTGACGTCGCTAGACTCATCCACCGTGCGCGCCAGATATTGAGTAGGCCTGACATATTATTTTAAACAATCCACAGTGTCAAGCATGGAACTCACCTCTTGAGCCAGACGTCACCTCCATCACTCGGACAAGCAGACGAGTCAAAGATTCTTGAGAGTCAATCACTGCCTTGTCGTTTGGAGGATCATAATTGCAGTATTCACTGGTGCACGACTGACGAGTGAGACCAAATAGCGTAAGGTTATCCACTTTGATGAGCTCGTCGATCAGAAGACGCAATTCAGGTGCGCTAGCATCCTCGGCTCGCATAAGGTATACAGACTGAAGGAAGTTCATGATTATGCCATACAATGACTTGCGAACTAACGTCTGTCCTGTGCCCGCGATGAGCGTAACGATATGGAAGATGTCGGGGATGTATAGTTGATCATATGCTGCTTGTTTCGAGTGGTTGCTGGCTACAAGCGCAAAACGAGCAAGGGTGGCAATCTCGTTCCAGTGGACATTCTCTGGCAGTGTCTTGGACGGTTTAAGGGAGGTTTTTCCAAGAGCTTTTCTTAACTTCGAGAAAATTCTTCCCCTGACATTGATGGACGACAGGGCAGCAGTTGACCTTGCGATAGTCTCGCATCTTCGGGACCCAATGCCGCCGTCAGACGCAGCACGGATGAGCTCTTCGAGAACTATGTAGACGAGAGTCGAATCCTGACGGCTAATTTCTACCCAGATGTGTCTGTGGATCATGGAATTTATCTACGATCCATTAGTACTCAGGGGCACCGTAGTGACTCGATCTGGACTTACCTCTAAGTCCGAGATGGTGAGGTCAATCAGTGAACGAATGCAATCTCGCAGCCTCGCTCCCGAGTGCTCGTACAATGAACTTGTCGGATTGCAGAACTTTGCGAGGTTCTTCACCCAAGGGCTCATATACTGCAAGCAGGTGATACGCTGAGCAGCGGTGGCCTTGTCCATGCCAGCGGATATGACAGAGATGAAATCGAGTGTGAGTTTAGGTGCAAAGCCAGCTAGGCGGTCACTCAGTCCAATGACAAATGTAGATATTTCTCCAGGTATAATTCCAGCTATATCGAGTTAGAGCGCTTGGATTGAACAACTTGAGGAGTTACTCACCCTTCGACACAATGATGGGGTTCTTGTCGTAGTTTAGATATGAACAGAGAGCGCCCAAAAGGTCATAGGCAGCTCCACGAAGTCCCTCATCTTCCGAGTCGATGTTGAGCATGCCTACATGGAGTAGCGTTGCGGAGATATTGGAGAACCTTGGGAACCTATCCATACGGAGATAGCGCGTATCCCTCAGTTGACTTTTGGCCGCACGAATGGACTGGGATATCGAGTAAATCAATCGTCGAGAACGTTTCGTAACAACTATCTTGATCTCACCTTGACGATGTTATCACGCTGTGGTGAGGAGAAGTAGGACGTTACACCTTGCTTGCTTCTGCGGATAATGAATTCGTAGGGATCGAGGCCAGTAGATACGTTGTATGCATCGCTAACATCAGCAAGAGAAATAATTTCCGTCGACTTGCAGTTTAAGTTTGGAGAGATAACAGCTGCACGGATCTATGACGCGTAAATTAGTTGTCGCTTCCTACAATTGAAGCGTCGATGACATACGGAAGTAACCCGGACATGAGTGTCCGCAACCTCCATAGTTACCGGCATGCGCATTTCATGGGCTTGCCTCATGGTGACTTCCGTATAGCCGGTGATACCTTCCTCCTCCAAAGAGGCTGGCGAGGTGATGAGAGAAATAACATTGTGTACAAACATATGTTTACTTACTTGGATATCGAAGTGCTGTAAGACTTTCCTGTGGGACATACTGCAAGAGTTCGGCAATTGACGAGCAGGCCCTTACCCCACTTGAGAGCATGGTTCCTAGATGAAAGGTTCGTGAGCTCATCAAAAGAGGGCGAAATTGTTCCTACCTGACGAAATGTTATACATCCGCCTCAGATACTTCTGGGTGAGCGAATTAGGGTTCAGGATATATGAAGTTAGAAAACGACGTCGGATATCAATCGGAATGAGTTGCGAGCATGTGGTTAGCCATTGCGCTGGTATTTCAGAAGTCGAAGTGAACGAAGTACAGTCTAAGACAACCTCGAACTTCCGGTCTTCGTAAGCGGGTGACAGCAATGTCTATTGCGCGGACATCTTCAGCACATCATGAATGAAGTGTTTCTAAAGTCACGTACCTTCAAACTGTGGTACATCAACAGCTCGATGTCCAGAGCTTCGACATCAATCTGGCAAACTCGCAGAACAAACACAGCAGGTGAGTCCTGTATGGCGTCAGCAACTATGGAAAGATGAAATGTATAATACTGACAAGAGGAACGTCTGCGGCTACGAAGATGTCCTGGACAGATTCAATGCTGCGGTGAGCACAGCGATTCATTAGGTCAATAAATTCCCGGTGCTCGGTCCGAGGAAGTTTCGAGAAACGAGGAACCTCAGGAACTTCTTGCAGTTCTACAAGTAAATTACAGAGGTGCTCCCATGCAGACTTTGCATTAGCAGTCGATGCATCTTCTTCTCCAGAGGCATTGAGTTTAGCGTAACTGAGTAACTCTTTACCGATCTTGTCCGCATGCTTGTCCAAAAAGCGATGGAGAACAATTGTGTCAGTGTCATCGGCTGTCGTGCCCAACCATTCGGTAGACTCCTCGTCGATAGCAGTAGATGAGAATTTCTATGAATGGTAAGGCTCCTGAAATAACTATCAGTTATGGGACTAACATTGACTTCGCTCAGATAACGCGTGATGCTCTTGATGTTTACACCCAAAAACTCGTTCAAGCAAAGCATGTGAGCCTCCTTCGCGAATAAGATGTTATTGGCAAGGTTCTGCATGACCTTTGCTATTACCATTAAGCCCCGGCGGATGACTCCGCCATCATCTCTGGGCACCGTAACATCGACAATCTCTGGGGCAACGATCGCGGGAGAAATGAACCTGCACAAAAATTTAGCACCGCTTGACTTGCTGGGATGAATGAACTGACCGAAGAAATATGAATGCACCAAGGGCAGCGAACTTCGATTCCGGCCAAACTTGATAACTAAAATATCATCAGCAATCGCTCATGCTTCGAGAAGGCAAGACAACTTACACTGATTTCGCAAGGTGAGCGCAAACTTCTCGAATCATCCTGAAAGTGATGTGAGCAGACAGCGGACCCATAGGTGTATGGTCACGCACGGTGGTAGGGCAGGGACCGAGGAAGTAATGATATCGAGGAAAGACAGGGCAACCAGCTCGACATTCCTCTTATTTTGTTCAAGCTTGTCTCGGTTAGCTTTGGCGGGGTCTAGATCATATGCGTGGCCTGCGGGCATAGACGTCATGGTCTTGATGAGAGGGACGATCAGACCCCGCAAATAGTTGTACCCGTGTATACGCGCAAACGCTGAGAGGAATCGCGTGCACGTCGAATTCCCACGGAAAAGATCCACCTCGCTAGCTGTGGGGCTCGGTGAATGGTCAGTTCTGAAGCACAAATGATTGACTTACAAGTGTGAGCTATTTCTCGGTCAATCATTGTTTTCAACAAGGCAACGAGCGACGCTCTCGTGTCGAATATATTCATTAGCACGGAGATCATCATGTCGACCTCATTGGCAGGACAACACTCGCAAATTACCATCGCAAGCACCATCTATAAAGATCGTGAATACTAATCGTGATACAAGAAAGATAACCCCCACGTCAGATCCTTTGACAAGCTAGACATACGAGTTAGCTGTGCTTTGTAGAAGACGAAAGGACGAGAACACACCTCTCGTAGTTGATCTCGGCGTGCTTGCAATTCAGGATTTCCTTGCGCCTCGAACTTGGTGCCCTGCCCAAGTACTCGAGCAAAGACGTTGACAAAGATAGTTCGCTTCCTCATATCGCCATCATATGCAGAAGCAATGCAATGTTTGACGGCGTTCTCCGAGTTTGAGGTGACGAGGTGCGAGAGGCCTGTAATGACCAAATCGCGAATGTCGGCCTCTCTCTGAGAAGCTTGCATTTTCTGGAAAAAAACATGAACTGCTGATGGACCGGCACAGAATCACGGAAATTTACCTTCTGCAGAGATGGGGCGTCTGAAGTACTGTCGGGCACCTTCAAAATGATCAGTCTCATTCCCAAAATGACATCGCGAACGGCTTACTATGGGGTCAGACTGACATATGTCCAAGGCTCTCAGTAAACCATGGGAGTATCGGATGAACAATCGTGATACCACGTGTCCGGAGTCATCGTTGTCATTGGAATTATTATCGATTGGTTGGAGTTTTAAGCGTTCAAGGAGCTTGACGACTGTGCGAAGAGACGCGAAGTTCAATTCGTACTGGAATTGGACAGCTTCGGGGTCGGTATTCTGAGATATTTAAGTGATAGTCTGAACCTAGAGCTGGGTGGACGTACCGATGTTGGATCCTGGAACCAATCCATCACGATGTCAATGATGCGATTGCGCGATAGGTCGTCCTTACGCAAGGTCAACGTGTCTGTGCGGTGGCAGACACTATCGCAAAGGGCGCAAAACTTGACCCGAATCCGATACGATACTGGATCGTTGAAACGTGAGATAAATCCGACGAGGATATGCAAGATCGACCCTAGATCAATACTGAGAGCTTCGTCAGGTGGCATTTGTGCATTCTCGACAAGTGATTTCAGGACTGAAATTAACTACGGAAAACAATTAACTCTGGATGATATTTGCCGGTCACGAACTCGTACCTGATCCAAGAATAATCCGTATTCATCCTTAAACTCGAGACCTGCTCCAGCCGTAATGTTCCGCGTGATCCTGGCAGAATGACTTTGTTAGGTTTGCAAGAATATTGCCATGAAAAATGTACCCACTCGTCAAGATGTCTGAACAACTTTGAAAAGAGACGAGGGCTAAGTTCCGACCCAAGAGCTTCACGCGCAACTTCCCGAACGCGAACAACATCATCAATAAGGGCATTGGTCAGGAACTCGATGAAAAGAGCAACGAGGTCTGCCGGGTCTCTTAGAGAACGCATGTCATCAAGTAAAAACTCAGGAGGGATCACAGCAGTAAGGGCACCGGGGTCGTGCTTTTCTTGCACGGTAACACCACCGAAAGCAGCCAGGAACAACGTGAGGTTTCTCCATTGAATGAATTTCTCCTGTGCGAATGTCACTTCTATAAATGCAAATACCTTGGAAATGAAGATACCTCGATAGACATGAGCTGTTCATGCTTGCTCAAATGAGAATCGTCGAAGGCTGCTGCTGCGGCCAGCGGATTCTGCACGATAAACTCTGAGAGTGCACTCCATCTATAAAAGCACTCTTCCCAAACGGCGATGTTAATGGGTGACGAATTCGCGACCAAACGCAAGAGCTTTCTGACACGTCTCTGCTCTCTGACGCGTCCTGCAACAAAAATTATACCGAGAACGAATTGAAAGTGAATGACACGCACCAACGATGATAACGCTGGGGTCACCGAGCTGTTCGTATATCGGGTTTCGCTTTGAGCGTTCCTCCTCAGTGAGACCGTGGTTGACAGGAGCTCCAGGTTGCCGCTCAGCTTGTGCGATGAGACGAAGACCTTGGGCAGCAAGTTGCGAGACATCACTGCTGACTGATGTAAGGGATACTAAGAATGCGATCTCGCACATCGCGAAGGCTGGTACACGGTCCTTGTCGAATTGCATGCCATGAGCATGGTTATCCTGCATAAGAATATCCGTAAGGTGGTCCATATCAACGAAAGAAGCCGATTCACCTCGCTTTTCCGATGGTAACATTCGACGAGCTGATGAGCGACGTGTATCCACAGCCTCTGGCTGTCGGGATCAAGCCTAGTCAGCAGCAACCTCTTTGCAATGCACATCAACGACATCGGCCTACAAATACACGTCAGCGAATCGCGAAATGCAAGCAAGCATTATACCAACATCGCATTTTTCATCCACCCTTCAATCATCTTGTAGTAAGGGTCAGTCGGAGGCATCTTGAAGAATAGATCCGTGAGATGCTGGTGCGATGTCGCGGCCGATATTTTGACAGCTGTGTCAGTATCTGAGTCATGAACTCGTGCAGAGATCGAATCCCAGCCTTCCACATCTGTGTCCTCAATGTTGGCGATATAGTAATCTGGCGATGCCCGTAACAGTGCAAGAATAGAAAGGAGCATGAGGTCTTTGTCAATCAGCGTTTCGGATGTGAAGCGTTTGGCCTTGGGCCGAGACGCTGCACGGCGAATAGCCCCATCACTGTCGTATTCGCTAAGCCGCATAGAAGAGTTCTGTACGTCAATACAATTAGCACGACAAGCAGTTGCAATATCGCGGGTGTATAATTACCTTGTAGATACATCTCAAGCGCGGTGAGATGGCGAACTGGAGTTTCTCCAAGGATTGCTGCCAAGGAACACGGGGTGCCTACAAACAAGTTTAGAACCCGTGAAGGCGTTGCAGTACCCCTAGTACATACCTCTGTCGACAAGGTGGTAGCAGCCTTGATAGCACAAATCTTCACTGCGTCAGACCGCTCAGGCTCCAGACAATCCAAGAACAACGATATTGATTCCTCTTCCGGCAGGAAACGGAATACAGCAACGAGTGCCTCAGCATAGGTGGCGACGTCGATCTCATCAAAGGAGTCCCAGAATGGCTTCTGCCCGGGTGACTTCTGCAAGGTCGACTACAAAGAGTTAGTAATGGGACAGTTTGGATTATAAGATGTCACCATCACCTTGATTTCATGCGAGATGTCTGCTGCAATATGTCTGAGGGGCATTTCACCATCAGGCGATATCCGAAATCCAGCTCTACACATGTCTATCGCACACACGAAAGAGACATCGGAGAGCTTTGAATTCGTGTTCGAATGCCTGAGTAGGTCCTCTACGAAACGGATATCCTTCGTGAAAACAGTGAGATCAAGTTATACTTCACTTCACGTCAGACTCACCCTCCTGTGGCTGGATTTGTGAGTGGAGAAGTTGGTGGAACGACTCTCGACATCGATCTGATAATCTGGCGACAGGCGCTCAGCAGCGAGACAAGCAAGGACGGTCAACGTTGGCCAAAGCGCACGCTCCCGACCAGGTTCATTCGCGGAGTGCAGGAGGTCGAAGACGCGCTCCGGTGCGCCTTCAAGTCTCCCTCTTGATCTCACTGCCTCGTTATATTCCTGCGGGCACATCTCAATCCAATTCCAGATTGCCATACGTAATGGGATGGCAACCGCTGTCTGAGCTTGTCGTTTCATGTTCACCAGAAGAGACGAAAGCTCATGCAGAACTTGAACTAGTCGCACTCTGTCCATCGCGCTATGCGTCATGAGCTGCAAATCGATTGTGTCGGGGTTGTCCTCCGTTGTGTTGGCGAGGAAGTGGATCTTTTGGCGTATTCGGTGGAAAACAACTAACCAGTTCGACGCAGAGAGATGATATACGATTCGTCCTGCAAACTTGCTGATAAGAAGATTCAGCGCAAGTGCGGATTTGACAAGCGCCATATGAGTTCTCTCGAACTGAAACGTGCGGCCTAGCTGCCAGTGCCCTGAAGTTGCGCTTGCACCTGATTGGAATGACGCGGATGAATTCCTGAGCTTCATTATCGGCTTCGATCCATGAGATATATGAGGAGGTAGTAAGGGGCCACTGTTTCCCGTGTAATCGTCGAATGCCGAAGACTCGGTCGGCAAATCTACAGACTCAAAATCGTGCAATGATGCGTCAGGAGCCAAGTTTGAAGACGACATGAGTCGAGCTTCCGGCGCTGCTGTTTGACGGAGGTAGAGAACCATCACACTCAGGATATAACGTGCACAATTATCGTCAAGAGGATAAGCCTCTGTCCACGGAGGTGGTGTAGATGAGGAGAACTCAGTGGAAGCTTGGCGAATCTTCTTGCCCTGCTGACTCGAAGACGGCATTGGCGATTCAACATGACCAGGAGCCTGGCTGCCATTCTGGGGTTTGGGCCCGCGAGAGGAACGCGTGTCGTCCTGTTCGTGTCGGTGATTCCATCTTGATGTCATGCATACCGACAAAATCTTCAGGATAAATAGTTGAGATTGCAATGCTTCGGTAGTCATTTGTCCGTCTGCATCAATTTGCTGTAATAACGCGCATATAAGCACCCACCCTACACCAGAAGTCACAAAAGTACCTTTGCGAGCCGTTCAAGCAGTTCGCTTAACGACCAAGCTATTATGTCTAACGAGTCATGCGCGATCTCCACCAACGCGCATACTGCCCTCTGCGTCGCAGGATCCGACTCGACAATATCCAGAGAAAGGCCGGAATGGATTGGTAGCTTTTGCGTAATACGATAACTCAGAGTTGATCAAATGGTTCTAGTGGATAAAGTAACCTACTTTATTCTTTATTCTGTTGTTTATGAGGGCTTGTACTACCATCTTCTGTTGCGGAGTAGTAGACGCGCCCGAGTAAGCTATGGAAGGTGGGTGGATGGACCCGCCGTTTCCTGTGAGCATATGATGAGAGTCGTTGCTTCTATGGGCTCTGTTTGAGTTCTGAGCTGAATTTCCATGCTCTGCCGAAACAGATAGACGGCGGATAGGCATGGCTTGAATATGCCTACCGCCAGTACTAAGTTAAAGCAGTTTTGTTCGTGAGCTGTGTTTTGAAATTGTCGTTGCAGTGCGACCAAAAGTTCCGGTGGGATTACGTAAGGCTCAGGGATGAAAATCATGTACCATTACATTGATGATTGTATGCCATAATGCCGCATGGATTCACAGGCAAACTGACCAGTATACAAGTAATCATAGAGAGCTTTTAGTACTAAGTATAAACCTTCAGAACATAATCCGGTTGAGTAAATTTCCTCGGTGACACAAATCACTGAAAAAACACGAGGTACCATCGCAGTGATACCGCGGTACAAGGAATACCCGAGACTCATCTAAAAGTATAATCTGGTGGTGACGTGCCGAAGCTAACAGTGGCCGCAAACCTCGGCAACACAGCAATGTACTATAACTGTGAGTTGCGAAACATAAGTTGCGATTGGTATAGTGCAGAAGACACCATTTGCACTGCTGTAGATAGGATCCAACCGCAGTTTCCAACCAGACTCTAGTGAGAGCCGTGATTCAAGTCGGAAGGCAACGAAAGGTCATCGGTCATGCATATGATTCACCGGAGACAAAGAGTCCGAACTGAACAAGGTCGAAGCATCAGCAGTTGTGGGATCAGATGCAGAACACAATCTCATTCATCATATATATGGTGGACAGGAAACACGCTGCAGTCTGCAGGTAGTGCAAGTTGTGGGCAGAAGTCCGCCATTCTGCCAACTGGTTCTGCCCGGCAGATGGCAGAATTCTGCGGGCAGAATCCGGCAGAATGTCAAACTACAGGGGATTTTTCGAACAACTGCAACAGATTTTCGGCAGCAAGTAGTGTACACCAACTTGATCACTATACCGGCGCAAGCACTAAGCATGCCCTTGTCTACGAACTTCCTCGATGTGCACTTCCTTTAAGTCTTCCTTACTTGTAGAGTAGAAGAAATTTTCAATTGTACAGCCTGTACTACGTAGACAATCACTTATGATTGCACAATGTCTGCCGCCGCACTCGCCGGACACCCTGTCTCATCCTTCATAGCCAACAATTTCAATCGTGGTGAGAAGGTCAACAACAAATCTGGACGCTACTAGTGGTCCTGCAAACTTCACTGTCCAGATGCTCTTCACATTCACGGTCGTGATAATTTTGCGTGGGCGCCACCACTCGCACCTCAAGGCTCAGACTCAGAACATCCGCGCAGATGTCTTCTAATGGTGTTTCCTAGTGACACTTACTATACATTGTCGTACACATAGCCTTGTAGCGCTTTGAAAATTTTGCCAAGGGGCAGAAGTGGTGGTTCTGCCGCTTCTGCCGGCTATGCCGGCACAATTGCTCGCAAATAATTCTGCCTCCAGCACTAGCTGCAGGGTAACATCATGAGCGCCTGAGGGTCCAGAGGAAACACCAGGAGAATACGCTGGTTGATCCACTAGTAATCGAGGAACCTGGGCGCCTATCAGGGACACCGCCACTAAAGCATAAATATGGACCTACATTAACTTCTGGAAAACAACTTCACAGAAAGGCAAGGAGGGGCCAGGCCAACGTTTTTCTTGGACATTTTGCATTGTTCGAGTGGCCATTGTTACCTGGATTAGGTGAGTGCACCGTATCAGCGGCTGTGCCTAGCAGAGATGCCATCACTACTGACGACTTGATGAGATGTGAAGCATAAACGGTAGTAGGCTGCAGGTACGTGTGATCCTCCAGGCATGGATGGGGGGCATTTGGTGTCCTCTACAGCAGTGACCAATACATTGGTCCAAGGTCCACGATCATCAGTGAAAATGAGTCTCAAACGCTAAATCGTACTCCGCTCTACCATTATACTGGCCCTGAAAACTAATCAGACAGCTACTAGTACAATCTTTACTCTGCAACGAGACTTCTAGTACGTCCAATCTCTCTATTCTCATCGACGTGCTCGACGTACTCCCAGTTGCCATCTATCTTACAAGACACTAAAACAATCTTTGTTGCGCTTCGTCTTGCATTGCATCGCTATCAATCAGTCTTATTTTCTATTTCTATTGCTCTCTTGCAGTCGTTTTTTACTCGCTTTTTCTTTCACATTTTTTTCAGAGCACATCTGCCCTCTGCTATCCACTTTTTGTTCGCAATTCACAGTTTCCTCCTTTCATTCGTCCTTTGATCTCCCTCTCGTCATAATTGTGCGCGATTTCCTATTGGTCGTTTCAGACTTAGCTTACCTCTTGATTAATGTTCAGATATGTCTCGTGTTGACTTCCACGACTTTAGCTGTCCTCCTGGTGTGGCATACTCTCGTTCAGCCGCAGATATCGACCACCATATGTCCAACCACTATCCTTCCAATTCTCCTACTCATCCTGTGTCAGGAGATCGACGTACGTCCGGCGGATTAGGTGTCTATCTTCCCAACACGAGCAGTTCGGCATTAATATCCCACTCTATTGGTATTCACCCAGACAAGGAATACAGCAGTATTGGAATAATCCCAGAAGCATTTCAAGCCGCCCCAAATAGACACACATCTACCCAACACTTCTCATCTTCTAACCACCACCGTCCTCCCATCCCACACAGCAGCTCGCCCGCCGCTCTCTCTATAAACACCAATTACTACAACGCCCCCTCCGACGCTGAGCGTGAAGGGTATCTCCATCGCCAGTTTCAATCGCTTGCACCGTCCGGCGATCTCGCTCTGCCCGCCAACTCCAACTCCGGCCCAAACATACTACGCTCTACTCTTTGGTGGGGCGAACTCGAACCTTGGATGGACGAAGAATACGCAAAACAGGTTTGTGCTCTGATGGGTTGGGACCCAGTCACCGTCAAAGTTCCAAACCCCAGCCCAGACGCCGTCGCCCCTCAACCAACCAACAACTCTGGTTATTGCTATCTCACGTTCCCCTCACCGGCTATCGCTTCTTCTGTTCTCAACCAAGTGAACGGTGGCGGGAGTGCGCAGCCAGCCACAATGCCAAACTCAAATAAGCCCTTTGTCCTTAACTGGGCTTCTTCTGCTCCCACCGGTTCAATTGCGCCTTCTTTCCAAACAGCTGGTGTAATTGTCCCTACGGCACAACCACAGTTCCCGAAAGAGTATAGCATATTTGTTGGTGATCTTGCACCAGAAACTTCCAATTCAGACCTCGTGGCCGTGTTTCGGAACCCAGTGCTTGGTCTACGGAATGATCGTGAACCCAAGTTCATTCGGCCTTTCTTGAGTTGTAAGAGTGCCAAGATCATGCTCGATCCTGTAACTGGCATATCGCGAGGGTATGGGTTTGTACGGTGAGTCTGTCGTCCAACGAGATGAACAAACTCATAGTCCTCCCTTCGCACACAGATTTACCGAGGAAGCGGACCAACAGCGTGCACTGATAGAGATGCATGGCCTGTACTGCCTTTCACGCCCAAGTCAGTCATCTTCGTATCCTACTTCGGGCAAGTCAATAACGCAATTTTTTTTGCAGTGCGAATATCTCCTGCCACGGCCAAATTCAAGCCGCCTCCTATGCCAACGGATCTTCCTCAAATTCAGTTTCCTGGTTCCCCTACTTCTGATCAGCGGCCAAATCCAGTGACGGTAACCCTCCCGCTTGGTGTTCAGCCAAGGAGCGTCTCTGCACCTATGGCAGCTTCGACGAGCGCCGGATCTTCGTCTTCGTTGGCCAGCGTGCCCGTTGGTTCCTCCGCTTCGGGCTCAGCGTTGAGCGGCTCGAGCTCTATACCTTCCCTTGGATCTGAGGCCACAACTGCGTCTTCAGGAGTCTTGTCTTCGATGTCGTCGGATGATATGCTTGGTCTCTCCGCCAATGTCCTTGCCCTCGCCCACCAGTATGCCAACGGTGGTTCCATTAGTAACGCCAAAGGTATCGTTCCTTCTAGTTCGGCGTATGACTCACAAGATCATTCCGTGGCACCGCGGTACATTATCTCTGAAGAGTCATGGAAACATCACGCCCAGGCCCGTGCTATCCTTGGCAACCTCATCGGGCCGAATGGCGAGCAGCTCACTTCTACCGACCCCTATAATACGACTGTTTTCGTCGGTGGGTTGTCGCCTTTAATTTCTGAAGAGACCTTGCGGACGTTCTTTACTCCGTTCGGCGAAATTCACTACGTGAGAGCATTCGCGCTATTGGTGGGACGCTAATGTAGCGGTATCTGTACAGGTGAAGGTGCCCGTCGGCAAACATTGTGGTTTTGTTCAGTTCGTTCGAAAGGCTGATGCAGAGCGGGCTATCGAGAAGATGCAGGGCTTTCCTATCGGGGGGAGTAGAATTCGATTGAGCTGGGGCAGAAGTCAATGTGCGTCCTCGTATGTTGTGACACGCCCAACTGACTAATGGTGATATCATAGATAAAGCTGCGCAAGCTGCTGCGCAGGCAGCTCAGGCAGCCGCGCTTCAGGCTCAGTTCCAGGCTCAGATGGCATCTGCGCAGGGCCAGGCTCCTCAGAGTCAGATGACGCCAGAACAGGCGATTCAACTCTTGCAAAGGCTTGGTCTGTCAAGCCAAGGTCAATCGGGCGGTGGAAGTGATGCATCGAACCGCAATTACGCCGATGCTGCAAAAGGCAGTGGATACTCTGAGGAAAAACTAAGGTCGCTCATCATGAACCAGCCACTCTCTGACAGTCAACTGCCGTACGATGTGTGTCCAGGGGGGTCCGGACCACGCCCACCATCAAACATGAGTTCTGTGGAACATCATAGATCACATCTCACGTCCTCGTTCTCTCCTTTCTCCCCGGACCCGAATATGTACACACGGAGAGGTTCAGACAGCTACGATCTGCTGCCCCATTCCATGAACCCGTCGCGCTATGATAACATCATAGAGTTCAAGGCTGCGGCTGCCCATTCCAATGAGAGAGCCGTTCCTCCTGTACGTACACCAAGTGGGTCCCAGCGATATGTTCCGTTCCTGGATGGCTCTGCCAAGACGTTTGAGGGTGGGCGTTGCATAACGCGCCAAGAACCAATCTCTCGGCCGAACTCCAGCCAGACATCATCACAAGGACGCTCGAGCCAATACGATGTGCAGGAACACGATCCCATCCACGATCTCAATGGCACGCTT